TATGTCCAACGTTCGCATGTTAACAGTTCTCATGATATCCCTCTGATGCGCTCCACTTCGTCACTGGTTAGAACTCTTCTTCGTAATCCATAAAGTGAAATTCCACACCCTCGTCTGGCAAATACTCCTCACCCCATCAAAGGCGTCCTCGGAGTCTCGTGGTATTCTCCTCTTGAAGCAGCCGTCCTCATCGGAAGAGTCCTTGAAAAAGGGCGTCTTGGAGTGTCGTGGTCGCCTCGGTGTTGTCAGGGTAGTTGTTAAGAGTGACCTTGAGAGTTATCCTCAGGTTTGTCCTGAGGCTCGTCTTGATAGCTCCTTAGAGTTATACTGAGAGTTGTTTCGATTCTTGAGCAACCATAAGCAATGTCAAACAGCCCGGATCTTCACATGCATCGTGATCTCTCTCTCGCTCTCTCTCTCGCTGTCACTATGATATAAATATTAATATATATTGTATAGCGTGGCAATATAAAGCCGAGCCTGTCAATGTTATTGAGCATCATCTTGCAAGACATTCGAAATAAGACTAGCAGAACAGCAGTGCCGTATAATGTGGATGGTATATTGATGAAGAAAGCCTCACAAAGCAGAAATATTGACCAATACCGAAGTGCTGTATATATATGGGAGACGATGTAGACAGAAATTCCATTTAGGACCAAGAAATAACAAATGCATCACCAAATCCTTGGCTGATTGACAGGGATCAGAAGAGCCTCAAAATGGCTTGGAAATATAAAAGAGCCCCACTCCCCTCTTCTACATCTTGCCCAAACAACCTCTTTCCCATCCCAAGCTTCACTTCCAAGCTATATATTTCAAACCGCCAACATGACCCAAACCCTCCAAGACCACATAACCTCCCTCCACACACTCAAACTCACCGACGCAATAAAAGCAATAACAACCCTAACCCCAGGCCTCAAAACAAGCATCCAACCCAAATACGGCTACTTCGTCACACACAGCGACTACGACGGCATCGCCGACCTACAAGACCTAGGCCGACTATGGCTGGAAGCCGGGCATCGCTGCTTCGAAGAACACGCACCCCTAGAAGTACGCCTACTCCACTATCAACAGACAGACATATTCGACAAGCTCTACGTTGATCTCGACAAAAGGCTCGAAGCCGGATTGAAAGATGGGTCTATTGCGCCGCAAGTGCGAGATCCTGAAGCGGGGTGTTCGTGTTGTGCGGGTGTGCCGAGTTCGGTTATATTATGTGGGTTTGCGGGAGGGAAGGCTTTCCATTTTACGCCTGAGGAGTATGAGGATCTTTGGGGGGAGCAGGAGAATTCTGGATGGACGTATGGCATTGGTGGTTGTGAGTCTGTTACGGCGAGTCTGAAGCAGGTTGAGGAGGCTTTGGCAAGGACTTCTGGTGTTGAGGTTGTGAGTATGCTTTAAGTCTGGATGGACCCTGGGGTATGGTAGGATAGGATAGCATATGATATGTGCCTTGCTAGTTAGTTACTAGTGGCAGTAATGAATTCGTGAATATCAAATCAAGTCTAGCTGGATGTCTACACTGGACATGGACTAGGAAAGTAGATTCATGGATATCTCTATGTTTTGATTGGATGCGCAACGCCGGGGTATTTACACGGACAGATTGCAAAGAGGAACGAATAAAATAAAATACAAACCCGCCGAAGCTCGCTCAGATGTAATCCCATGCACAGATGTAAGAGATACGTTAACGTTCGTTTCGGACGGAAGACATGCTGGCGCGCGAGTAGCTCAGCTGTGGCTGCGGGGACGTTTTCTGGGGTTTGCACGACGACCGAGGACCTCGCCACGGGTAACGATGTTGTCCTCGACTCTCTGCAGGTAAGTGACAAAGTCGTGATAGTTTGTGAAGTCGAGGTAAGTCTTGTCAGCCTCGTCGCGGACCCTATTCAGTAGATGCTCGAAGAGATGGCGCATGCGATCGCGCTCGGACAGTTTCTCGTTGAAATGGGGTTCCCACTGCTGCATCCAGTTGGAGAAATCAGTCACGGACTGCGCGGGTCGCTGATAGCTATCCTTGTAGCGGGCTTTCGCGACCTCCGGGTACACTCCGTTTTGGAGCTGGTGGATGAGGAATGTGCAGAAGGAGCCATAGGTGACCTGGTCACTGGGTAGGTTACGCGTGTGTCGCTTCCATTCATCTTCCAGGCCGAGGGTGACGTGCTTAAGAGCTCGGCTGAGCTTGCGTTTGTCGTCGTTATACCATTCGGGATATTTGTCGAAGTGGCGGTCGAGGCCCATTGTGTAGTTTTTGTATTCCCCCAAAGCGCGTCCATTGTATACCGGCACGTTTGGAACCGGCGGGGCAACGCTGTGGTCGGAGGCACGTTGGAAGGAGGGTTGGAAGGCTGGGGCGGTGGGCGCGAGAGTGGTGGGCTCGGTCTTGATGGCTGCCGAGGGGGATCTGCTTGCTGCAGCGAGTGCTCGCAATTGGTCAAGTGCCAAGGCCGAAAGAGTGCTTGTGATGGGTTTGGCTGGGGTATCTTCTTCCTGAGCTTTTGTTTCAGACGCGCGGCGGTCGGCGGCGGGCCTCTTGGGAGTGTGGATTGGAGGAGCTGGTCGGCGGGGAGAATTATTCTTTTCAGTAGCCCTCGGGGCCGGTTGCGTCGGTGTAGGTGTAGGTGTAGGAGTAGGCTCCTTGCTCATGGTAGCTACCAACCGGATGCGAGCATCTTCAAGAGCTCTCTCTTCATCGGCCACTTGCTGCTGGATCTCAATGAGTTGACGCTGTCTTTTCAACCTGCTTAGCTGGTCTTGAGCCTGTTGGATCTGGATCTCCAGGTCATCAGGCAACTCAGGGGCTGACACAGGCTGTGACTGAGGGGCTTGCTCCATCATCTTAGCCAAATGTCCGCATCCCTTGGAAGTTGAAGAGTCCATAACTTTTTTTTGTGATCCCTGTAGATAAGATAGAGCGGGAAAACAAAGTTCCGTGAAGAAACGCACGTGTCAGGCCACGTGCAAAGTCGGTCGGTGTTGGGCGTCAATAGAAGGAAGATGAATGGGAAGTTCAATGTAAAGAGGATAAGAAGTTAACCCCTTGAATATGATGCAATACTGGCGCTATTGAGAAGCTTTAATCGGAAAATCCTCCCCGAAACTAAGGATCGGAGGATCGGCGGTGATATGTTCTCTCAGGAAATTCGAGCAAACAATCGGACTAAACCTTGGACGTAACTTACGTTACTTCTCACTATGTCAACCTCAAAGCCTAAACTACTGCCTAATCGTCAAATCCAGCCCTATGCCGGGCATGATGCCCATAAATTCTGGTCACTTCTACAGTTCATGTACAGCCCCTGAGGTACGTTAACGTTAACTATCGTGCACACGATAGCTTAAGATCACAAAAAACACTCGAAATAGGGTTTGAGATGTGTGACACACCGTAACCTGTCTTCTGCGTCTGCAACTATGTACAACCCGACTCGGGTCCAAGCATGACCACAATATTCAAATATGAACCAGACCTGTCAAAAGTACGTAGCAGATATTTACACCAGATAAATTTTATGATTAATTACAAGATTAGATATTAAATACAGAATGGAAAACCCACACAAACCCCCAAATCCATTTATTTACCAGGCGAACCAAGCAAACAAACAAACTTCCGATCAGGAGTCTCATTAAGAACATTTAGAACCAAGTTCCAAACATTCAAATCATAAGCCTCCCCAATATGACCAACAGGATCAAACGGACAAGTATCCTGAATCCATCGATTGACAACACCATCCTCATGCACGAACGAGGTCTCAGGAGGCGTAACCATCTCATCATACTTAGACGCGATAATAGTAACCTTATTCCCAGGCTGGACAATAGGCTCCCCATCATTCAACCTCAGCACAGCAGCACCATCAGGACCAAGATCATTACAAGCGCCACAGCCAAAGAGATCGAGGACATCCCCAACAGCCTGGCGCGAGGTATTACCTAGCAGGTAGGCAAGATCATACAGGTTCCCAAAAGAGGTACTATGCGTCGGCGGCGCAATAGCAGCAATCTTATCAATAAGATGGGCAACACCCTCGAACTTGGGTACGTAAAGCGACTGGAAGGCACCCTCGGAGTGACCGACAAGGTCGACCTTGGACTTGCCGGTCTTGGCGACAATTTCTTTGATGTAGGCGGCAATCTCGGGAGCGCTTTCGTTGATGTGCTTCAATCCGCCCAGGAATGGGAAGCCGTCGTAAGCGCCGTAGGTTTGCGCGTAGGTGCAGTGGCCCTTGGTTTGCAGCCAGGATTGGAGGAAGTTTATGTCTTCATAGTAGGTTGCTCCTAGGCCGTGTAGGAAGACGACGGGGTTTGAGTCGGATTTGCAGTTGAAGTCGTTGATTCCGGTTGCGAGGGTTGTCGTTGCTGCTAGAGCTGTGAGGGCTAGCTTTGTGATGGACGGCATGGTGAGTACAGAGTATACTCCGTAGTATATTATTTGTCTTCCGTAAAGAAAAGGCTGACGCGAGACATGAGATCTTTTTATTCTGCAGAAATTCAGACGCCGTCAGCTTGCTCCTTTTTTTCCTCGGGGTTCTCCATTCTGTGAACTATCGATTGCTGGATCTCTGAGCTCTAAATGTAACTGGTCGATGTAGTGGGTCAGTGTCAGGTACCTGGCAAATTAGCGAGGGTTCCATCGCCGATCTCAGCTGTCAACCAATCATGGCGAATGTGATAACCCAATCTTGGATGCATCATTTCAGCTGTTAATCTCGCCGGTGGATCGTGCGGAGTTACGATCGGGAACGGACCAAAGGGGGTGACATCCGAATTCACAAATAGGCTTCAATTGGATGTGGTAGCTCGCTAAGCCTCCATGATTTGTATTCATGGCCCATGTCATATTTTTATGTTCACAATAGCGTTCATTGGGGGAGCTACGCAACGGCGGTGCCAAATTCTGCACAACTGACGGTTATTTTCGGAACACAGTAAGATTCTTGAGTCGTTGCTACATTTCACATCACTATATGCGTAATCCCGCGCTATGGACTAGCAGCTGAATTCATGGGCGAGTCTTGCTGAGTGGATAACTCAGGCATGGCGCTGCCCCAAAGGCCAAGGGCGTGACGCCGTTCCACCAAATGCAATAACTCCACCATGAACTTGCGCTCCGGACCTCCGTCAGGGAATGCTTCCCACGCCACCCGGGTGGGGAATGCAAGACGGTTAATCATGTTGCCAGGCGCTGTGGTGATATAGAATTCCAGCGTACGGGCAATCCCACATCCCAACTCGTATTGTTCCAACGGGGTTACACGGTCCTGGGGACGAGTATCGACCGACGAGAGGATGAGTCGAAAGCTGTAGTAGAGGCACATGGTTTGTGCGAGGAGGAGGTTAGGGTATGTATATCTGGTTGGGGTATAAGTAGCCCCAGTGCGCAGGTCGCGCCGCTGGAAAATAGGGAAATCGTCTGCGCCTGTTTGCTTGACTTCTTGTGGGGGTCCGTCGGGGTAGACCTTGACCCAGTCCTCATACCATTGGTAGAACTTGATTGTGAGCTCGCCAATGCCATTCCACAGGCTAGTCTGCTTGACGGCGATTTCGTGTGCGCCTAGCACGGAGCGAGCCTGTGCTGCTTTGAAGGAATCAGACTGTGCTAGTAAACCTGGAATATGGGCGGCAAGATCGAGCAGGTGGTGTAGAATGTCCTTTGTGGTTGTTCCCGCAGCCCACGGGATAGTTTTCCACTCTTCTTGTGCCAGGAATGACGGTTGTCGAGCAGCTAAAGCACCACCAATCTGAGAGTTGTTAGGAGATAAATCGGATCGTGAGTAGTTGGAGACATACCCAGTATGGACGAAGCTCAGTGAACATAAGATGCTCCACCCCGTACATGTGATTTTCCGGTCCACGGTGTTCAATCAAGCGCACCGCACCTCGAACATGGGCCGAGACACCGCTGTCAGTGGTGCGTTCAACGCTCTGTCGAAGTCAGCAGTGATCAAAAAGTGATTGGTTTGGATGTGCACAAACCTCAAAGGCCAATAGCAGAATCACAGTAACTAGCGTGGACTCGGCTTTGGATTTCTCAGGATCAACCAATGCATCCTGCAAACCACGAAGCACACGCGGATAAAGTCGGAACCCAGACGCCTCGATCTGCTTATTCTGAACAGACCGTCCAAAAAATGCCACCGAGACAGCCTCAAAAGCATCACTGATCAGAGGGGAAAACATTCGAATCCCGGCGGCAGCTCGCAAAGCACCAGCCCGTCCCGACTTCATATCCACCTCGGGGCTAAATGCATCAACAAATCTCTCGACGAATACATCCAGCACTGGTCTTTGCATGCTGGTTACCGAGGCTCCCCCGGATGAGTCCGAGCCACTGCCAATAGACATCTCACGCTCAAACTCCCTGTCATCATCGTTATCATCTTCAAAAGTATTGAAAACCTCATTGGCAGAATTCAACAAAAGACGTTTGCGAACCGGCAGAGTCGAAGAAGGCCGTGATGGTTGTTCATAAGATTCATAAGCTGAGGACGTCAGTAAGGAGATCCCAGTCGTCACACCAATAGAACGAACCTTCTCGGCCTTCCCATGGTCCCACAGGAACCAAATCCTTATTAAGCCCGCCGTGAGCAGTGCGAAGCTCACGGACAAGCTCCTCCACCAGGTCTAGCGGCGCAGATCGAATAGAGTCAAATAAGCCTTCAAGCTGTTCGAGCTGTTGAAGATTCCGAGATCTTGAACCTACATGCAGGCATCAGCAATAAGTTCTGCATCGAGCCCCACAGGCAAGTGGGCGGTGGCTTGAAATGAATATGTACCATCATGACTGGCATCAATCCTCCCTCTTAGCTCCCGGATTTCCGCCCGCAAGTTCCGGATCTCCTCCGCCTGACTGATCGGCCTGGCGTCCTCATCCGGGACGTCCTCATACACGCATTTCGAGGGATATCCATGGGCGCAGCAGGCATGGCAGGGCTTGACACGGTCACACTAGCATGATCTACGTTAGCATCGAGCACGTAGCATTGACGTTGGCGACCAGTGGGACGCATGCGATGGGTACGGGAGCGTCCCGGTCCAGGGCTGGCGATCTGAGCACAACGGACAAGAAGAACCGACCTTGACTTTGCGGAGCCGACAGACTTTGCACGATCGTGACTGGCGGTTGGCAGCCCTCCTGACTCTTAGGTCGGAGGCAAATCGTCGCGTTTCGCCGACCATGGGGGCGTGCCTGTGAGCTTGAGGGTGGGAGTTTGGGAAGGTCTCAGCTCTTGAGCCAACGACGCGGCGTGATTTAGGCGAGCCAGATTTCCGAGCTGGTCGTCCGAGATCTGCTGGCTTGGGGTGTGGGCCGACTCGCGCCCTCGGGGCGTTTGGCGCTGCTAGTGTAACGTTAGTAGGTGTCTCGGCGCTGCTGATAGGTGGCGTGTGGGCCCATGGACCCCCCGCCATTGCGACCGAGTCTGAATTGTGTCGCTGTCATTGGGAGTTATTCGTGTGGCTGCATTATTCGCTGTAGAATTGGCTATGGAGCTGTCAGTCGCCTGAAATGGAAGTGCTGTGAGGGGCCCCTTTCAGCCCGGTGACTAAGTATTGGCTCCCACTTGGCAGGCAGCTTCCCATCCAATCTTCCAAGCTTACGATGTGTTCTATAGGGCTTTTGATATGTCGAAATGAGTAATATTTTGATTGCTTGAAGTATACAGAGTATACGTACTCCGTACGCAAAGCTGGTGTTGTACGGGTTTGCACGTTGCAAAATAGTCCACCAAGGAGGCTATATTTGTAACTTGATGAGTCTTCCTTTTATACGGAGTATTTGAGTCGCTGATCCCATTTCCATACACAGTCGAAGAAATAAACACCTACGAAGCTGATAATCCTATGAATTATGGCTCTCGTAACCTTAGTAGGTAAACATTGCGGCCTGAGGCCACCACAGATGCTTTACCGAGGCTATGCAGGACAAAACAAACGGAGCAAACACAAGGGTCGAAGAGGAGAGGTCTGGAGCGGTAGGCAGGCCTCGCCACACACACTGTAGATAAGTTAATCGCTGAATATTAGTTCATCTTAGACAGAGCCCCTCAATTAGTCTTAATTATGTTTATTGAGAACTCATAGTCTAGCCTTAATGTGTCAACCCTGATGGGTTGACAAAGTGACTCAAGGTAAAGCTCTCTCAAAAGCACCCGAGCTCACTTTGGACCTGTATGAAAACGACAAAAGACCGTCGAATCCATGTTCTATTTCTCCGCTGGGAAACAACGTCTAGATGCCGAGGACGGCAACCTATGCACTAGCTCTCATACAGCATGCAACACGAGGGGGCCGATTGTCTCGCCCGAGAAAACTGCCGAGGTGAATACCTTTAAGCCACGCGCAAGATGGTCCGATAGGCATCGGTTGATTTCTTCCCAGGGGCGCTAAGGGGATATTTGATTCGCCAAAGCCATACTGAAATCTACCCAGGATTCCTACTAAGTCAAAGATAGCAGAACACAGATACCAAATTAGAGTCGACGCTAGGAGTTACACCGGCCAAGCTTTGAGTATCCCGGTCCACGCGGAGAAAGTGCGAGAGTTTTAAGTTAGAGCTAGAGACGGGAGAAGTCTTGGCTGGAGGAGACAGGTTGGAAATTTGGATCGGCGTGAGTCCGGGATCTGGAGTCCGGGGTATTTTCTTAGTTTCATTTACAGACTGTTATCTTGTGCATCTTTGCAGAGCCCACTCAGTGAAATCATCTAATCTTTCGATAAGGTGCCTGGTTCTGGATATTGTTTCCTCTAGTCCAGCCTCAAAAAACACCTCGCATTCCTGGTCACCTCGGGGGACCGACCGAGCACAGGAACACGAGCCTAGAATCAAAAGCCAGAATTGCAAGGATTCCACGGCTGAGAATTCCCGGACTTTGTCCGAGCATCTCTCGGCTCATAACCCTGGTACGGACGATGAGCCATGAACCCGGGATGGACAGCCGAAGGCTTGAGCACATCGACCGAAGTGACCTTCCCTGTACGGCCCACGGCTTAAACTCAGTGCCCATATCAGGCTGATATTTTGGCCTCCACCGTGGGGGTTCGTGGCAAGTTTCTACCTATTAGAGATCACCAATGCCGTCATGACACTCTCTTCCCTACGTATATCTCCGCATTGGGCCACTTCCCCGCAAACCTGATTGGACGTGATTGCCCCCCACGTTTCCCCAGAATTCACGGGGTAAATGCGAGGTCTTGTTCTATGCCGAGTAACATGACCTGCTACTCTTCAACATAAAATAATCGCCCACCCCAAGCTTTTGTGCTTTAACCTTCACTTTGTTTCATCGGTTCGACGTAAACATGGCCGGAAACAATGATAATATTACCGATGCGGAGTTGGGCGGAAAGGTTGACTTGAGCCATGAGGAGGTTGTTCACATGGCTGAGTTGACTGAGGAGGAGAAAGTGGTCGAGAAGAAATTGCGCAAGCGCATTGATACTTTGATTATGCCCTTGGTTATTCTGGTTTACCTGATGAACTATATCGATCGGTAAGCGATGCCTTGAGCAGGGTCTCTCCTGAAGTGTCTAGTGCTAATGACCACAGAAACAACTATGCTGCAGCAAAACTCCAAGGTCTCGAAACGGACCTGAAACTCGATGATACGAAATACCAAACCGGCCTGTCTGTCCTGTTCGTCGGATACATTCTGATGCAGGTGCCTTCGAACTTGCTCCTCAATTATATGGGCCGCCCTTCGATATATATTGGATTCTTCGTTTGCGCTTGGGGCCTGGTGTCTGCGTTGACAAGTCAGGTGTCCAGCTATGGAGGCATTGTTGCATGCCGGTTTATTCTCGGTATCGTCGGTAAGTATCGCGCCTTTTTTTTTCCCTCTCCACGTATGCTAAAGCCAAATCAGAGGCCCCCTTCTTCAGTGGAGTCTTATTCTACCTTTCGAAATGGTACACCAAACGAGAATTGGCATTCCGTATGAGTATCTTCTATTCCGGCTCGTTGCTCAGTGGCGCCTTCGGTAACCTCATCGCCGCCGGTATTCTGCACGGTCTCAAGGGAAAGCGAGGACTCTCAGCTTGGCAATGGCTCTACGTGATCGAAGGCTCAATCACCTGTGCCATCGGACTGGCCATTTGCTTCATCCTACCTGACTTCCCAGAAACATGGAAGCTTCTCTCTCCGGAGATGCGCAAAGTCGCTCAGCGCCGTCTTGCCATTGAGGCCGGCGAGGCCGATGTGGATGAGAAGGGTGGCGCGAATCAATTAAAGGGCTTGAAGCTTGCTATGACCGATGTCAAGACATACGTATTTGCCCTTGGCTACATGTGTATCACCGGAGCGGCAGGTTTCCAGAATTTCTTCCCGACTCTCGTCAAATCATCCCTCAACTACTCTGAGACAATCTCCCTCGTTCTCGTGGCACCCCCTTATCTTTTCATGGTCGCATATTCTCTCGGCCATTCCTGGACTTCTGACAAGCTGGAGAAGAGATTCTGGTTTTTCGTCTACCCAATCCCAATCACGATTATCGGCTTCGTCGTCTACATGAAAACCAACACCTTCGGACCCCGATACTTCTCCTTCTTCTTAATGGTCTTCGTGTTCGCTCAAAACGGTACTATTTATTCCTGGCTCGCCAGTTCGCTCCCTCGCCCGCCCGCCAAGCGTGCTGCTGGTAAGTTACCTCTCATCCCTTTAGTTTTTATTACACCACACAAGAGACTGACCAAAATAGCCTTTGCATTCTTCAATTCCCTCGGAAACAGCGCTTCGATTTGGACGCCGTATACATACATCGCCAAAGAGGCACCCCACTACCAGACCGCGATGGGCGTCTGCATTGCTCTCCAAGTCGTCGGTGGACTGTGTGCTCTTTTCTTATACTTCAACCTGAATATGCTCAATAAGCGACAGCTGAGACTTGAAAATGAAGAGGTAGAGCTCAGCCCGAAGGATCTTCGTCGGTTGCAGGTTACTGCTGATGTTGAGGGGATTGATCTTGCGGCTGCGAGACGGTTGCAGAAGGGATTCCGTTATGTATTGTAGGGGACTTTTGTCGGTAGAACGTATATCATGGTTCAATTACGTTTTCTATTCAAGGAGTTATTTGCGTAGTCTTGATCGAAGTACATATTAATTGTCGCTTGAGGCATCAACAGCTAGTCAGGAGTCAACAACCCTTTGCATTACAAAAACAACTCGAGACAGTAATGCCTTCCAATGAAACTACCTTCTTTTGCACTGAGGAATGTCTTCCGTATGCCATGCAATTCGACTCTTAAGAAAGGGCCAAAGTGCGGGGACTCCGCATGCCGATCCGGGAGTGGCGATATCCAAGTCAACTCGTGGTGTAAGTGGTGCGCCCACTCCCAGTCTCTGATTAGTCCCCATTTACCTGGGCATCCAACCAGGCAATCCAGTCGTACAAGGCCGGATGAAGTCTATACCCCAGAGCATCACCTGACCATCCCATGAAGTCATTCCCGTACCTCATAAATAGCATTGACCTGCCACAATTTCGGCTCATCTCCATTGATCTGCACTTTTACAGAAGTACAAATACAGCACGCAATCTAGTAGATACATCCATCTCGGGGTGGACATTCCCACACACCATCAACGGATCGACATAACCCACCCTCACGCTCTCAGCTCCAATCTCCAATCTCCAACATGCAATCAGCACTCTCACGACCCATTCTCCGAGTATCCAATCTAACAATTCTCCGATCATTCTCCATCGCTCCAGCTATCATGGGTGCAGGCGATCTAGGTGCTCCTAAGCCGCGAGGCTTTATGGCAGAGTATGAACTCCCGAGTGTATGACGTCATCAATTTCTGACTGGAGTAGAAAGGATGCATTTGCGCGACGTGAGGCTGCGCATGAACTTATGTATATTCGGGAACAGGAGATGGAGAAGTATGTTGTTCTTGGTTGTTGGTGCATATATATACTGACAATGGGGTAGGGTTAAGCGTCTTCGGCAGAAGCTTAAGGAACAGCGTCAGCATATGGATGAACTCGATAAACATCTGTGAGTATTTTCCTTTTAATTTTGTGCGACCACATGGTTGTTATGATTCTGACTGGTTATAGTGAGGAGTTTGCTAAGAGCCAGGGCGGCGAACAGAACTAACTTGCTCGTCCAACTTCCGAGACACTTAGTCGATGATCATATGCTTCTACCACAGATACACACGCAGAACGAACGGCGGACCTATATATATTGAGGTGGCCCGATCTTGCAAGAATATGTACCATTCAATCTAGAGTTAGCTTACTTCAAATGGAATAAGAACCTTTCACTTTTCACCTATTTTGAGATCCTCCTTGCCAAACTAGATCAGATCTTCGCTTGCCATCTCCACCGGTAACTCAGACAAGCCCACCGAGCCATGACAAACATCCCCAGTGCAACGATCAAGACACTGCCCAGATACGCCACCATAGCGCTCTTGCCAACTTTGTCCAGCATCTCACCTCCAATAGGGATACAAATTAGTGTTCTGGGATTATCTGTCAGTCGCCAATCAAACCATATCAGGGACCAAAGTATGATCGAAATAAGATGACTTACGCAAAGCTGACAATGGAATATGTCAATCCGAATCGTCCACCAACTTCGCTGGCCTTTGAGATCTGCCCAATACAGGCAGGTGCCAGACTCAGGAATGAGCCTGACGCTAGCCCGAATACTGAGGAGAAGGTATATAGCCCTGCCAGGGTATTTCCGAATGGTAGCCATATCACAAAGACTGCAACGGCTCCCAGCGCGATGAGTGCGGCCTGGGTGTTTATTCTGCCGTAACGATCGGCTATGCCTCCGGCCAGTAAGCGGCCTACAGTGGATGCTCTATGCGGTGTAAGTTACTGTGATTCGAGGCCAGAGAAGGGACTGTCACTCACATGTTCAGCACGGAGAGGAGAAGAACACTAGTGTTGGTCGAAAAGCCCTGCAGAACGACATAGGTCGGGTATAGACCCAGACTAGCGAAAACGACAAGCTCAAGGCCTGGACAGGTCAGGCATATCATTCTACTCCCAATAAAAACTGAATCCAACTTACTGAAGATCCCCACAGTCAACCAGGTAAACCTGGCATCTTTCAAAGAGCGCAGATTAACAGTCGACTTACTCCTCCCCTTCGGCAACCTCGCCTTGACCAAAAATGTCGCAACAACACACAAAGCCAACACGACGAACGCCAAAAGCCTAATTGTCCACTTATACCCTAGCTTAGAGAACCCAGCCCGAAGCATCAACGGAAAAAGCACACCACCAAGACCCGCCCCAGCCATCGAAATTCCAATCGCAAGACCAGCCTTCCGATCAAACCATTGAGGAACACTAGCCAACGCAACCGTACTCAAAAGCGCAGCTCCAGTGCCAGACATGACACCCAGCGTCAAGACAAAATGCCAATACTCATGACTCTCAGCTAGGAGCATCAGGCCTGTGACATAGATCGCGGTACCGGCAATGAGAATACCAGTCGGACCATACCGATCGAACATCGGTCCAACCTGGACGGAGACGCTCAGACCAAAGAATGTGAATAAACCGGGAATCCAACCGACTGCACTGGCGGAATATTTGGATAATTGGTGCGATGCGAAATAGTTTTGCAGGATACCGGTTGTATTCATTACCCCGAAACTACTCATCAAGAGTAGGAATGAGCCGAGAACAACGCTCCAGGAACGGAGTCCGCCATCTGGAAAGATTTCTTCGGCGTTGTGTTCTGGGAAATTGTCTGTGAAGTGGGTTGTGACCGTTGCCAGCTCGGCTGGGGGCTCGATTATGGAGAAGGCCGACCGGGGTGCTTCTTCATCGTTGATTCTTGTGCTTGGACCGGTTGTGGGGAGGCTTTCTACGCTTGTTTGTGCTGATGGGTAATGTTGTTGGACTGAGACCGTGGCTGTCTTCTGCTCTGGTGCCATTGTTGGCACGGTGTCGAGCTTCCTATGTTCACTTCTTGGGTGATGGGAACAAACACGGATTTAGAGTTGAAGATTCGAAATTGAAAGACCCTTTCATTTTGTGGAGTGAGTCATGTCGATAAGGGCTTGCATTAGCTTCACATGACGATTCATGGTGGGGTTATAGATGTCGGAATGGCCATCCGATCTTTTGAAGAAACTCTCCATAGTGGCACGTCATGGGTGCATGGAATCAGTCAGTGGGAGCAGTAATTGCAGTAGAGATAGTACGAGTAGTATCCAGGATATTCGGCCGTTTTTGAAATGATAATTGTCTGCAATTTGTGAAACCTAAAATTGAGCGAAGGTTGTTCACGGCCGAAAGTCTCGTCGGATCACTTTCCGAGATCACCTAGATCAGTTCAGGGTTGTTCCAGGGACTAAGTAATAATTGATCAAACTTGGAAAGGAATTAGACAGTCCCATTGGAAATATATTGACGCGACTCTGTAGGAATGCAGGTAATCGTATGTCGGGGGCTGGCTACAACCTCATCTATGAACGATTTCGTCCACTGCAAGTCAATGCCAAAAGTAAAGAAGTCCGGACATCAACATTAACAATTAATTTAACCTATAGCTAGATATTCCAACATCCACCGAAAGTGGGACTTGAAATACATTCAACCCCTGTGAGTGGCATGATTTGCGCGCCTCGCCACCCGGCCGACAACTCCCAACCTCACCCGCTCCTCACCGATCGCATCCCGATTTCCCCCATACAGACTGAAAATCAAAGTGGCATGATATCAAGATGCAGCTGACGTACCATAATTTCATTTGCAGCCCAAACCCAAAATGTTCACTGACTAAACCCCCAGCCATATATCAACCCAACTCCTTCTAAGTCCCCGCAAAAAAATACTATACAACCAAGATCCAGATCTCCTTCGAAAGATCAACATACAAATACATATACACGCATATTTCAATTGAGACCTATCCGCCAAAATGCAATGCACACGAATCCTCACAAGGAACATCCCCCAAGTCCGGCAACGACGCCAACTCCAAAACCCACGCATGACTCTCGTCGCCAGCCCTGTTCCTAGTCACAACCCCACCATTGACTCTGAACGTTTACCATACCGACTCTACGAACTATCGCTCAAGAAGATCAGGAAAGAAGCACATGCTGCCGAGCCAGATCTACGACATGTCATAGCCGGCATCTCAATGCAAAAGGTCGTCGCTGGTGCTGTTCATGATGATCTTCTTCATCGAGTTGATATGCTAGAAGAAAAAGCGCCTTGCAGGTTCCCCGTTTTACCTGGTGCCGATGAGCCCTGGGAACATGAAGAACTCGCTTCTGATTCGAGGCATAATCCTAATGCTTGGGATATGGAATCCCTTGATCAGGCTTTATGTGAGATGGAGATTGCTAGTCAGAAAGGGGAGGTTGCTAAAACCGTTTGTTGGCGGTTAATTGGGGAGATGTAAATATTTTATGACGTGTCATTTTTGAAGCGTTCTTGTGTTTTTTTGGTTTGCCCTTTGCTTTTAGTTTTGTGCGTATTCTGGGAGTTGAAAACTGGAGTTGGTGATACAAATTTGCTTCATTTGCAATTACCTATCGCTTAACAATGTGTGGCGCATGAATATAGGACAATATAAGGAGAATCCTTTATATATATACTTTTTTAGTTTCAGGGTTCCTTCATTTACGACATATGAACCTTTTCGTTGTTTACCCATGTAGTTACTGCCTACCTACCCAACTGGCTTCAAAATGTTAGCCAGAAGCATCGGTTATGGGGATCCAATGAGGGGTTGGGTAGCCATATATGACATCAGGGACGGGTGTTAGCAAAGCCAGCAAGGTAATGATCTACTGTATTGAGGTGTCCGTTCGTGGGTTGACTTATCAAATAACAACGAATCGACTGAAATACATGCAATAACATTATCTTCGTACTACCACAATGCCATTATTTGTTCTATGTTATAATTTTATTATAAAGGAATTACGCTGCGTAGAATAGAGATATAGGTCTCGAGCATTCTCTGTCTTTATACATACTACCTGTATATAAGGTAGAGGAGGAACAACTCTGAACTGCGTGTCTTAGCTCGTGAACAGCTTTCTACGTACCAAAGTTAACAAGCTTTCAGCCACTTCGTTCTCGGAATTGAGAAATACGCTTATGGTTGACAGGAAACTACGAAACAATTATCTTGGCTCCAACCTCGCTTTTAAGTACCTTATCCTCTTACTTTGTCTGTACCACCTGTAAGTGACACGCAACTACGATGCATATATCTAAGCCCTTGAATAGGCTTCCGTGTAAGCGTTACCCAAACGAATTTCCAGGAGTTTAAATATACTACATGCTTATGAGAAACAGATAACTAGGCGCTATTTTTAAATAGCCATCTACGAAGTAGAGACTTGTAGAAAAACAGACCTTCAAATTTATCTACTTATTTCTCTAGATTTGTGTGTACTAGGCTTATATCCTTGAGCATCGTTCAACGTGGTAAATAACTCTGAAAGTCGCATTTACCCACTTTATCCTCAGAATCTATATACACCAGCTTGTAAGTGACGGTTAACTGTGGAGTGTCTTTGAACAGCCTTGTATATGAAAAAGTCCCTATAAATCACGTTCACTTATTGATTTTGGCAATTTGTATACTCAAAAGTGACGGAAATTGCGAGTAGCTCGAGTTAATAAGATCTTCTACAGATACATTCACACAGTTCATTCTCGGGACTTGAATATACCCCCGATGTACGCAACGGAAACCTGCGAATAGCTCTATCTGATAGGATCTTATTTAACTAGTTTATTCTCAGAATTGAAATACACCACACACTTATAACTAACAAAGAGTTGCGAAAAACCCTAGCTCGTACCTATCTAACTACCTTATCCTCAAAATTTGTATGTGCCACCCGCTAATAAGTGACGAGTAATTAATCCCAGCTGCCTAGCTCATAATCATTCAACCACTTTCTTCTCGGAATTTATGTGCACCATCCGCTGGTAAGTAACGAACAACTGCGAATAACCCAGCTCCAATATGATCATCTACACTATTAATTCCCCAATGTCCTCACTCGCCACCCTTTCTTCCTCATACTCACTTGCACATTCATCTACGTATTCACTGACCATCCCTTCAGTCATCACAAAAAGCCACTCCTAAAGAAGGCTTCAAGATGTCGGAACCCAACCATTACTGCACTCAATGCCGAAAGGACCAGCCAGTCTCTGGATTCATGCGTGACGATGGCGAGGGCCCATTTAAGCGTTGCAACCGTTGCAGGAAGAAGAACGCAGATGTCAGTTGGTGAGAGTTCTGAAGCTCAAAGATTCTTTCCAACTGATAGAAAACAGTCACACCGATCCTGGCGGGCCTCTCAAATGAGTAACGGTGCTCCGGAGTTGCCATCACACCGTGCAGGTGACCATACCAAACAGCCTGTATCCAACAACTCCACCACAGCAGCTGTAGCTGGAAGCATCAGCAAAATCCCAGCTGGCAGTACACTGGCCGGCAGTTCATTGACCGAATCTCACACACATCATGGTAACGGTACCCGATCTATCACAATCGCCCCTGAGGTCATCACAACAATTGGTGATATCACAACCAGCACAACAGTCGTTACTATCGCCACTACAGTCCGCCATGGAGAAGGCAAAATGGAGATGAATCCCCAAGATGAGCCATCTCCAAAGGTCGAAAGCGACGATGTCGCTTCAGTGTCCAGCGAGTCTTCTCACGAGGCAAATGATTTCCCACACGAAAGTACCACCCACGGGCCTGGATTCTTCGTCTGTATCCATTGTGAGAAATGCCAACCTGCTCCACTCCGGGGATTTTCGGTGTGTTTGCTCTGTATTACCGACTGGAAATGGTGTAACAAGGAAAAACACAACCGACCACTGGCAGACTTCATGTGGGATGGAAAGGAGCATGATCAATGTATACATTGCGTGCTTGACGTCGGACCGTTGTGAGGGGATTCGGGGTCTTGTTACGAAGTCATGGTATTTGTGTTCTTATTCTTACTTGAGGCGTCGACGGTGTATTTCGAGAAGTTCCTTGACAGTATCTGATCTTCGAAAGTGGGAATTGTGGGTATGTATCCTTACACTAATCTTAGGGATTACTTATGGCACCAGACCTATTACATTTACAGTGCTCAAAGTTGAGGTTCGAAGTCCTCGAAAGGCCCTTAATATGACTTAACCCATCACGAGGGTATGTTTGATCATCTAAGATGGAGGATCACTATGAGTGCTTGAGAGTTAGGCATCGCGATGTATTTTTAACTTGAAAGTGGCACTCTATGTCTAAAGAAGGCATCTATTAAAATAGCCACGGCTACAATATGCGGTGGCGCAAAAGAAGAGAGATCAAAGTCCCTCTAGAATATTAACTCTGTACAACCCCAGAGCTCAACCGATCAGTCAGCCTTCTTCGAGGCCTTGGTTCTGAGTTTCATCAGACCAAAGACAAGAGCATAAGAGCTGATCACAAATAGGCCGACGAGGGCAGTATCGCGCCATCCATAGTAGTAATCAAGAAGGTTGACCGTCTGGAGGTAATCCGATCCACGGGTGTATTGGCACACCCGGCATTCAGTGGCGTCGGGGTCGAGAAGGTTCATGCGAGTTCCAATGGTTTGCATGTACCCGGCGAGATATTCACCACAGGTTGTTCCGTTTGGTGCAGTGAAGAGTGCGTACTCTTGTTCTGTACATTGCACCTTTTTGTCGAAGAGACCAAAGACTAACATACTTCCCATCAAGTAATTGAAAGGGTTTAGGTAGTAGATCCAGTACCTCCAGAAGGGTTGGATTTGGGCGTAAGGAACAAGGACTCCGCAGAAGGAGATCAGAGTCTGCGCAGATTGAAAGCATGATTAGTTTGCCGTCCATAGCAAGGTAGATGGAACTATAAACTTACACCCAGGACGAGAGGATTGATCATGGCAGCCAGGTTGGCGTTAGGGGCGTACGCAGCAACAAATTGACCTGGAAATTCTGTTAGCTGATGTCAAGGGAACGAGGAACGAGATGTCTTACCAATTCCAGTGTATAAGAATTCATAAAGAAGGAAGACTGTGAACATGGATCCACTCTTACTCGCCTCGGTGACCAAACCACCGGTCCAATACCAGCAGACAAAGAAGAGCACACCACAAATAATCAGATATGGGATCTCAGAGACAATCAAGGCGAATGTGAAGGCTTTCCAAGAGTACATCTTAGCCTTCTTCTCGCGTGCTTCAAACAGGTCACGGCGTTCGAGGAAGGTTGGCTGCAACTGGTTGATCACACCCGGGGCGACGAAGATGGCGTTGAAAATAAAGAACAATGTGAGTTGCATGTCACTAACAGAGTCACCAATCATCCAGAAGCTGAAACCTACAAACAGGCCGGAGGAGATGTGGAGCGCGAACTTGTTGTTGATATAGTCGCTGTTTCTGAACAGGGCGGTTGAGGTACGCTTGAGAACGAGGCCTGTTTGCTCCCAGAGAGAAGTGGCAAACTCGCGACCGTCGTCAGTAGTTCCAGCAGGCTTAGATGCAGCAGTCTCAATGATTGAGTCAAGCTCCTTAAGCATTTCGGTATGTTCAGGTGATTCCAGCCAGATCTTGTTCCAGTCTCGGCCTTGGCTCAATTCACCGGAAACAACATCAATCATATGCTCGGCAGGGTTTGTCTCAGGGGGGCATGGTGCTCCGTAACGTGAGAAATAGCTCTTCAGACTCTTGGCATTCTCTCCAATTTCGCCGAAGAAAACGGTCTTACCACCCTTAGCGAGAAGAAGAAGTTGATCGAATTCAGCAAAGAGCTGGGCAGAGGGCTGGTGCACAGTAACTAGAACAGCTTGTCCAACGTCTGCCAATTTTCTCAAAAAGCGGACAGTATTGTAAGCACTCTGGCCATCAAGACCACTGGTAGGCTCGTCCAAGAAGATCAAAATGCTGGGCTTAGAAACAAGTTCGACACCAATAGTGACACGCTTTCTCTGTTCAACAGAGAGTCCAGCTCCGACACTACCAATCATAGTATCGGCCAAATCATGAAGCTCGAGTAGGTTGATGATCACGTCGACGTAGGCCAACTTCTCGGCACGTGGAACGTCGGCAGGTTGACGAAGGAGCGCAGAGAATTCCAATGCCTCACGGACAGTTGCCATCCGCTCGTGAATGTCGAGCTGTTCAACATAGCCGGCGGAACGTTGGAAGGAGACAGGCAGTGGGCGGCCATCGACCATGATAGAACCATTGATAGTGCCTTCAGTCTTGCGCTGAGCAAGAACATCCAAGAGGGTCGTTTTACCTGCACCGGAGGATCCCATAAGAGCACCCAGCATACCAGGCTTCACCCATCCATGGACGTTATCGAGAAGAACTCGGTCGCCGGACGGTGTTTTGACAGTGTAGGAAAGATTCTTCCAGGTGAAGACCGAAGTGTTTCTCACAAGTTGGTTGTCGATGTTGGCGGGTTCGTTGCTGCCCTCAGAGACAGCCTTCGTGGAAGCCTGGCCCTCTTCGTCCTTCTTCTGGTTTTGGAGATGCTTGTGGAGGTATTCGCGGGGGATGACCAGTGTGTTACCAGACTCGGACGGAGACTGCCACCTCGAGGTTGCAACAATTGTAAGGAAAGCAAATAGTGCCCACCAGGCCCAGTTGATACCGAAGTTACGCCAGATGTGCGCGTGACTGTATGAGAGAGATGACAGATAGTTGTCACCAAGCACAAAATTCTGACCTTGGATTGCACCGCCGACTCCGGCACAAGATTGGTGGTCTTGGGAATTTTCATATCCGGGGCCGGTAGGAACGAGGTTGCCTCCCACGCACGGAATTGTTCTGCCGTGGAACTCGGTAGATAGCAACGCCTCAAACCCGTAGGAGAGGGGATCAATCCAGAATATCCAACCAAGCCATGGGTGCATTTTCGGCTTTTGAATCATATACCCACTGTAAAGGACAGTAGACATAATCAACAAGCCAGAGACCTTGGAAGCACCATCAAAGGTTGTAAAGACAGCCCCGACAGCGCGGAAAAGTGCAGTCATAGCCTGTGTTTTGGTTAGTTCGATCTCGTATCATTGAAAAAGGAAACCTTACCATAGTTGTGGTAAAAACGATCGCGAAATACGTGAAGAAGGCACCGGCTGACATTGAAAGCCCAACCATGAAGTATACAACCAAACCGAACATAGAGATCTGGAAGAGTAGAACGGGGATATCGGCAGCGATCTGAGCCAAGCAAAACGCGGCAGGGTGGAAATAGGCGAAACTTTTGTGCTTGATGAGGACTGGTCTTCCGGAGAATGACTCAGTGACCTCACTCATCGCGAGCAGACTGTTGTACAGAAGAGAGAAGAAGAGTGCACCGGACTTGACGAAGAGGCCGCCGGAGTTATCCGGAGCACTGTAGAACAAGGAGCCTGCAATCAGAGCCTGGGCCAGCGTCGCCACCTGCTTAATGATAAAGGTTGCTTTATCACCCCAAAGGATCTGGTACTGGCGCTGCACACAGATTTTGACCTGGTCAAGGAAGCTGACAGTGAATGGGCTGTTCTGAGGCAGCTTTTTGGAAGTCTCGAAAGCAACGCCCTCCTTGAACTCTTTGGTGCGTTCACGGGCGAGATCAGAGTCTGGGTAAGAGTACTCGGCTGCCATTTGAGCATGAATTGGTGACTTTTCATACTCGGCACGGAGGGCTTCTGCGTTGCGCGGGAAGCGACTTTCATAACCCTCGCGAATTCTTCGCTCAGTTGGGACAGTCACACCGGTGAGGTAGTCGGCGATGTTGGAACCCTCGCGGCAGATAAATCCGGCGTTCTCCATAAAGGGGCGGGCCTGTTCCCGAGGACCGTAGTAAATCTGCTCTCCTTCATCGAGCAATAGCACTTTGTCGAACAAGTCAAAAATACCGTTACCGGCTTGATAAAGTGTGACGATTGTCGTGAGACCAAGAACATCGGTCATAGCTCGGATGGCCTTGGTCCATTCGAGGGCAGTAGAAGCATCAAGACCGCGAGTCGATTGGTCCCAACAAAAGACGGATCCTCGCGTAGCCATGCATTCAATGATTGAAACACGCTTTCGCTCTCCTCCTGATACGCCGCGGACGTACTCATTTCCAACCTTGGTGTCCTCGGTGTGAGAAATTCCGACCGACTCGAGAAGGAACTTCTTCGATGCCTGCTGATACTCGGAAGCAGTCATGCCATCGGGCAAATGAAAGGGGACCTTAAGGCGAGTTGCAAAGTCCATAGTTTGTCCGACTGTTAGGGTTGGGAAGAAGATCTCCTCCTCGCTATTGAGCACAATCTGACCGCGATAGTTCTTGGCCTCATTGGAGTCCATAGAGCCGAAACGGACATCGCCTTCGACAGACTTGTATCCACCGCGCTTATTGGAGAGCATTTTCAACAAGGTCGAACAGCCAGAGCCAGGGCGACCAAGAACAAGGAGCATTTCTCCGGGTCGGACATTTCCATGACTTTCCCGAAGGATGGTACGCAACGGAGGCTTTCTGCGGCTATCCTTGATTTTCTGGGGGATGTTGAACTGTGATAGGACCGTCTCATTGACCGCTGCTTCTGCACTGACAACCTGCACAGAGAGGTCCTTCCATGTCACACCAAGTGATTGCTGTTTGAATCCAGAAGCCAGGTTGCGGGCGTTTTCTTCCTGGAGCTGAGGAAGCATTTTCCAACTGTTGGCTTTAGTTTCAGAAACCTCTTTTGTCGGAGTTTCAGAGCCCGTGACCGTCATGGCGCTTTCTGTGTCATATTGGATATCATCCGACCCTGCACGGGAGGGTTTCTCCGAGTCCGCCATGGTGAAAGCAGAATTGAATTGGACGTTGAAACCAGAAAGCAACTGGAAAGGAGAAAGGGGGATCGTACATTTTAATGGACATGTATCGCGTCAATAGGCTGAGTGGGTCCCCAGTAACAAAGCAGATGAACCCGAAGCCCGAGGCCGAAGCAAATATGCATTTTAGGAAATCATCGGGATTACTGATGGGCCCGAACACAACGGAGGCAAGTCATATTGCTCTAGAACACACTTTCAATGCAGTTTATTCGCCCAAATCAAGATAATCCACTCGCAGTAAGCCCCGGAAGTGGATACATCGTCCATGTACCCGCTGAGCTGGAACCCGTATGGCCACGATGACCTTGGCATGGATGGTTGAGAAAGCAGTCATTATCAGATCGGTGACTCAAATATCGGGCCACTGCAGGAAATACACAGCTAATCTATTCCGAGCTCAGGACTTAGGAGTTAGGCGACGGAATGCCGACTCCGCGAGAGCGGATTGGGTTATCAATTACTCCACTGTTTGCCTTAACTGACCAATCGGTCATTGAACTGTCGTTATTGTTCCGCTGACCTAAGCGGAAGCAGGGGCTTCGGAGTATTCCAACATCCGAATAACCGCGTGGCATGGGGATGTCGGATAGATTTCGAATCAGCCTATTGTGATCATCCAATCAGAAATTATTATGTACTTTCGGAATGGTTTGCGATCTATGGACATCTCGCTTCTTGTAACCTATTAAAAAGGGTTATGTTTCAGATCCTTTTGATTCCTTTCAGTGGCTTCCTCGCAGCCTGGTTTGTTTTTCGGGTACTTTTACTCTTTAGGCTACTGCAGGTAACTTGACTAGTAACGCACATGCGATATGTATCACCTTTTCAAACCTAGCGATCAACCAGATCTGGATCGGCTTTGATCCTATCTGATTCCTGAAAATATGAGCTCGAATATTTCTGAATCGATGTGATAAAATTCAGCTGCAGTTTAATCCACATTCGTAACGGCTTCTCGCAAGCATAATAACGCACATCGTCAAAGTTACATCGGAGACCGATAGTATATCAGGACAAGTATGGGACACAACCGAGCTTCATTCTTTTCTGTCACCCAACTTTTGACTAGCAATATTGCTGGACAGATCCAGGATCGAGCTTGCTATAATCTGCAGGATGGGAACAGTACAGTCCAGGACTCTGGACACCCAGTTGCGTAGGTCAACCGCAACATGAGAATCAACGCCGTACTCAGAAACTGGATGGGAGGGATCGATGTTCTCTACTGGCACAGAGAGATGTAGAGCAATCTTCCGCCTCAATGCTTCACAGATGACGGATGTGGCTTGTTCTAGGTTTTTGGCTTCTTTAAGGTCCGCCTTCAAACCTTCAGCCGAATCGCCGAGTATGGCAGTTCTTCCATGATTGTGAAATTTGCGGCGGAAATGAGAGAACAAAGGTGTACTAAAATTCCCCAGTGATTCTTCCTCTCTCCATTGGCCAAGACCGGCTACAATCTGTGTTCCTCCGGCTGGGGGTTGAGATATCGCGACTCGAATCAGCGACAGAAGGGTTGGTGTGTCCGTGCCCTGGAATCCTTGCTTTTTCATCGTCGCTGCTAAATCTGTGTTTTCTGCCAGATAACCAACATCTGTGATGGTGCCGAGATCTAATGATACTGCTGGAAGGCCCAGGCTGCTCCGATATGCGGCAAATGAATCCTGGAAGGAACAACCAGCAGCATATGCAGCTTGAGTCGCATTGCCAATCACGCCGCTGATGGAAGAAAGCATGAGGAAGAAGTCGAGGTCTTTGGGCAAATGTCGGTGCAGATTCCAGGTCCCTGCATATTTGGGGCCCATGACCTCTCGATAATCATCCAGGCTCATATTCTCAATATGAACGTCCTAGAAGCCTTGCATCAGTATTGACACAAACGGAGCAAATATCAAAGCCTGACCTTAACAACCATAGCCCCCTGAATGATTCCTCGAATTGGAGGCGCACAGCGGGAAACATCCACAATCATTTGCTGAACTTCAATCTCGTTGGATATGTTACAAACCTGAACTATAACCTGGACACCTTTCTTCTCCAGTTCCCTTACTGTTGTCTGGGACTTCTCCTTTGACAGGCCACTTCGATTAAGAAAGACCAGACTCTTTGCACCGTTTTGGGCCATCCATAAAGCCACCTCACGTCCGATTCCACCAAGACCTCCGACTAGAAGATAGGATGCAGTAGCACGGAACAATGATTGTGGTGGTTTGGGGAGTGTGGCCTGTCCAATATGAGCTAGCTACGTCTTTTTTGTATGAAAGGGGGAACTTACCATGACAAGATCATCTGGTGCAGCAGTAACGACAACATGCCGCTTGGTAGGTATTTCTTCTATGGCCTGTTGAATGTGTGAGACGTTGTGTACCGCTGTCCCCGACGGGCCTTTGAGTCGTCCTTCCCGGAATAGTCGAAAGACCTTACACCAAATGTGGTCTGCAAGGTCTCTCCTTTCCTTCCGGAGATCGAAAATGTTAAATGTTGACAACGAAATATTGCGATAACGCAAGACCCCTTGAGTTCTGGACTTGTCGGCGAAAAGTCGGATAAAGTGGCCAAAAGGCGCGGTCAAACTTTGGAGTTGTTCGTCACCGGTCCCCAGGCTCACTACTAGATTTGGCCTCTTGCCGTCAGTTAACCTCCCTAAACTCTTCACGACATCATTTTGTCCATCTATGAAGATATGATGGGTAGGAATTCCAAATCGGCATGACAACAAAAGCTTTTCTGTCGAATCCTGGACTGTCGCAAAGACATGGGCGCCTCTCATTTTGTACAATTCCACAATCGCCTGTCCACACCAGCAGCCAGCGCGGTGCACAAGGACAACGTCATTCAATTGAAGATGCGACAAATGGTAGTTATCGATATAATATGCAGTCGAGTATGCGACAGGCAATGCTGAAGCAAGCTCAAATGACATTTTATCACCGATCTTCTGGAATGCCGCTGCTCGATCATGATAGAAACTCCTGGCTGTGCCAGTTCCAAGACACGCCACACGGTCTCCAATTGAGATGCCACGAACCCCGACACCGACGTTGTAGACAACTCCGCTGCATTCGTGGCCAAGAGTGTCACCCGAGTTCCAATCATGGGTGTCTCTCCGAAGGTCTTGCTCGCTGAGGCCAAAGGCATGTACTGTGATTCCAACGTGCCCGATTGGAAGTTCTGACAATGCGCAGTCCGCAATAAAGCGAGGCTCTTTGAATCTTCTCGATAGACGTAGAGGCTGCTCCGCCCGGTGGAAATACTCCTCAGTAACAGTCTCACTGGCAAGGAAACTGAGCATGGCTGTGTTCGTATCTGAGTCTTCCAACACACGTGGAATCAGGATTATCCCATTTCTTTCCGCAAACTCTGTGTCGTCATTCGGGATTTGACGGAGGAAGCGGGCCGCCAGGAGGTTTGAAATCAGCTCTACAGAATGAGATTCGGAGAGAGGATTTTGTGCATCCAGATCAAGGGTGACAATTGGATTGACCCCGGATTCGGCACGCGCTGTTCGTGCAAAGCCCACAGCAAGGCTCGCATTCGGGTTGACTGACTCAACTGTGCCACCTCTGGTAATCCAGAGAGCACCTGCGCTATGCATGAATGCTGCTTTTATTTTGCCTAATGTGATATCATTTGGGGCGGCCAGCAAAGATCCTTGCTGGGCATCCAGCACCAAACAGATTCGATCCTCTGTTTGCGCATCGTCTATACTTCGCACATTCACTTCACAGGCAAGAATTTCCAGTTGGGTGACTAAATCTCTAACGGCAATCCCAGCTTCGCCTTCGCAGATGATTGAAACCTTCGCTGTCGATATTTCTGTCTTCCCCCTTCGGGCGACGATAAATTGATGGTTCTTCTCGCAATCTGGTTCTGCAAAAACATCAACTGCGGTAAAGTGTGCAGCACGCAGTATCTCGTCCCATTGACACTCTGACCAACCACCTTGACCTAAGCAGAATTCTTCTGCAGACAAACAATGCAATGCACTGAACAGAAGATTTCTGACAATATTCTGCTTTGGATTGAAAGGGCTGATTGCAATCAATGACCCGGATGGCCTAAGAAGGTCATAAATCTTGCGAATCGCATTTTGCTCACATTGTGCAGTGCACAAGCCATGAGGTAGTATGACTATATCAAAAGATCCCTTCTCAAATCCCTGCGTCGGGAGATCTTTTCCGGGATCTAGCGACTTGCAGTCAACCAATCCTGACCATGCCTCCAGCCGCTTCGCGGTATGCTCCAGAACGAGGGGACTTTCATGGGCAAATGTGTATTTTCCACAACGAGGGGACTGGGTGGAATGTGCAAGTTGTCCGAGAAATAATTGGGCCACTTGTCCTGTCCCAACTCCAAACTCCAGGATCGAAATATCTGGTTTCTTGTGGCCGACCAAATCCAGATACCGGGCTGTTGCTTTGTATGAGGAATCTGCAGAGAAAATATCCCAAAATGTATCCAATAGTTGATGATTTGTGATAACATCGGTGAAATCTACCTGGGCTCTGATGATAGCCACGAGGTTCTCGCCGATGGCGCGCAGCAGATCTCCTGTCGGGTTGGGCTTCATTCCTTTCAACCCAGATATTGAATCAGGGTGTTCTTCATCGTATTTATCCAGAACGTCCTGTAAATGACATCGGAACCTGCGGTGAGAAGTATCTAGTTTCCTTGCTTCCATGGCACTGACTTCTTCTAACGCAGTCCTTATGAACCCCACCGCACATTCCTCAAATTCAACTTGAGATGCAGGGTCCTGGGCTGGCTCGCTTTCCTGCTTAAATAAGAAAGATGCATTGTCTTTGCAAAGAAAACACGGATCGGCCTTCCACTCAATGTGATAAGTACTTTGATTCTCCTTGGCAAGGGAAGCACCTCTGTCGCGCTCGAGCCGTGTACATTGCAAGCCACGGATCGAAATGCTGGGTTCCATTTCGGACTGTTTGTCATTGCAGTCAACCACCACTATAGATGCCATCACATCCCTTTTAGGTCCCTGTCTTACATGAGTACAAATGCTCATAACATCGCCTGCCGAAGAACTGATACCAGATGACACGATCATCTCCTCGATGGAGATGGGGATAGCGGGACCTTCTTGAATATCCATGCCAGGTGGTAAAGCAGCAAAGACAGTATGGAACATGCTGTCGAGCGTGCAGGGATGGATTAGAAGATCATACTGGAATGCGCGCGGCATTACCGACCTGGTGTCTGGCACTGTGACCTCTGCAAAACAAGCCCCCTCTTGGGTGATGTGTGCCTTTGTCAGATTGGCGAAGCATGGTCCATACTCCAGCCCTATTTCATGAAGCTCTTCGTAGAAGTTTGGAACGTCGATCAGAGATATTCCATGGACCTCGGTGCCTAATGGTACCATGGCGTAGTTGTCTGTTTCCTCGGGCCCGTCGGCTGAAACATCGATCCTTCTTTGTGAGCCGACCAGCCCAGTGCAATGGTCGGTCCATCGGTTATCTTCTGAGATCGAGTAGACGTGGAATTCGTATAGCTCATGTGGCATGTGCGTTGATTCCCGGATGGAGACCATAAGTTCAATGGCTGACGTCTCATTGAGAACCAGAACAGACTTGAACAAAACGTCTTGGAGAACATATTTGACAATATTGACTCCGCTATTCCCGCGCTGCATTAAAGCTTCGATTGCAATTGCCAAATATCCCGCAGCGGGGAAGACAATATTCCCCTGGATTTTGTGGTCAAGAAGCCACGGAAGCTCCGAAGTCCGAAGAAAATTTCTCCAACGAGGCTCATTTGGGCAAGACATATTATCCGGTACGCCAAGAAGATCATTTCGAGGCAATTTCCTGTTCCTGTACACCTTGCTAAGCCGTGGCTCAGCCCAATACGATCTGGTATGATTCCAAGGATACGGTGGGAGATCGACTAGCAGCTGTGGCATACAGGTTCCTCCAGGTCCTTCTGGGCTGTTGATCGCACCAAAATGCACCGGATAGTTGAGCGATGCCAGGGTGGCAGCCATGTCAAGTGCAGTTGCGACCGCGTTGTTCCGTCGTTTCAAAACACTCGTATACACAATATCGGCAGAGTTAAGCTTTGTGTCTGCTTGTAGGATCTGATTGATCGGCCCAGCAAGGGCAGAGTGAGGACCTATCTCGATGAGACAGTCGACGTTGGCTTTTTGTGCTGCTCCAACCCTTCTGGTTCGTACCGATTCGGTGTAGCCAGGCCGCTGCGTGTTTGTCTCGAAGCACAAGTTTCTGACAGACTCGGAAAACTTCACTTGTCCAAGCAGATTTGAGACCCAGTACTCAGCGCCCAGCTCTTCTTGCGAAAGGTTTGCTCCAGTAACGGACGAAAAGAATGCTGCTGATCTGTGTTGTCTCTCGTCTTCTACTTGGTTTTGGTTCTGAGGTTCAATGTAATCGATTAAACGACGATACTCATCTGCAACAAGGGCCATATGTGGAGAGTGATAAGCGACATCCACAGCAAGGCTGCGGCTGAATACTGGCTCGTTTCTCAATAGCCGCGCCAGAGCAGCAATGGCAAGGGCGTCACCGGAGACAGTAACACTAGATGGACTGTTGACACATGCCACGACGAGCTTTCCACAAAGAAGTCTATCAATATATTGATGAATTTCTTCGGCAGACACACCCACCGCCATCATGGCACCTCGTGTTTTATGGTCATCCAACAGCTGGCTCGCCACAACACCTCGATGGTATGCAACTGACATCGCATTTTCCATACTGAGCGCTCCAACAGCATACGCTGCAGCGATTTCACCACTGGAATGACCCGTCACAGAGTCTGGGTGTATACCCCATGAACGCAGTAGATCAACAAGTGCTATCTGGAGTGCTGTGCACACCATCTGGCTGAGGCGGGGGTGATTCAAATCCGAGTTTTGGGGGCATTTTGTAATCTCTCCTTCATACGAGCCCAGGTTAGCACGGATATATCTGGAAACAAAGTAATCTATACCTTTTACGAGGGACGGTGCTCCAATGCCATCCAAATATGTGTCGATCGCCAGGACTGAGTTTCGAAAGACCGGATATGCTTCGAGTAACTCCTTCCCCATCCCAGCCCATTGGGCACCTTGGCCTGTGAAGACAAATCCCAATTTGGGTCTTCGCACGGCACTTCTGCATTTGATACTTCGAGCAAGCGATGTAGCCAGGTCTTCAATTGTGGTGGCTACTATAGCCACTTTCCAGGTGAAAGTTGAACGGCGCTCGTTGAGTGTGAAAGCAAGATCATCCAGTAACTTTTCGTTGTCGGGTCTTGGGCCTCTGTCAAGGATGTAATTTCTCAATCTTTGCATCTGCTGTGCGCAACATTGCTCGTCAAAGCCGGAGAGCATGAATATACGCGATCTGCTGACCGACTGACCGAGATTCTCTTTTCCTTGCGTGCCGTTAGATGCCACCAATGACAACTTCATTCTGTTATTGAGACCCCGAATGGATAGGTATCCCATGGCATCTTCAAGAATGACATGAGCATTACTCCCTCCATACCCAAAGCTATTGACCGAAACACGATGCGGTCCAGTGGTCTCCCACGGCTCAGGGAGTAATTGAACCTAAGGAATCAGCCAGTGGCCGTCAAATGGAACGATTCTCGCAAACCTTCAGTTTCCAATCGTCCAAAGGAATACGCGAATTGACGATCTCAAAATTGCGATTCGGCAAAAACAACCGATTTTCCAGCATCAAAACTCCTTTGATCACACCAACAATCCCACTTGCTCCCTCTAAATGCCCAACATTGGTTTTAATTGAGCCTATCCGCAACGGGTCATCCGAAGACCGACCAGGCCCAAACACCCGCCCAATGGCACCGGTTTCAATGGGGTCACCAGCTTGCGTACCTGTACCATGTGCCTCTACAAACTCTGTCTCTGACGGATCAAGGCCAGCTCGAGCATACACACTTCGAATCAATGACTCCTGTGCAGCTCCACTGGGCAGAGTTATACCAGGGGTACGCCCATCCTGATTAGATCCGGTCCCCCTGATCACAGCTCTGATGGTGTTTTTGTCACGTAACGCGCTAGCCAGAGGCTTGAGGATTAAACAACCAACAGCTTCGCCGCGGGCGTATCCATTCGCCCTTTCATCGAAGGTGTAGCATTTTCCATCGGGCGATAGGAACCTGGAGTTTAATCAGTGTTGTCCTTTCGTTGTCAATATGGTGCTTATCTTACTTCATCATACTCATAGTGGACATGAACTCATGACTCAATATCAAATTGACACCCGCCGCAATGGCTGCAGAGGCATCCCCTGTTTGCAGGCTCTGGCATGCCAGATGGAGTGCTACCAGACTTCCCGAGCAGGCCGTGTCTACGGTGACGCTCGGCCCTTTCAAGTCGAAGAAATAGGATAGTCTGTTGGCAGTCATTGCCCTAGACTGTCCGGCATTTGTGCACTGATACATCGGTACACATTCGGGATCTCTCAGGAGGAGATCTGTATAATCTGCTGAAAAAGACCCGACAAAGCAGGATGTTTTTGTGCCCATTATTTGGGTAAGGGGTATTCCAGCTGCGTATCATTAGAACCCAGATATGGTGCATTGATCGCAAAGGGTTTTTTTTACCATTCTCCAAGCCCTCGTATGTCACTTCTAGCAGGAGTCTCTGCTGGGGATCCATGACCTGGTATTAATTGGTGGTTAGCGCAATTCTCACATCTTCGCAAAGATACTCACCGATGCTTCGTCGCTCGTCATGTTGAAGAACGGCGCATCAAAAACGGAGATGTCATCTTCCAGAAAATGACCGCCCTCCACGTTGACCTACTAACGGTTATTTTCGGTCCTTGTTACGGATTTTGAGGACCTACCGTTCCATGTCTAGAATGATCCGGATGGTAGAACGCAGTGTTGTTCCACCTTTTCGCTGGGATCGGGCTCCATGCTTCTCTGCCAGCCCGTATCATCTCCTCCAGCTTCTCGACATTTTGAGCATCTCCTGGTCCTCGGAATCCGATTCCCACAATGGCTATCGGCATACAAGAGTCTGCTTCCAATACTCCCATAACACCTTCCTCTCCATTGTCTTTTGCGGTTTGTTTGGACATTTTTGGGTTTTTGGTTACTAAAAGATTGATGGCGACAATATACCTCGTATGAAAAAAACAGAAAAGCTTGTTGTTAGCGCTTTTGCTTTTCCATATGCCAGTCTGGGGACTACAAGTTAAGCTTCCTTTCAGCCCTATCATACGACCTTTGGGTCTGCAACACTACACCTCGGGGTGAGAAGGTTCTTCTCACTTGCACCAACTTAGTAGCCGGGTGCAACCCTCGACGGCAAAATAAACTCCAAGGGCCGTAGTGTGTCTCTCTCTGAAACAAAGTTCGTGCATTGGGAAGTTATCATGAACGAATCATCACAATCGTTTCCGTTCCACAACCGCCAAATACTACACTCTTATCCACGAGGCCCCCAAGGAACTCATTTTCTAACACCGTCGCATACCCGAGAAGACTCGCACGCTTTAATCCTGTTTCACCAGATCAGGGTCTGACTACACAGTTTCCGAATAGCAGTAGCCATAATAGCAACATTCTTTTGATCACTGGGCACATCATGGCCCTTCCCATGAACAGCAAAAGTAGAAGAACTTGCATTACAAATCCGATGCAGCGCCAACGAATACTCAAAGAGCGGATCTTTAGCGCCGGCAACATGCACACAGGGAACAGAAATGAAACCCTGCAAACCATCATCAATAACCGGCCGCTGACCAGGACCAGGATCCATCCGAAACGGCGGCAGCGAATTGATGAAGATAGCACAGCGAAATAAAGGCTGCTCGTCCGGATACATCTTCGCATGGTGGATCATGAAGCCCGCAGCCAATGTGCCGCCATGCGAGAAGCCCAGAATGCCGTCGAAGGGGCCTTCCAAGGCGACTGTTTCATTCAGCAGCTGGTACGCCTCCAGGATGTCGGATTCGTCGCTGTCTTCGAGGGAGAACGTGCGCGGGAACCGGTAGTAGCTGTAGTACGGGCCTTCATAGTATCCGGCGATTCCCGGGCCAGGATCTGAGTCGATGTCACCCTCTAGGAAGGAGAATGTTGCCGTGTTGTCTTTTTGGAGCTCTTTTATGAGGCCACCTGGTTCTTTTGAGCTTTTTGTGTTTCACGAGGATGGGTGTTTGGCATACTCAATTGCGACTGTAGAATCTGCTGGAGGTTAGTGGGTTGATTTTCTGTCTTGTGCGGGTGGTGGCTTGCCTTTTGATTCGTTCCCCAGCCATGGAGACACAGTAATCGTAGGGGCATGGTTTGGGTTGGTGCTAGGCAAAGGCAGAGAAAGAGGCCGGGAGACAATTCGCCGTCAGGATTGAGGCGGAATTGACTGCGATTGCCATTTTCACTGGGTTGTCTGTTGATGGCATTTTATATTGCTCTTTTCAATTGAATCCTCTGCACTCAGGAAATGAGGGGTTCAATGCTAATTTCAGGAATGTATAGACACTTGAAACCCGCCGGACTATGTATATTCGGCCTGAACCCGGTGAATAGTCGCACAGACGCGTCGATCATGTCACTTTCCACTTCCACTTCACCTCACTTCAATCATTCAGTATTTGGCTTCAGCTTCATATTCAATATGTGACCGGTTATTATTTCTGCCAAAGGAACAAGTGGCTGATGGCGGTGCCAAGGCAGGGCCTATGACGTAGTGACAATAGAAATCGCCAGATCACTTAGACTTCCCCTAACTTGCCAATATTGACAATCATCAAGCATCACATCCTAGCACAATGCCTTGGTCTATCGCTCTCCCACAGGCGATCTTCGCCTCACCCCTGTTGGCGGTCGCAACCCCAATCACCGCAGGGACAGCAGTAGCCCTCTTGACCAATCGTACGACAACCAATGACAATGACAAGACCCTTTGACTGACGTCTTAACAGGGAAACAAAACCGCGCAACCTACAACAAGCTCAAGCAACCACCCTACAGCCCACCAGGCTGGCTCTTCGCGCCGGCCTGGACGCTACTGTACGGATTAATGGGGTACGCCTCGCACCACGCCACGACAACTGCGTCGCAATCATTCTCGCTCGTGGTGCGCGATACCAATTCCACTGCACAGACACTTTACACCACGCAGCTGGCCCTGAACTTCCTCTGGATGCCACTCTTCTTCCGATTGGGGCGGCCGGCTGTGGCTCTGGGCGATCTGGCCCTGTTAGCGGGTAACGTGGGTGCGCTGATGGTGAATTGGTGGTCGGCCGATCGCACGGCGTTCTGGTGCTTGGTCCCCTACGCTGCTTGGCTTGGTTATGCTGCATATCTTAATACAGGTGTTGGCATGCTGAATGGCTGGACTTTGCCTAAGAAAGAGCGGTCGGAGTAGATAGACCTTGAACTAGACTTTGAAACTTAGATTAGAGATCGTCATTTTGTTCTGTTATGCAGGGAGCTCGGGGGTTAATTGAATGTATCATGTGGCCGAAACAGCTTTTACGCGTTCTAGCTCCCCTTCTAGCCTGTGAAGGTTCAGAATTGCTCCACTCTGGTGGCGCCGTAAGCTCTCGGCGAATGTTCTCGCCTCGGTGGGTCCGCTTCTATGTATAAGTCTGAGCAGAAATGTGAAATCCAATATCACATCATCTCACATCATAAGTGGGTATGTCAATCCTAGGGATTTGCATGGGATTTGCCTGGATCTTTCCGGGATTTTACAACTGCACTCCACCATAGCTCAGGAGGTGGCTGTCAGAATGGAGTAGACGTGGGCCGGGATCGACAACTTGGGCAGCCCGCTGCCTAAGGGGTTGTGCAAGATAAGGCAAGATGATGCCAGAGAGAGAAACAAGGCGGGTAAACTTTAGCGTTGAATGGCTCTTTTTTTTTATTTTTATGCTGGTACTCCTACTTATCCAGGGAACTACGAACCACTGCGGATAGCCCGGCGACAACAGGATCGCCACCGTGACCCACCTCTCCTAGTTGATGTACAGATGGTACGTAGTCGAGTCTAGATTTATTCTCCGTATCAAAGAAGGGGTGACACAGCGTCTAGGGACAGCTCAGCGGCTAGGAAGAAGCTATCAAGGTGTATAGAGTGGGTTTATAGTGTGGGCACTTAGGGTTTGTAAAGCTACAGTAGCGAGAGAAAAAGAACAAATAGAAAGGCAGAACGGTGTCATGCATTTCCCTTATCATTGACATCTTGTTCGATCGGTGATCAAAGCTCAGTCGATCTACATCTAGACTTAAAAGGAGGCATTTAGTTCAGTTAGTTCCTAGGAAATTAGTTCCTAGGCAGTTAGTGCAGTAAATTTCTTATACTTCTATCGCCGCTTCGAGATCGCTGGTTCCGTGGTTCATTTGTTTTTACTTTGGCTCTAGACCGGACTTTGTTCTCTCTGCTATTTTCTTATTTTCTCTCTCTTTCTCTTTCTCTTTTTCTCTTCGCCTTCTATCACTTTTTATCACTTTTATCCTTTGGCCATTCGTTAGTGCCTTGCATAGAGGCTTGCAGCCCACCTTCATGTCGGGCATCACCAACCCGCACCCCAGTCCGAATGAAGAATATGCCGAATATCCCCTCCCAGTTATTGAACTCCCCAATCCTGGGGACCGCCACAGCCTCGCACGAGAGACTACCGCCGACGCCCAGCAATATGACACAGTGCTCGAGCCCGACAGTCGAATCCGATCGCCTCGGGTGCGCTTTCGGTCAATGAGCCTGAGGCGAAATGAATCGCGCGGTGTTACCGATGCTTCTGACCTGTCGCGCCCGTTGTTGCCACCTGCAGACCTCAGCGAAGTGCCGCTGTCCGGAACCATCACCCCGCCCGCCCCCACACATTCCAGGAACGGCTCTGGCCTCGCCAACGTGCGCACGCCAGATGAGGTCCAGTCTGAGAAACATGACTTTGCGACCGATATGGATCGCACGAGTTCCGCCAAGAACCGGTTCAAAGCTGCTGGTCAGCTTCTCCGCCAGAAAACCGTGCGCTTGACTGAACGCCTCGGTCGGCCTCCGGATGAGGGCGAGGCGCTTAACGCGTCATACATTCCTGACGATTTCGATACCGGCATCCCGCTCGAGGAACTCCAAGCTCGCCGCGCTCGGCATGATGCGGACAGAGCACGCGCGTTGGAGAACGGCGAGGAGCTGCATGAGCCGCCCGCCAGTGCGGAGGCTCATCGGCTGGTCCGCAGCATGACCATGGTCCAGGATCAACTGCGCAAACGCAAGCCTCGTGGCGCGTACCAGCGGTCGGGTCAGACCACTCCTGAAGGGTTGATCAAAGATTTTGCCCAGCGCCGTCGCTCCAGTGGATTCGGCGGTGGTAGCGGCATTCTCTCGCAGCTGCTGAAGCTCCAAGCTACATCGACCGGCAGCTACTCTCGCCCTGAGAGTGTGATTACCGATGACTCCGATAGCGATACTCAGGTGTCCTCTGGCACGACCACGCCGAAGAAGGGCTCCCGCTCTCCAACCATCACCCCGTCTATGCCCACGTCAGGCTCCGCTACACCGCGCAAGGAGAAGCTGAAGTGGTACAAGAAACCCGCGCATCGCTCTACCTCTTCGCTAGTCAACGCCTCGATGAACTTGAGCACTGCCAGCTTGCCCGCTGTCGCTGATGTCACGCCCGGCGGGAGACGCAGAAAGTCCAAGCGCAAGACTCGTCTGGAAGACGAAATCCGTGTCACGGTACATATTGCGGAGATTATTGCGCGACAACGCTATATCATGCAACTGTGCCGTGCGCTCATGCGATACGGCGCGCCTACTCATCGTCTCGAAGAGTACATGCAGATGACCGCCCGCGTCCTGGAGGTATCAGGCCAGTTTCTGTATCTCCCCGGGTGTATGATCATGTCCTTTGACGACCCAACCACACGCACAGCCGAGGTCAAACTCGTGCGTATGGTACAAGGTGTTGATCTCGGACGACTGGCCGATACTCACAATGTTTACAAGAACGTTGTTCACGATCTGATTGGTGTCGAAGAGGCCACCCATGAACTGGATGAGATCATGCAGCGCAAGCCCCGGTTTAACAAGTGGATCTTGGTACTGATGTACGGCCTGGCTAGTTCCACTGTTGGGCCGTTCGCTTTCAGTGCACGGCCGATTGACATGCCTATCATTTTCTGTCTGGGGTGTTTGGTTGGGCTGATGCAGCACGTCCTGGCACCGAAATCGATATTGTATTCCAACGTCTTCGAGGTCACAGCTGCGGTGCTCACCTCATTCCTGGCGCGTGCGTTCGGCAGCATAAAGGTTACGCGAAATGGGCAGTCCGAGGAGCTTTTCTGTTTCTCGGCTATGGCTCAGTCGTCGATCGCTTTGATCTTGCCTGGTTTCATGGTTTTGTGTAGCAGTCTGGAACTGCAATCTCACCAGATGATCGCTGGATCGATCCGCATGGTGTATGCCATCATCTACTCTCTTTTCTTGGGTTATGGTATTACTGTCGGAACCACAATATACGGGTTGATGGATGGAAACGCAACCTCCTCGTCAACATGTTCAGGCCTCGATGTCTACGGGTCTACGTATCTACGCCAATTCCCATTCGTGGCCATCTACGCTGTCTTCCTCGCCATTGTGAATCACGGCAAGTGGAAGCAGATGCCAGTGATGGTCTTTATTGCTGTCTCCGGATATATCGCCAACTACTTCAGCACCACCAAGCTAGGCTCCCAATCCGAGGTCGCCAACACTGTTGGTGCATTCACAATCGGTGTCCTGGGCAACCTGTACAGTCGACTCTGGCACGGCCACGCTGCTACTGCCATTCTCCCTGGCATATTCGTGCTAGTGCCCTCTGGTCTCGCATCTAGTGGATCCTTGATCGCGGGTATCAAATACGCCGACGAGGTCCGACAGAATCTTCAAAACAACGGCACGAGCTCATCCGCCAGCGTTCTTTCTGAAACATCAGTGGCCAGTCTTGGATTTGGCATGATCCAAGTCGCCATCGGCATTACAGTTGGACTCTTCATCGCCGCCTTGGTCGTCTATCCATTTGGCAAGAAGCGCACCGGCTTGTTCAGCTTCTAATCATCTGTTTGCATTTCGGACATATTTCTGTTGTACATCTGTGATTTCTACTTTTACTTTGATTATTTTTTATTACATTTCTGGTTTTCAGCGTTTTCAGCGGTTGGGATTTACGTCGGTGCATATCAAAAATTTAGAGGGGGAGTCATTGAGCGATTTAGACTTATAAGGATCTACATACTGGCGTCTACACAAAGTCATGTACACATACACATTCATATTTACATTCACATTCACATTTACTCCGACGCCACTATCTCTCCATCTTCAACTGTAAGCCGCCACAAACCCGCCTCCCGCCTCCTGTCGGAAATTCCCGACCATGACACATCGGCACAGAAATCGCCAGTCCGCAAAAGAATCCAATGAAAAAGTCAAGAAACTCACCTAAACAATCACATACTATCATCGAACCCTCCCCCCGCCAACCCAAAAAAAAATGCGCCGCCCCCTCCAGAAAGACACAATAACCTCCACCCGAGGCGGAGTTATCGAAAACAGCCACAGCGTCCACGTAGCAATAACAAATACAAAAGGCGACCTCCTCTACTATGTCGGCGATCCCCATCGCCTAACCCTAGCCCGCTCAGCAGCAAAACCAGCACAAGCACTAGCAATCGTCGAAACAGGCGCAGTCGACAAATTCAATCTAGACGAAGGCGATCTGGCGTTCATGTGTGCATCGAATAACAGCGAAGAACGACATATCGCTCGTGCGCGCTCTATGCTTCACAAAATCGGTGCCGGAGAACGGGATCTTCGATGTGGGGGTCATATCCCTCTTTCTGATTCCGTCCATCGAGATTGGATTAAGAGGGATTTTGTGCCGGGGCCAGTTTGTAGTAATTGTTCCGGCAAGCATGTTGGCATGATTGCCGGTGCGAAGGTTTTGGCTGGTGATGATGTGGATGGGGATGGAGTGGAGGGGTACCATCTCCCAACACATCCTATCCAGCTCCATGTTCGTCGTGTTGTTGATGAAGTCTGTGGTCTTGGGCTTGGTGATGGCCCTGGTGATGATACTCGTGACGAATCAGTCTGGGGCCTTGATGGCTGTAATCTCCCTGCCCCAGCCTTCGAACTCCACTATCTAGCACGTATGAACGCTACGTTCGCCGCTGCAGCTGATATCATGGCTACCAACCCTTCTACCTCCATGGGTACGAGAATAGAAGCTATGAGTCGGGTTTTCAATGCTATGTGGCGCCATCCTGGCCTTGTCGGTGGTGAAGGTCGCTTTTGTACATTGCTTATGGAGGCGTATGGGGGTTTGCTCATTGGGAAGCTTGGCGCGGATGGGTGTTATGGGATCGGGGTGAGGGAGTGTGCGGCGACGAGGAAGCTGGGGGTTGAGGGGGCGCTGGGGATTTCGGTTAAGATTGAGGATGGGAACGTTGGCGTTCTTTACTCTGCTGTTGTGGAGGTTTTGGCGCAGTTGGGTATTGGTATTGGGGCGGATGGGGATGGAGATGGGGTTCCGGGGATTTTGGAGAAGTTTCATTATCAGAGGATCTTTAATACTGTTGGTGTTGAGACTGGGGTTTTGGCGCCTTGTTTTCGGGTGAGGGCGGTTTGAGTTCGAGGGTTTATAGATTTGACTTCGTATGTAACGGAGCTTATTTAAGTTAGAGTTAATTAAGCGGTAATTAGACGTTGCCTCTGTATGGATATACCCGTAAATATGTAACCGATAAATTTCACAATGCGCCTTTGTAAGTCATACAGTATCAGGCTCTAAGCGGTCTACACCATTAGCAGTCATTCTTTACGACTCTTACCGACCAGGAGAGTGGCTGGTTGTTTGCTCTTTGTTGATATCGACCCATCTCCTTATGTCAGACTGTCATCGTGCTCAATACATATAAGTAGCACTAATTAGGAAGTACTTGGCATATTTACGTATTTTTATGCAAAAGAATGAGTTATATATTTCCAATCAAAGGTTTTTGGCGAAGACTAGTAGTAGATGTCATGTGGCGTAGTCTTCTCTAGATTGTCAAGCTACTCGCAAGAAACTGGAAGAGAGCCTCTGAAGTACAGTACAGTAGCTAGGTACTCAACCACTGGCCTTTGTTCTCCTCGATCCAGGCTTTGAAGTCCTTCATCCCAGGGTAAAGCTGGCGGCATGCAGCCACATCACCTCCATACCCTTCACTCTCAAACCAACGGAACATATCGCCCACGGTGCCCTTCAAAAGGAACTTGACTGTAGAAGCTACGGGGCAAGGAGCCATCGGCATAGGGGATCCCACGGCAGCCTTAAACATGACCTCAGCCTCGGTTTGGGTTAGTTCATCGCCCACCAGTGTCAGGGCAACATTGCGGTAGTCGTGGGGATGCATGAAGCTGTAGGCCGCAATCCGACCAATATCCCGGGTCGACACAAACTGCAGCTTCTTGTCCCCCATTTGTTCCCACATGCGGGCGAAGCCCTTCCCATGGATATCGGTGGTGAGATTCTCAAAGAACGTCACCGGCCGTAGGATTGTGTAAGTCATCTTTTGTGGGCTGGCCGCGGCCCTCTCCATCAAGTAATTCTCAATGCGGTACTTGGCAGCAAAGTTTTTAACCTTGGTGGGATTGATGGGAGACTTCTCGGGGCCACCACGGTCACCGGACGAGTAGACGAAGTGACGCACGCCATGAGCAACTGCCGCGTCGACGATGGCCATGCCTTGCTGCTCCTCGGCGTCCGAGTTAACCTGCACACTGTACACGCCCCACACAGGGCTGACTTTTTGGAAAATGGCCTCGGGCTGGGCCAAGTCGCCATCCACGACGGACACGTTGAAATTCGCGCCAAGCTTCAGCGCTCGGGAGCTAGCGACGTCGCGCGTTACGGCGATGATGTTGAACCCGGCAGTGTCAGGGCTTGAGAGGAGGCTTTGGATAAGAGCGCCGCCTTGCTTGCCAGTGGCGCCAGTGACTAGAACGGTCTTACGCTGGGCAGACATCCTCAAATTTCAAATAATAAACAACGAAGAGTGTTATAAGTGTTGCTGTCTCGGGACGTCGCAGAAGTAATGCAACTCAAGGGATTGGGGACAAGCGCAATATAAAATGGAATATAAAATTGGCTGAACTTAAATTAGACGATATTAACGTTAGTGCTTATGCCACATGGGGTCCAAACAGTCTAAAAATACTCTCCTAAAAAGAGTTCGGGCTAACTTTTGGCCCGATTTCAGACCCGCCCCAAAGCCAGCCATACGAGCTAAGCCACACTCCATATTCGAGCAACCTCACATTTCCTCCGTTTCTTAATGTACCGAGACTCCAGAACAGTAAGTTAGAATTAGGTCTGGTTAGTAAAGCTGCAGGCTTTTTCGGAAGTCTACATCAACTTCGCCGATGTGCCTCAGTGTCAACACATCGCTTCAAACCAAGGGGCTTCGCGAGAAACTATTGGAAATCTAGTGAGACGTCGCACCACTACACATCGGGAAAAAAATTATTGTTGTTGAATATCGAGCAGCAGATGTGTTGGCTTTCAAAAATATAAGTTATTTCTTGAATACTTGGGGGTCTGACCCTCGACGCCTGAGGCTTGATCAAACTCCGATACAAAGAGTGAGCAGGGAACCGCGAAATTCTCAACGATACCGTTTCCTTCTGCCATCCACCCTGGATGCCGGGCTTAGTACGAGCTAAGGAAGACAGATTGGTGGTCATTTGCCAGTTATTTTCGAATCCAGTTCAGTGAGAGCCCTCAGACCTGCGGGGGTCTTAGACTCCTATCTTTAAGCACATTAGAAGACTTTGTCCATGCGTTTTCCGATTGATTCGTTCTGCTATAGGGAGATTCATCTAGTTACGTGCGTTGAAAAATACCACAAATGACTTAGTTGGAGTTCCTTTCAGATTAATTTTGTTCCGCGAAAAGATCAAAGTTGCGGATGTTTCAAATATCCCCGTTTTGCGTAAACAGGCAACTGATGCCAGAAATATTGTTCTTTCTGAGGAGCGGCTCGAGATGCTCGTCAATGGTCAATTAGCCCTAAAATCCCCGAACCGTAACCCTCCATATTAAACTCGGATTTTCTCCATTCTGCGCTACGATAGATCCCAGCAGGTTGACATTTTATCCTTAGCAGCTGGTTCTTGCACTGGTAACCGAACCAGTATGAGATTATATAGCTGACATGGAAATATGGGTGCTACAGTGCGGAGTAAAGTGTGGTGTGATCGCAATCCTCATTCCCGAATGAGAAGCCGTATTCTCCAATTATTTATTGCCTCTGCATTTGCATAACAGTACAGGGAAACCCACTTGTAGGACAAAACCCATACCAAGGCAGGAAAAGAAAACAGTAGGAAATAAACAACAATCCCTTCCACATATCCTGTCAATTTAACTTATGTCCCCATATCTTTTGTCGTCACCAACCTCCTAGCAAGCATTTTGTTGTAGATTATTGCTGAGTCGAAATCAAGGTAATAGTGAAGTTATTTTTACCATCATCTTCATGCTTAAGCTGCTTCTTCGGCCAGCCTTCCTGATCCAGAACCACAACTTTCTGCTTGTCATTGTCCCATTTGAAATATATCGATCCGATGGCAACATATGCACCCGACTTTTTATCCCGGACATACAAGGCGGTTGTCACCAGTGTACCATCCCGGGGCACAGTACCGGCAATCGAGTATTTGTCCGACATGTCTGACCATACTGTAACGTCACCAATTTGGGCGAGTTTCAATAGAAGAGAATATTGACCCTTTTCCCCACCGGTGGCATCTTTAAACCGGACGCCAACGACAGAAGTGGTGCCTTTGAGGACTTGATAACACTGCACTGATTTTTCCTCTGGCAGGTTGGATTGGTCGTTGGTCAATTCTTTGTTATCGGAATAGTCTTGGTGATTCCACACAAGTAGCTTCGTCCCATCTCCGAGTTTGTAGGAGCGATAGCTAGTCCCTAATTTTTGATGCTCGACCTCGGTAGTTTTGGCGGATTTCACGAGGCTGTCGTAGTTTGCCTTGCTGTAGAAATCAACTATACTAGCAGCCACCATTTTGTTGTAGTTTTCGGTTCAGTCTGATAGGATTATGTTAAGAGATTGGATGATAATACTCTCGACGATGAGCAGAGAAGTAGAAAATGATGAAAAGGATGAGCTTGGTAGACAGAGGTATAGCTTAAACATTTATAGCTCGAGCATTATTAGCGGAGAAGCGCGGAAAAGGTATATCAACGTACTCGTACTCTTCTACATCATTTATCTCCGAAATAGCTGATCCTGCTTTTTGAATGGCACAGTAGTATATAATCGAAAGTACATTTTAAAGTCTAGCCTTCTTCTATTGCCACAGTGGCCATCTATTTCCATTGTTAATTTCTGTCACGGCTCGGTTACAGCTTCGGTGGGGAACAGGACCACCAAGCGGAGTGGCGGGCACAAGGCACGCAAGAGAGGCAACAGTATCCGGATGTCACAATGTAACAAAGACCTCAGCGCGTCATCCACATTACTCGGTATGCAACGACTATGACGAACTCATTTTATAACCGTTAGATCTCTTGTTCGAGCCCGCAAATATGTATATTGAGTTCAGCCTGGGTCTTGGCAAATGCCACGGGACCGGCCCGCAGCGGCCCGCTGGTCGTTAGGTCTGGCGACTGGTAATTTACAGTACTCGGGCCGTGCGTTTGCGTCACCTCCGGAAGTGATACTCATTAATCTAAGCGAGCCAGTCATTGAGACAAGTCCGGTCATCCAAATTTTCTCGTTCGATGCCTCTGACAACCATGAATGTCTCTTATCTTAACTTCTAACCGTCCAATATAGTCTAACTCAGCCCGCTTGTATACAAACAAAACAAACGAGAAAGACCCCGCCTCCTCTCTAATCTCCCTACTACTCTATACAATTGTAGGGTACTATTCTTTTCGCTCTGTAGGAAGTGTAAAACAGGCACGATAAGAAAGCTAACTAGGAATAAGTTTAATGTAGTAAGTTAAATAGAGGGGGCTTAGCAGGAGCCCAAGGGTAGTCGTTGAGCCACCCATCCCAGCCTGATATAGGCGTGGCACCGTCGCCTATCTTTGGGAGCTAATCCAGAGATGATCATAAATGGAAGCAGATACGATGCTTGTATTGATTATGTGTCGATATGTGTAGGAGGTAAAACCATATGGCTATGGGAGAGCTATTTATGCCAAACAGCCCACACCCAGCCGCTCACAGCATAAAGCCACTATAACAATAAACCAGTAGTTGCCACTTAAATGAGGCCGTACACTAGTTTACCACTCGACCTTGTAGCGAATCCCCCACAAATTCGGTTTTGTCTATTCCTCCGTGGATCTCTCGCGTCGTGTCAAGGATTGAGGCCCAGCTAGAGAAAGGAACAAATGGAATCCCTCTTTGTTCGCAATATCTCACAAGATCTGAAGAGTGAGTCAATTTTACGTGCCATCTGCCGAGACAGGTATGCGATATATCAAATCGACTGTGGTAGAGCACTGGAGATATATTGGAGAGAACTTACCCAAACCATCCTTTGCAAAGAGGATGTGGGTTTCCGACGCAGCAGACAAGTCTGAAACGCCATCTCCTGCATACAGTAGTAGAGGACGACGCTCATTAGATAACGCAACGTACGGCTTTATCTCTAGCGATTTGTCGTGGCCAAACACGCTGCGAAGTTTCATTCGTTAGTGGCAGGAAAATGCTGACCCGTCCATAGTTTGGGGCATCTTTACCTATCGTCGCGATATTTGATGCGCCATCCACCATCCTCGTTGATTTGCTTACCGCTGCGAGGCTCGACATAGTTTGCAACGACGAAGATGTTTTCTAGCTTGTTGCCGAGCCGAGACACCAATAGTTCATTTATAATGGGCGTCATTCCTGAGGATAGAATAACTATAGGAACATTATGTTCGTTCGCCCAGTGATAGAAGTCGACGAAGTGTGGATCGAGTTGTATATTGTCCTGGATGATACGAAGACATTGATCGAACGGGACTCGCACACTGTCAAGCATGGCCTGAAATGCGTCCCTATTGACATTGTTATTTTATTTAACTGTGGGATGATAGAAGATAGTTGCCTAGATTCAAGGGAAGGCTTACCTGAACGTCACGCTCCCCATCAAGATTTCTAACTCGAGCATACGCCGTTTCTCAACTCCGAAGCCAAAATTATCCACCTCCATATATCGTGAGCGAACGGAAACGGATGCTGGGATTGAGCAGATACCAAGTAATCGTTGCCTAGATACCACATCAGGAACCGTTTTCAAGAATCAAAGGAAGTGCGGAAAAGGGACGAAGAAGAAATGGCCAACGCATGAATCTCTTACAATCTTCCAATGTAACAGTTCCGTCGAAATCCGTGAAGAAGATGGCTTTGGAGCTTCCTCTGAGGTATGGGAGCCCTTCCTCCATGGATTCCAAATTATGGCCCATATTCGCGGTTATAGTGTATTTCTTCAATGGAGAAACGTAAATTAAACAGACTAAGAACTTAAGAACCCCGGTAAGGCAGATGGCTGCTTATAATGACACGAAAAATGTGTTTTCAGCTCAATTAAGTTGCGAGAAACCCCATTTTCGATGAATAGAGCCAATAAAGCAAGCCTAATGTAACTAGATATGAGCTGGAACAACCATTAGCTATTTGGATGTGCTGCTTCCGTTTTCTGATTGGTTTATGCATTTTGGAGTGGACTCCTAGTGGTTTAGGAGCAATTCCGGCTTCCGCTTTAGATTACTATTATGCAAGGGACTTGTAAATGGCGCATAATATCTAGTGGGATCATGACTTGGGGACCTGGGAGCCCTTGACTAGGTTCTCATATGAGAATACTACCCGCTTCACATAAAAAGGATGGACACTCAGAAAGGTCAAAACATACACTGGCGAAAAAGTAAAGTAACATAAAGTTCTTATTGTGACAGCGTTTGGAAGCTGTCGTCAGCACCTGGCATGCGTTGCTGCTAAGCTCTCAAGGACGCATTAGGGTACTGTAACCATATTCCCGGAACATCTGTGAAGGGGGCAGGTTGCCTCTCGGGTCGCCGGGGCACTGTTCAAGGCGTTGATGACAGGACTAAAGTGAATCTTTAAGCTCAGAAGATGGCCGTCGGCTACATACAATATTTGTGGGTTCTACCTGCTACTGACATATCCTGAAGTATATTTCCACCATTCGTCCCCACCATTGTAACGAAGTGATAAATATGTAATACATTAAGATTAGACAGCTCTCGGAGTACTGGATGTCTGGTCTAGATCAGTTTCATACCTAGCGGTTACATAGATTGCGATGGTCTAGGCCCGACACATTCCACCAGCAGAATGCAAACTTGTGGGACTCAGACAGGTTTCATTGTCAACGAGCCGCGAACAAATAGATACACTTTTGGACATTAATCCATTATTTTCGCAATAACCTTTTGTGTATGATGCAAAAATGTATTATATTATTCTAAATTACTCTGCCCAACACTGTAAACCAGGAAATCGTAAGGATGAGCCCTCAGTAAGTGGATATAGGTTTTTGAATTTGGTCCTACGGAGCTTACATCCGTCCAACCATACTTTGTTGTGGCTTTACGCTGATTCAATAACCCGTAATCCTCAAGAGATCTGACCTGCCTTCGGAATCAGTTTTAGCCCTGCGGAGTCTAGAATGAATAGAGTTATGGAAGGTTAGCTCCTAGGTAGCACTAGCTTGAAACCATTGCACTGGTACCAGGTGTTTCTACGGCTTATGAAGGTACACTCTAGAGCTCTGTCTGTCCGCATCAGTTGCATTCGACACTACGTTACTCTACGTACAGATTGGCTGCGTTCGGCACTTCAGTAGACAGACAATTGATGATTAGTGCAGTATGTAGCTATTAAACTGAAAAGTCCCAGCGCCGCGAGGCTATATTTGTGACATCTGTCTTTCATGATTTGATATACCGTCGAACAGAACAAAATATTTATGCTGTCAGCAAAATGGTATTCATTTCAGAGCCAGCATATCTTTACAAAAACGTTGTGCATGACTCGTCTATCTCTCCTGTCAAGTCGGCCAAGGGAATGTATATCTACCTTGAGAATGGGCAAAAGATACTGGACGCCACCGGCGGAGCTGCTGTCTCGGCTATCGGTCACGGCGTGGACCGTGTTAAGCAGGCAATTATTTCGCAGCTTGACCAAGTGGAATACTGCCACCCAGGGTTCTTTCCAAATGCCCCGGCAATTCAGCTTGCCGATATCCTGGTCGAGTCGACGGGAGGGAAGCTGTCTCGGGCCTGCATTCTTGGATCCGGTGACATACCACCCCTCCCTTCTTGTATTCCTTGCTTGTGATATGAGCTAACGAGGAGAGCCATGTAGGTTCCGAAGCTGTGGAAGCCGCAATGAAGATTTGTCAACAATACTTTGCGGACAAATCGCCGGACTCACGCCGGACTAATTTCATTTCTAGAAATGGTTCCTGGCATGGTTGCACCTTGGGGGCTCTGGCTTTGGGAGATTTCAAACCGAGGAAGACTCGGTTTGAATCAATCTTACCCACCAATGTCCATCATGTCTCAGCATGCGACCCGTACCACGGCCTTAGGGATAAAGAAGACCTAGAAGCATATGTGGCTCGACTTAAGCAAGAGCTGGACGATGAATTCCAGCGGCTCGGCCCGGAGACCGTCTGTGCATTTTTCCTGGAACCAATGGTTGGTACGGTATGTGGTCACATTCCCTATGCAACTCTGGCTGTTTTGGGCAAGTCATTGATCCGCTGTCAACTGTAGGCTCTGGGCTGCGTGGCAGCCGTACCTGGCTACTTGAGGGCCATGCGGGAAGTATGCGACCGCTACGGTGCGCTCCTGGTCTTTGATGAAATCATGTGCGGAATGGGCCGCACCGGTATCATGCATGCCTGGCAGGAGGAAGGCGTTGTCCCTGATGTCCAGCTTGTGGGCAAAGGACTTGCCGCAGGATATGGGACCATTTCCGGCCTGCTCGTCAACGATCGTGTGGTGACTGGGTTGAAGCAAGGCGGCGGTTATTTCGTCCATGGACAGACCTACCAATCGCACCCTCTGGGCTGTGCAGCAGCGGTGGAAGTCCAAAATATTATCAAGGAGCACAATCTGGTCGAGAATTGCCGGTTAATGGGTGATTACCTTGGCAAGCAACTGAAACTGCGTCTCGGATTTCACCCGCATATCTGGGACATTCGAGGACGAGGTCTTTTCTGGGCAGTGGAATTCATGGCAGACAAAGCCACTAAAACTCCATTTGATTCCAAAATCGGGCTCAGCAAGCGGCTCCAGACTAGGGGACTGGAAAAGGGCTACGATATGTGCTTATTTGCTGCCACTGGTGCGTTGGATGGGTGGAACGGCGACCACTTCTTGCTTGCACCGCCATACATTGTTGAGAAGCAAGATGTGGACGAGATAGTAACCCGACTCATCAAAATCATTGACGACGTTTTTGCAGAGGTATTTGCAGACAGCCCATCAGATGGTCATCGTTAGGGTCGCACTCTTCCTCGGGGTCTCAGAAATTGACATTTTCGTTTCTATTTCAATCTACGTCTATCCCTCCGTTGGTAAGTGTTTCCTAACCAATTAGAAACTAGTGATAGCTGATAATGTAATGTCCCAAAGATTAAATAAAGTCTAACAATGCTTGCAATGTCAATCTCATTTCATAGACTGGCTCCCAATCGGAAATGGCAATCCGTAGAGTAACATCATTCTCTCAGTACCTAACTTAAGTAATGATGTTGCTGTTTTAGTAATGACCTGGAAAACTTTTCTGAATGCAATTCAATGGTGACAGATGCGAATAGAAATGACGGCACTCCCCACCCCTTTTTTAAGCCCATCTCCCCCCCTCCTTGATAATTTTCTCACTATCTCTCTCATATTTCTCTTTTCCTCTTTCTTTTACTCGTTTCTCACTCATTCCCACATTATAGCAGCAATTCAGCTGTTCAGATACACTTACCACCTCTTAGGACAGGGACAGAAAAATGCGGGAAACAAATCAGAACTCGGATTCTACGACGCCTCTGTTATCAGCATCACAACATCTGAGCTACACTACTTGCCAGACAACCGGAGCAAGCCTGAATCACACCGTCGAGGATGGCATCTATACTTTGGAGCGTCAGCCTGAGAAGTGGAATGAGCCTCGAACCAATTTCTGGCGCGTTCTGGCTACCTTCTACAGCTTTATCGTGGTCGGAGCAAATGATGGCGTCTATGGGGTAAGTAGAACGAGATGGACAATCTAATCTATAGTGAATTTTGCTAATAGGATTGCTGCGTATAGGCAATGATCCATTATGTATGTTGATCCAGTAATCTCCAGCCGGTACGAATTGAAGATCAGGAATTGACTCTTTCTCTTTGAGGGTTCCTCCAGTTGGGCAAATACTACAATGCAGACTACAAGACCGTGTCAATGGTGTTCCTTTCCCCATTCATAGGCTATGCGGCTGCTGCATTTGGAAATAGTTGGATCCACGAGCGATTCGGACAACGCGGCATTGCACTTCTAGGCACTGGAATGCACATAATAGCATACCTCGCTGCCACTCAACATCCACCATACCCTGCCCTTATCGCTATATTCGTCTTATCCGGCCTAGGAAACGGAATCGTCGATGCGTCATGGAACGCGTGGATTGGTGCTATGGACAGTAGCAGTCAGTTAATGGGGATTCTCCATGCGTTCTATGGTCTGGGGGCCGCTCTGGCGCCGTTGACTGCCACTTATCTCATCACCAACAGAGATTGGAAGTGGTACGAATTTTACTACCTGATGGCCGTCGCAGCTGGGGTAGAATTCGTGACTTCGGTTGCAGCGTTCTGGTCAGCGAGAGGGTCACTATCCCAGGCCCAAGATCCGGATTCTCGTGGAGACGACAACATGTCGCCCGGCACCCCAGACTCTCTCAACGTTAACGCACCGCCAAAGCATCCGACCCTAGAGTCGTTGAGAATGTCCTCAACATGGATCATAAGTCTCTTCCTCTTAGTGTACGTCGGAGTCGAAGTCACTATCGGTGGATGGGTTTTCACCTTCCTGGTCGACCTCCGGAATACACCACCGTCCGTGGCAGGCGTAGTAACATTCACCTACTGGGCAGGGCTAACCGTTGGCCGTGTATGCCTTGGCTTCCTTACGCCATATTTCAAGAGGCAGCGACTCGCAGTTCTTGCCTACTTAGGGGCATGTATCATCTTACATCTTACATTTTGCGTCGTCGACGACCTCCTCTTGTCGGCCATCACCGTGACCCTCATTGGGTTTTTCCTTGGCCCTCTTTACCCCGAAGCTGTTATTGCTCAGGCGAAGCTTTTGCCAAGATATCTCCATGTCGCAGCTGTTGGTTTTGCCTGCGCGTTGGGAAGCGCTGGTGGGTGCGTTTTTCCCTTTATCACTGGAGCGACTGCAGAAATCTACGGGATCAAGGTCCTTCAGCCCGCCGTGCTTGCAATGCTATTCCTTTGTCTAGCTTTATGGCTTGCACTTCCAGCACGGCGCCCAGGTGCCCGGCAACCGGCTTTTTCGGTTTCATCAACCCCTTCTGTATTATTCTAATTTTGTTTGTTCGACTCCGCTATGCATATCTCTGTTGTAATCAGGAATAAGTCACATATCCTATAATGCCTCGCACCATTAGGTCGAATTACCACTGCCTGATCTACCCTTATTACTTGGCGCAGTAGCGTGCATACAGCTGAGGCCTGTTTTCACATAGTTTAGATCCGTTCTTTGAGGAATCTACCTTCGCAAATAAATCACTCAAGAGGTACTGTGTATATATATAGGCTTTTGGGGATTGAGCTCGGCTTCAACGCTATTAGGGGCTGTATTACCAGCTGTTTGTGAGTTGAAGGTGTTGCTTGGAATACTCGAATGCAACTAGTTGTTATAAACCCTGTAGAGCATAGAGGTCACCTCGAAGAGCACATTGACAGCCGATACAAAGCATTTTCAAGAGAATACAGCCTCGGTGGATCGTATATTTCGCATCTCAAAGTAACGTTGTGTCGGAATGTCACACTGGTGTCCAGCGTCGTGGTTGAATGCCCTAGTAGAGCACAAGGTGTGACTGCGCTAAACGGGGAATGCCCTCCACAGCTTCCAAGGGCGTAACTTCCGTGGACATCCCATTGAACCATCCATGGCTTACTGCTCCCTCTGATTCATCGTAGTAGTTTCACCCAAGAGCAGCCGAAACATCGACTCGGGTCTGAAATGACATCCACTCGGGTCTGAAATGACATCCACTCGGGTCTGAAATGTCATTGCATCATACCCCCGGTATCAGTGCGATTTAACACCACGTAGTAGACCGCAGGATCAATCCCAGTCTTTATATCCTCTTCATCGCTTCCAAACAAGACTGCAGAGAAAAAACCCAGCGAGTTTCAATTTTACCTATTCACTCAATTGCACACTCACCATGGCGACTATGGACAAAGTCTTCTCAGGATACAAAGCACGCAAGGCCCTTCTAGAAAAGAGCGACAACCCATTTGCCGCTGGAATCGCCTACATTGAGGGAGACTTCGTCGCACTAGCTAAGGCGCGCATTCCTCTACTGGATGAAGGGTTCATGCACAGTGATTTAACATACGATGTGCCGGCGGTCTGGGACGGGCGCTTCTTCCGCCTCGACGATCATATCAGTCGGCTAGAGGCCAGTTGCAATAAGATGCGACTCAAGATGCCATTCTCTATAGGGGAAGTGAAGCGGATCCTACTGGAGATGTTGGTTAGGAGCGGTATCCGTGACGCTTTCGTGGAACTTATTGTCACCCGAGGGCTCAAAGGCGTTCGTGGCAATAAGCCCGAGGATCTTCTCAATAATACCCTCTACTTGATCGTGATGCCATACGTATGGGTCATGCCGCCCGCCATGCAATATACTGGAGGCAGTGCTATTATTGCTCGCACCGTGCGGCGAACTCCTCCTGGTGCTTTCGACCCAACCATCAAGAATTTGCAATGGGGAGACTTGACACGGGGCTTGTTTGAGGCAGCAGATCGCGGCGCAGATTATCCATTTCTTACCGATGGTGACACCAATCTTACCGAAGGATCTGGGTTCAATATATGTTTCGTCAAAGGCGGGGCCATCTACACTGCTGACCGTGGTGTCCTGGAAGGCGTGACACGGCAAAGTGTCTTCGACATTGCGCGCGCCGGCGGGATTGAGATCCGCCTTGAGGTCGTGCCGCTCGAGCTAGCCTATCGTTCGGACGAGATATTTATGTGCACCACGGCCGGCGGTATCATGCCAATTACATGCCTCGATGGTGAAACAGTCAAGGATGGCCGGGTTGGCCCTATCACTAGAAAGATCTGGGACGGTTATTGGGCCATGCACTACGACCCAAAGTACAGCTTCGAGATCGATTATAACAGTCGTCCAGGGCAGTAAAGACCACGATTGCAGCTTCATGATATCGGGGCATGTCTATGCCCCAGTAGATCTTCTTACTGTTACATATCTAATACTTCAGTTCGTTCCAGGCTTTTAGCTTAGGACAGGTCAATAGATTTGTATTTACAGTAAACCCTGCCACAAGAATATCACCATTATGAAGATGCTGGAACAAAGCCACAGCCTAGACATTGTGCGTGGAACACTATTAGTAATTAGAAGTGCATACCATTCGATCTTGATACCAAGCAAGCATATTGTTGCTTACTGATCGGTGACTCGACGGCACTGAGTAGCTCAATGAATTTGAGCCCGTACTGAAATTTACTCGTTTAGCCTGACTCTGAGCACCCTCATAAAATTGGCGGCAGCTAAGATAGGAGAGACATTCACATGCCCACGGGCTGCCAAGATGCCCGTATGTGAACACCCACTAATAAGGTATAATTTGTACAATTTATTAATATCCTTAGTATTATAGTAGTAAGATAGCAACCAAAAAAAGAATTGTCAGCTAGAGGTCATTAATCAGACAAAACGATGTAATTTCTCTTATTCTATCCTATCCTAGCAAAGGTCATACCTAAATAGGGTTTTTGGCCGCTTTTTCGCTCTTGTCTAATGGAGTAACGTTTTTTTAACATTGCCTGTACTATATTCAATATACTAAGATAGGTTGATAGGAAACTGAGTACGTGTGTTTCTATAGATAATGATATAAAGCGACAGGAGAGGTAGTGAAAATATTACTTAGGGGAAACAGTTTTGACACAGTAGCGGGTATAGACTACCGTAAGGTAATGAGGAAAGTAGGACTCTTTCATCGCAATTCAAACTTTGTGCTTGCTCCACTCACCACGAGCACGGATCTGCTTCCTCCAGGTTCGTGGACCACTCGCTTACATAGACTACTCGCTTGCTGAATACGACATACACACCTTAGGAATTTCTTTGTTTGGTCATTATGAGACTAGGTCCCACGTTGTCGGCCGCCTTTCACCTTGTCTAGATCTACCATCGCCTGACAGGCCAATTGATCTGGAAGAGTATTGAATTGCACGAAAAGTACGGCAGTGTGGTACCAGTTGCACCTGATCAACAATCATACACAACTTAAACAGCATGGAAAGCTATCTCTGGGCTGCGCGCAGTGAAAAATGAACAACAGTTTCCAGGCATAACCATTTGTCTGTTATGAGAATAATGATGAGACATCATTAACACCAGTTCCCCAGATTGACAACGGCTGAAACGCGGATTATTTTGGCTAAGCTCTTCTGTCATTTTGATTTTGTAAGCATGCCGGAGTCAGAGTGGTGGCAAGGCACCCAGAAGGGCACGGTAGTGTGGCATCGGACCACTTTGAGGTGCAAAGTCAAGCGACGATAACATATATCCTAGAGGATCAAAACAAGAAATGCCAGCCACGATCACAGTCCTGCGACGATGGGCGACAACAAATCTCGGACAAAACCAAAGCAACTGCGTGCCACTGGACTGGATCTTAGAGTGCCATGTCCACTGTGCTAAGTCTGGACTGGTAAGTTCAAGTGCAGGGTAAGTTATCTCCTCTGGTTACTTTTGTGCAGAGTTGTCATCACCCCAATTTCTAATAGCCTCGGTGCATCGTGCAACTTGCGAGCCCGCCTGACAATATATATCTTCTATATTACAGTTTAAACATATATCTATCTTGTCTATACTTATATATAAACCATGCACAGCACAAAGGCTTAAGAACTGCATGAAAACACTCCCCCAACGGTACCCTCGTCATATGACTTAATCTATCATCGGTAAGTATTCGCGCAACTAGAACAACAATATCGGAGTGTTTCGGTCAAACTTACAATATCGACAATGCTCGAGTATGTTCCAGCGCCTAGGACAATCAGGCCAATGAGCAGGATGCAGACGTTGATCACACTAAACAATATGGTCTTGCTGATGGAGGAGTCGTCACTGCGAATGAACATGAACCACATGATAGCCGGGAAATAGAATGTGAAACCGGATATAAAGAGCGACGAGATAAGGGACAGGAGATCATCGAAGAATGGAATGACCTCCGCAACGACAAATTCAAGGATTGTAAGAGTTGTGATGACAGCGAGCCAGGTAATCCACCCCATCTTAGTGTTGACGAAGCGAATATTGGAGTTCTTGAACATTCGGCCGTGGACTAGCCGACCCAACACTACAGTGTTGATAGAACCGCTAATGAAGATGACCGGAAGGGCAATCCCGAACGCAACTCGGCTGAGTAGACTACCGGCGGACAGTAGGGCGGGGCTCTGGACGTCCTGGCCGACAAAGGCATACACTAGTGCGCCAGTCACAGTGTATATAAAGATCTCAGTCAGACCAAGGGCCCAGACAGACTTCGGAAAGTCAGTAGGCGTATGCATTTCATCCATGAAAGAGAATTGACACAGGGCAAAACTGTAGGCGAAAATAATGTTGGAGAGTGCGATGAATGCTTCTGAGAATGTAATGCCTTCCTTTGGCCAAGCTGACCAATTGACAGCTGTGAGGCCAGGTGAATGAGCGGCCTCCACCCCAGTTCCAATAATGGTGATTCCGATAGCGATAATAATGGATGCAAAATCGATGTATCCGAGAATAGCCATATCAGAGAAACTCGGTGGCACTGCAAATAGCAGCAAAATGATGGCAGACACGAAGCCGAAAATCACAGTACAAATGTTGCTCCCTGTGATATTCACAAATGCGATTGATCCAGTTAGACAATGTGATCCAGCCGACAATAACAGCTCCAAGCATAGCATTATGTATATAATTTCATATCCCCATCGGCCGAACATTTGTCTGCCTGCCTCGGGATAGTTCGTGATATGCGGGAACTTGACTTTGACCTGGCCGATGATGTAGCTAGTGTAGACGGCGACGAGACCAAGACCCACGCAGCAGATAACACCCGCCACCATGCCGAGAGTCGCGAACGTAGAAGGGATCGAGAGAGATCCTAGTGCCACGGCCTCCACGATCAGGACGATTGTGAGGCGCTTCCATCCTAGTTTATTGAATTTTTGGACACCTCTTTCATAGATCTGCTGCTCCTGGTCACTCAATTTGGCCAGACCATCGTCTCCCAGGAACATCTGATTTGCATTTTTCTTGATCGTTGACATTGAATCTTGGCTAGTGGGTGTGGAACAGCCAAGTTGTATATAGTAATTAGGGAGCGGCGAAGAAGTGTGCGCAAAAACAGAAGCGTTGCCAAAGATTGCAGAAAACTGAATAAGAACACGGACACGGCCCGAAGATAATCAAGATTTTAGAAAATATGGGGCTCGGCAAGAACAAATGTTCCGAAACTCGGTGTGCCGAATGTTCCCTTGTAGTACACAAAGACGTCCAGAAATACCCAGCGCCTTCCAATAACATTTACCCGGTTGAAATTTTCCGGTGCAAATTCTGCCCCACTGCCATCACGCAGCCTGTACTTAGGACTAATGGATATAAAGTTCATGAACGAGTGTCGTTCCCTCTTGTAGATTTCGTGAAGTGCATGGCTGTTGGCTGTTTGAACATTCTATTTGATATCTATACATCAATAAATCTATTAAACTCCGTTATATGCTAACCGCCGCATTAAAGTCCTTTTATCAACATCAAAACACCCGGAGATTGCTCTACTGGCGAACGAGGACACCGCGGTATCTCATCTTGCCGTCGCGGAGAGTCTGCATGGCCTCCTCGACACCATCCTTGGTCATGGGGAAGGTCATGGTTGTGGGCTTGATCTTGTGGTCAGCGGCAAACTGAACCAGAGTGCGGAGGCTGTTGCGAGAAGCAACCAGGGAACCCTGGATGCGAACGCCCTTGATGTTCAAGAACAGCATAGGGACAGGCGAGTGAGTGAAATCGACAGTGAGAGGGTAGATAGATCCGTGGATGTCCATGAGAGGAATGAGACTGTGTGAATGTTAGCTTCGACTCTTTTCTATGTCATTTCGCTGAAACATACGATGGATAGTCAACGCAAGCACTTCCGCAGAGCAGGAGGTGGTTGACAGGCTTAAAGTCAGGCATGTCCTGACCAGCACGGAAGACGTGGTACTCGGAGGCTCCGAAGCCGAAGGCTTCTTCGCGCTTAGCCTCTGAGGAGGAGAGCACGACAACCTGGCATCCCATTGCGGATGCCAGCTTGATAGCCAGATGTCCGAGACCGCCAATACCCATAACAGCGACACGGTCAGTGGGCTTGATGCCGTACTCAGTTAGGACAGTCCAGACAGTCGCACCAGCACACATCAAAGGCGCAGCATCGGCGTTGTCATATCCATCGGGGATAGGCACAACGCAGCCTGCATCCCAGACGACACCCTCGCCGAAAGAGCCAAGATCATGGTCGTGTGTGCCGTACTCCTTCTTGTTCTCACAGTATTGGTCCCAGCCTGGTATATGGATTAGCTGTGTGCTTTTAAATTCGTTGGATGAGAATTCATACCGGTCAAACACTTTGGACAGGTGCCACACACGTAGTGGGTGTATCCAAATCCAACTCGAGCACCAACCTTGACGTTTGTGACGCCGGGGCCGATCTGGCGGACAACACCAACACCCTCGTGGCCTAGTACCTGGCCGGAGGTGAGGAAGTGCTCATCCGTGCCGCAGAGACCGGAGTGTGTGGTTTCAATGTAGACTTCGTTGTGCTGCAAGGTTCGTGTGGTCTTGTCGGCCACGATCTTGCCCTCTTTGGAGCCGCGGAAGACTTCGAATGTGATGCTCATTGTGGTATATGATAAGACTTAATGTGGATTTTTTAAGTATTTTAATGTATGAGAGAAAGGTTGAAATAAATATAGACTGGAAAATGCAACGGCGAAGCTCCCTTTTCAATCCACCACCTACTGGCAGCTTGGACAATCTTTTACGATTTATCATCATGTTCCTGGGCCGTCTTTCCGTCAGGGTCAGAAACAGGATTGCCAATGAAAAGGTTTGTAAGGCGTTGTGGGTGGATCAAATCATCAAAAAACCCATTAAAGTTGTTCTAGAGAATTCTGCAGCACGACGGGAGGATCCAAGATCATCATCGAGCTTGATCCGTTTCAAAGCCGATAGTTCCGGGCATTTTTATGTCGAACTAACCGCAGAGGGACTACCTCCGTTGAATAAGTATCCACCGAACCGAGAGGTAAGCCGCTCACGGTACAATTGATCCTCCGAGTCAATGCTTGTCGGCGACTTTCTGGTCGGGGCTACCTCGGTTTAAACGGGGTCTCGATTTGAAATGTGGGCTTGTTTGTTTCATATGTCCTCAACGTTTCTACAGTACAATACTGTAGCATCATGCAACTGATAGTGATCTGCGGTTGAAATTTTTTTTTTTTTTTTCCGTCAGTGGCGGCCTTAGTAATTCACTCTTTTGATGGCGACCGTGGCGCTAAACTCTATTTCTCAACTTCACGTCATATCTATAAGACATTCATTTAGAAGTCTCTGATTAACGTATGATGGTGGTCAATGGTTGTGGATATACTTAGAACCTCGTCTTGCTCGATAATCGTCAATCGTCAACCCCATCACAGCCTACTCTATCGAAGACCAGGTTTGCTACAGGAATTGATTTGGTCGAGATAACGAATATCTTAAATATAGTAGATAAATGCTTAAGGGAGAGAGACACTGAGCTCTGTAATAAGAGACATTATGTATATCCAAGAACGTGCTAGACGTCCAGGAAACAATGGTCGGATTTGAGCTCCATGCGCCCGGGTTTTCACGGAGGATTGACCTTACTTTTCGTCCTTCTAAACTCACAATGTTCCACGGGTAATGTAGGCGACCGTACATGTAAATGCAATCTCTCCATAATAGGTGGTATGATATATGGGAAATAAGATCCACTCTCAATCTAATCAAGTCGCTTTCAAAGAAGTGGGTTTCTATGCCGCTCGGTGGAACAGAGACCCCTATCCGGACACATTAATCAGTGCGTAGAGCCAACTAGTGACCGGTGCCATTCTTTTCCTTGTTTACTTTCACCCTTTCGGGGCATAGTACAGCAGGGGCTTGTTTCTCCTACGATACTTGTTCGACTAGTGCAATTTTCTGTTTAGAGATTGCCAATGTATGCTCACTCGGCTATTTCGACTGTCAGAACTATATCTACAAATCCAAATAGGTTCATCAAACTCAGCCCTACGCAGAATTATTAAACAAGGATGATGATACTATGTGAAAGGCTCGCCCTATTGTTCTGCTTTCTTAGGCAATCTTACTCGAATTATATTCTTCGCGGTACCATTTTATGTCTTTACTAGATTTTTCATTGGATCTGTGACGATCTCTTGCCAAATTAATCATAGCTTAGTGACGCTATGCTGCAACATTGCCGTTACGCTGATCCAAATGTTGTCTGCAGTATGCACCGGTACCCCCCGCCCGTACTTATCAGCCAATACAACTCCAAGCGGCCATGCTTGTTTCATATCTTATGTATAATAGCGTACGCTATTTGGAAAGTCCTTCTGACCCAGCTAGTCTCCATTCACTTTTGTAATTCTCTTACCGCCAAGTCTGAAAATGTTTTCCACCACAGAACGACTAATAAAGGTGTTTGACGCAATGGCCCAGGTAGTCTAACTTTTTGGATAAGATAACAGGAACAGAACAAAACAGAAGTAATTGTTTTAACCGAAATACCAATAATTTTGCAAAATGCTGCGTTGGTGAGCCTACTACCAAGCTTATGCTATGCAAAAATATATATCTGCCTCGGTAGCGAACCACCTCAACAAACCTGTGTTTTTTTAAGAAAACTCACAGAAGACACTTGATTTGCGCCTGCAAATAATCAAGGGAAAAATGAAAGAGAGAGGCAGAAGAAACCAAAACAACACTAAATAAGACGTGAAAGATACTAGATCAAAAACACGAAAAAATGGTTTCCCTGGGAATCGAACCCAGAACCTTTCCGGAACACTTGCTTGAAGCAATTGTTAACGGAAAATCATAACCGCTAGACCAGGAAACCAGTTGATGTAAGATGCCGTAATGTATGACATTATAAGCCAAAAAAGATACTGCCAACTAAGCATACTATCCATGGATCCGGCATGCAACTCCAACCCGTATTTTCTCAGTCGCTATCGTCCATGGCCTCGAAAGTCGTTTGCATGAGTGAGGTTATCGGATTTTATTGAGATACTAAGTAAAGCAAATAATATTGCTAATGAAACTTTCCAGCCCAGCCCAACTGGCTGACACGATCTAATCAAACGACCCAGTTTGCTGCAGTTCGTTGACTGAGCAATGATAATCTCCACAAGAAAATGCACCCTTGTGTTCCACCATTTACTACTTCTTTACTCCTCGAAATCCTCACGATCCTCATTAGTAGACTTTAGGTCAGCATGTTCTAAGGATCTAAAATATGACCATAGGTTACATTGTTAGGCCAGGCCAGTGGAATGAGCAAGTGTAAAATAATCAAATAGTTTGTTTAATAACCTTCAATTGCCAGCCCCCAGCATTTTCATTTTCCAAATCTTGCTTTTCTGCTCTCTTCCAACCACCCCTCCCCCCAAAAAAGAAAAGCTTCCCTCCGTAAATTTGACTAATAGCATGTCTAAACTTTGATCGCATACGGCAGGAACCTTGGATCCTACAATAGGGGTCATAGATGTGATACAGTGCCATGGAGTATTAGACACTTTCTATACAAAAGCCTCGAAGCGAGTGTTCTGTTTCATGCATTGTCTTCGCCCTACTTTGACCTCTCTTTTTCACCTCCTTTTTGCCCTTTATCGAGTGCCTCGGTTAATCATCTAGATCATATACCGTGGGGGCATGAAAAACTTACGACTCCTGTTGTATTTTCGAGTAAATGATTAGGCACACATAATGTTCCAGGTCTTGCAATGACTGGTCTCGCTAGTTTAGAGTAAGTCCTTAACCTCGCACCATCTCCATCTATGTTTAAGCAGGCGATCGAAACTGCCTGTGAATTTGTCAAATAAGATAAAGAGACCAATTGCCCGCGTGTCTATAAGGCATTTGAGCAATGGAGATTAGACACAGGGGGCAGGCGTGCCATGATAAAAAACCGGATTATGTTACCGCAGTTGGCTATTGAGTATGTAGGTTTCACGAAGAGGGTCGTCTGGATACTTGTAGACCTTCCACTCTCCTATCCCGAACTCTGGCGGGGCTTTGGTGAGACCACGACCACCACCCCCAAGGATCGCGTTGGCTGGTCGATAGGTGTCGTTGGCTTGCATTCGCCGTATCATAGAAACATGGATTTCAGCGTCAATAGGGATACCTCGCATCCTACCCATCGATAAAGGCCATCGAGTCACTTTCCACGTCCCATCATTTCGGAGGGTCAAACGTTTGAAGGGGACAAATTCCATAATTCCCCACGGAATGACTGTGGAATATGGAACCTGGAGAGTCCGTTTGAGGTAATCGTGAACTAATCCCTTCGCGGAATCTTCCAAGGAGCGATTGAATGCGGCCCCAGACAGAGATTGCGGACGCGTCTCTCCATCCTGGGAGGTGTCAGACAAAGTCTTATCCTTTTCAGCTTTGAGACTTTCCCGAACGCCCGCTGATTCCATTGAAATTGATGCATTAGGCTCAACACAAAAGAATTGCTGGAGTTTCTCTTGGTTGAATTGAACCCCAGCTCTTCGTGCTTCATCAACCATCCAAACCAATGGATTATGACTGAGACTAAACCGCTCGCTCTTGTCCAATTTCCAACCACCCCCAACGTCAGAATGACCGCCGGGGAACCATACCTCACGGATGTCTTGACCCTCAACGAGACGTTCAGGGTTCGAATGGTATTTGACCGCAGAAAATGAGGTATAATCTTTTGAACGCTTCTTTCCCCCCGAGCCCGTAGCCATTTTCCGGCAAAGCAAAAGTGGCTGAAACTTGACTCTTCTCTCGTCGGTGCTGACAGCATGTCGGATAATTCTGCTTGAAGGGTCGTCTTCCTCCACCACAGTCTCAAGGTCAACAACGCTGTTGACGGTATCGAACAGACCAAGGAAGTGCACGGACACATCTCCACGACAAACACTCTCGCGGTAGGCATTAAGCAGCTCGTAAGAGCTTTCTTGTCGGTATACCTTCCACTCGAAATAAGCCTTCCAGATAAATGGAATCATCTCTTCGTTGTCCGCGCTCAGTAAGCCAACCCAGTCAAGCATATCATTCAAGATGCGCGCGGTGTATGCTCCACGTGAGAATCCGAAGATGTGCACGTTGGAATTGGACCGATAGTGACGCATGAGGAATCGATAGCCACCTAGCACATGACTGTCAAAACCATGACCAAGTGCGAGTTCAAGTGCCTTGTTACTCCACGGTCTTGCATTTCGGATAGCTGAGCCTGCGAGGGAGGATGCGCTAATGTCGGTTCCAATTCCAGCTGATCTTTTGTGAGTTTGATTCGGAGAGTTCATTCATGGAAAATCGTACGTTGGTAGTAGCAATCTATACACATATTAAGTGAGCGGGAGTCCTTTCAAAGCTTTGTTACAGTGGTTAAGCGTACGATCTTGATCATCTGTCCGGTCAAGCATTCGGAAGATCCTCAAAATATTGCTCTCCCTGCCATCGGCACGTAAGGTGTTTCCAGTGCCATCAAAGCAAAGCACAATCTGCGGAGCGCGTGGCAAGGAAGTCATTGTTTTTTTTGTTCAGTCACTGTCCAAATACATGAGTAGCTGTGTAAGGGGTTCTAAATTTTATAAAAGGGGGGTTCTCATATTTAAGTAGCTCAACGAAGGATCGACGGATTCCGTGCGTCTCCAAACTGTATGAACATGTACATCCGCAACTGAAAAGACCAGTTATAACTGGTCACACGTCAAAGACTATCGTTGATCGACATAGACTAAGTTTCTTGCCGTTTTGTGCGGCATTTATTGGTGTTTATAACGCCACACTCCACTTCACCAGCTGAACGGTGGGTCATTTTGACACATGCACGGAGTTGCTGAATGATGTTCTCACAGCAACAGGATCGCCACCATGTTCAAGTGGGAGAAGAACTTCCCTCCGTTGATCACTAAGCTGTCATTCAGTCAGGAGATTATGATACAAAATCACCCTTCTTGCCCTGGTATCTCCCCCTATGACAGCAACTGTCCCTCGTGCGTCAGTGGGTAGCATTTACATTTGTCTTGGTATTCTCAGCATGACATAACTGACATAAATTATAGGAAAAAGGTATACCGACACAATAACTGGCCAATCGGGCTGTTGTCCTCTCGGGCTATCTATCAACCCGCGGACTGTGTCCCGGGAACCCCAACTACCAACAACCCGACTTGCCCAGCCGACGATGGGAAACTCTATGTTAAGAATGGGCTTTCGTACAAAGTGTACTGCGATGTGACAACCAATCTAGGGCCAGATGGCATGTTGTTTCCCCTCCGTATATAAGGTCCTAGTTGCTAATATCCTTATCAGTTGGTTTTGCTTATGTGGTTGACGCTAAGGCATGTGCGGATCTATGTGCCTCTAAGCCTGCGTGTGAAGATGCAACGTATCGTTCATCTGATAAAGGGTGCTTCATGTCGATATATTTATTGATTATTCCTAAGCTGGGGTAAATGCTTTTGGACTGATATTTCGTGCAGACAAAATCCTGGGGCCGAATTACAAAGGTACTCCTTTGCCAGGAGCCATTGTATTAGCTAAGCAGTAACGTGAAGATGTTGTGTTTGACCTCAACGTAAGATCTCATGGGAACTACGGCCCTGCTTTCACCCAGAGGTGCCTGCTGGGTGAGACAAACGACTTGTTTACCTTGACCATTATATTGGTCCCATTGTTCGTAAGAACAAAATCACTCTTTCTAAATCTCCATTAATGTCATGAATCGGATTTTCATGTAAAGCAAGAGTTCACCTCACAGTATTGAATCTATGTCCTTCGCTCGCCTTCCACGGTGTTTGGTCCTGTGAAATGCGAGTGGTTGGCGGAAGGTAGGAAGAATCTGAGTCCTTGCATAACATAGGGAACACTATTTTTGAGCATAATCAATTATGACTTCCCCTCAAGAGCAGAGTGCATATTAAAACGTATTTTATAAACCAAATCGCGTGGCACATGCGGGATATTTTTCTGACCGCAGCGACTTATCGGCCATAAGGAAGAGCCTTATGAAGCTGGCTTGAGGAATTTCTTCCCTCCAATTCATGCAGGTGCTGTAAATACTGTAATATATCGTGACTCAGCAAAGGTAGTATGCATATCGGTTAAACCGAACAAGATGGAATAGAGCCCTAATCTACAGGTGCCGCGGTTCCTATAGTCCGGCGGCCCTTTGAGAACCAAAATGGAGAAAGAAGGTGTCAACGTCCATCAAATTCAGTGCCCACTCACTTACTACACAGAATAAAATGGTAGGGTGTATTCGAGGAACCAAAACCTGGACGAGGCTTGGCCGAGAATGCGTAGGGTAGGAAGAATGATAGCTACCGGATGCGAGTAATCAAGTAATAACGGGTAGTGTCCTCTTCTTCAATCGGGGTTCTGAAACCATCAAAATAAGGCTTTGGTGCTATCGAGACCAAATCAACCCTAGAGAAGAGCTTTCAATGCTATCGCTTACTGTGCCTATTTGCCTGGAAATGAGGATGACCTGGTTCCGCGTGGAGCGGCCCGTCCCGACTCATTCTGATCCGAACTCGCAGTTTAAGGAACCAAGGCACACTTGCTGCATATGAGCATTTTCTAACAGATTGGAAATATTCCGAGGTAGACCCGGGGATCCCGGAGTATTAGGAACAGAGGTCGAATTGGACTGAAAAAAAAAGATGCAGAAACGTAGATCAGATGATTAGATTTCACCGACAGACCTGGATCGGAACTGTTTAAGACCAAAAAGAGGCTGTGTCTTTGGCCCGAAGGCCTTTTCCAGTGCACCATTTGACTGTGCTGATGAAGACCTTTAGTCCGGGGCCCCGCATCCCCCTCACATTTACCCCTCGTGGGCGTAAGATTCCTGCAAATAAAGTTCACAAGCGGCCTACTCCGGCGCCACTTTCTACGTTGGCTAGGCTTGTTTGCTTCTAGTCTAGCAATAGATATGTGATGTTCAAATCCGTTGGTTGGTTACTTCGGTTAATTGTCCCCAGTATGAAATGGGAAAAAGCCCGGTGGCACAATATGCTTGATTAGCCCCCCGACGAGTATACTTATGCTGAAAAGGCATTGCAGAAAATTTAGCCAGTTTCCTTACTAAGGAAATTATTGGAAAGCAAATTGAACGAATTAGAAATACGAGGGCTCCAAGTAGAACCAAACATAGCAAAAAATAATATTCTTGGTGGATTTATAAAGCTTGATAAAGCTTCATAATCCCAAGCAGTGGGGGAGCGAAACACAGAATTTGGGCTTGGCCCTTTAAGTTGACCTAGTATGCTCACGTCGACTAGTCACAGTGATCGGCTAATTTGCATTTGAATCGGTTCTCGTGGCCGGAGAAATTTTATTTCACACTTTTTGGCCGATCCTGATTTAGTTAGACGGACGTTGTTTTTTTGCCTTTGATCCTTGTGAGAAGCAGCCTTATGTGTGTCACATGGCCCTGTTTGTGCAACGCTGCAGAACGACATCTCGAGTTCGACAGGGGGAACCGGGGGCCGCTTCGAATGCACCCCACATAATGCTATGCAGGACAAGTCTAATTTGATCCAAAAGGCATAATTTCTGATATATGAAATTAACCGAGCCTGTAAAGACTAAAATGTGCCCATCTTGTCTCGTATTAATGTATACTGATATAGTTATTGGAGGAGAATTCCGGCCACACTATTAGCGTTGTGCCGCTCTCAATTTATGGACATCTTCAGAGATTAAAGAAGCATTATAAATAGGGAGGCTAGGAACTGCAGCCCTTAGACGTGCCTGTTCTACTTCGTGCCTGTTTGAGTATCTCATCGCCGGTTCTGAACGCTCACGGGAGTGCCTATCTCACTGTTATCTAATAAAAAAAGGGATCAAAGATGTTCTCCCAACTAAAGCTGGAGCGTGCCTGGGTACTTGTCTTAGGACTTGTTGCCCGAGGCTCACTTGCCGCTGGGCCCTGCGATATATACTCCTCCGGCGGCACGCCCTGTATCGCCGCACACAGCACCACTCGTGCCCTATACAGCGCCTTCACCGGTCCACTCTACCAGGTGAAGCGTGGCTCTGATGGTGTCACGGCTGATATAGCACCTCTTTCCGCTGGTGGTGTCGCGAACGCCGCCGCACAAGACTCCTTCTGCTCCGGGACGACCTGCCTCATCACGATCATTTATGATCAGTCCGGTCGCGGTAATCACCTCACTCAGGCTCCACCTGGTGGCTTCAGTGGCCCGGAGGCCAATGGCTACGACAATCTGGCCAGCGCAATTGGTGCACCGGTCACGCTGAACGGTAAGAAGGCGTACGGCGTCTTCATCTCGCCCGGCACCGGCTACCGTAACAATGCTGTTAGTGGCTCAGCTACAGGCGATGCAGCGGAGGGCATGTACGCGGTCCTTGATGGAACCCACTACAATGGTGGCTGCTGCTTCGACTACGGCAACGCCGAGACCAATAGTCGTGATACTGGAAATGGCCACATGGAGGCTATCTACTATGGTGACAACACTGTCTGGGGCTCTGGTGCTGGCAGCGGTCCTTGGATCATGGCCGATCTTGAGAACGGTCTGTTCTCCGGTATCAGCTCTGGCAACAACGCCGGGGACCCGTCGATCTCCTATCGGTTCGTCAATGCGGTTATTAAGGGCGGAGCAAACAAGTGGGCAATCAAGGGCGGTAACGCTGCGTCCGGCTCGCTATCAACGTACTATAGTGGCGTGCGCCCTACCGCGTCTGGCTACAACCCGATGAGCAAAGAAGGTGCTATCATCCTTGGAATTGGCGGTGACAACAGTGTCGGTGCCCAGGGCACCTTCTACGAGGGCGTGATGACCTCCGGATATCCATCTGATGCCACCGAGAACTCGGTGCAGGCTAACATTGTAGCGGCCAAATACGCTGTCACTTCACTGACCAGCGGTCCGGCACTGACCGTTGGCTCCTCAATCTCGCTGCGCGCAACGACCTCTGGCTACACAACCCGCTACATCGCACACACCGGCTCCACGGTTAACACCCAAGTTGTCTCATCATCCAGCACCACCGCTCTTAAGCAGCAGGCCAGTTGGACAGTTCGGACCGGCCTTGGTAATAGCGCTTGCTTCTCTTTCGAGTCGGTCGACACCCCCGGCAGCTTCATACGGCACTCGGACTTTGTATTCTATCTCAATGCCAATGACGGCACAAAGCAGTTCCACGAAGACGCTACATTCTGCCCGCAAACCGGCCTCAACGGTCAGGGTAACTCAATCAGATCTTGGAACTACCCCACCCGCTATTTCCGTCACTACACCAACGTACTCTACGCTGCGAACAACGGCGGTGTCCACACTTTCGACTCTGCCACGTCATTCAACGATGACGTGAGCTTTGTGGTTAGCAGCGGCTTTGTTTGAACTCTGGTTCACTTACCAGACATGTTGCGGAAGCGAGCCTTGCTCTCTTCCTACTTCATCCTGTGAAATTAATATTGGGTGATACATGATAATTTGCCAGGGTTGCGCAAGCCACCGTGGAGCTCTATTTGTAGATACCAGGCCTCGTTAGTAACTTAACATAGTGCAAATCAATTTATACATAGGTCTATGAAACTGAACCAAAGTAGATAATATCAAGTTGAGCTGTTAGGTTCCAGATTCGGCTCGTATTTGAGGCTTCTATCTGAGGAATCTTGATAGGTCATCTCTCTTATAAGTTAGAGATTGATGCCGAAGACTGACTGCACTAGTTCACCGGCAGTTAGACCTTTTACTGTTAGTACTGTAGAGTTGATATGGAGAAGGCCCACCGTAGATGCAACCCCAGATCTTGATAGAAATGACAAAAGAAACAAGAGAAAAAGCAACCAAACACACAGATAAATCCAGCACCATCTAAACCAGCCTGCAATGCAGTACTCAAACACAAACAATGCTTGGATTATCAAATGTGAGGTACCACATGTCCCCGTTTGCCCCATCATGGTACACCTGCTGGGTATTGTAAATCGAAATGAGGGGGCCCGCTTATTTCGGTCAAATTGATGCGACTCAGATTTATCCGAACCGTTCCTGGTGTTGCCTTAGGTAAGAGGACCCCGGGGGTGCTCATTGCAAATGTACTTTCGAAACGAGTCTGGCATCGTGTCGTGGTGTTGCTTCTCCGGGATTGACATTGCAGTCTATCGCTTCCCAATGATATATCATATCTTGCATGGTTTGATGCACGAGCATGTTGAATTCCAGTGTTCTGGCCACGAAGTACTCAATCTCGCCACCTTACACGACACTGGCATTACCTTGGGCGATGATAAGGCCGGAAAAGTTTTCATTGGCCGAAATAATGATGCCTGGATCATATATTTGGAGGTGGGTATACTAAAGACCGGGTCTCAAAGGATCGGATGGAGACGTTGGAGGGTGCTCCAGAGGGTCTTGCAAACATCAAAGCGCTTTTTTATCCCACTGAAGTATCACTAAGAAAAAGAGGCATGGGGGAAGATGAGGAGGAACTCAGGGAAACTGGTCGTAGGGATTTATTCCGCATGATAGGAGGATGTCAGCCACAATGTTTGGATTCAGTAGCTTGAGAGAGAATGTGACATGTGGCCCTGAGTTACCAGCCTTCGCATTACAGCCGAGGCATTCAATGACTCTCTGTAGTCATGTATCAGAACCCTTGCCATGGCATCTATCTAGCTAGACAGCGTAGGATCAGACATCAATGGGGGAACTTGTTGAATTCATCTATCTCAAACTACCACGCCACCTCCCACATTCAAAGAAGAGGCATTGTGACACGATTCTCGTAATCAACATTATCTTTAACGCTTTCGATGCGCTCATGACAGGTCCCAAACATCCTATCCCAAAGACGAGTCTGCTTGCCATAATTGTGACTCTTCCTCCAACCATAGCGATGGTGGAGATCATGATCTTCAATGACCAGTTCTGCATCAAACAACTCCAACAGCCAATTCACAGTAGAGGGAGCACCACCATGAAGCCGGAGACCACTATGCCCAATAAACTCCGAGAACGCAATATATTGGAAGCAGATCCACCATTCGTAGAATCCCATAGGCAAACCAAGGATCTTCAGAGTACTATACGCCATGAGGGGGATACCCGTTATATCCATGAACTCTTGCTCGTGGTCGGCATAGGCAGAGAGCAGGGGGTTAGGGTGTTTCGTCAAATGGTGTCGACGGTGGAACTTCCACAAGGGTCCCACAGAATGCATCATACGGTGATACCAGTAGAACCAGAAGTCGACGGTGATGCTGTAGAGGCCTATCTCCAAGGGAAGCCATTTCCATTGCAGTGATGCTGGTGCCTCACCCTGTTGATAGGTAAGAAAGATGGCCATGACCATGCGGAGACTGGAGGTTGAAATGAGTTCCCGTATAACCTTTCCAACACCCACGTCAGGTATTTCATCTCGTGGATGCTTGTCGCCATCCAAGAAGCCGTAGACTTGGCCAAGGCGGCGCATAATGTGCATTTCATGGATACCATTCAACTTGAAAAAGCTGGAATATAGGGCGAAGGCGCCAATGAGGCTCAGGTTTCGGCCGGTATAGGTCGTGTAGATATGTTGAAGGGCGAGTGGGATCATAGCGTGGAGTAGAATCCACAGGTGAACCGTCCATTCCCGTATGGCTGGGATTTTATCTTTCTTCGAGAAAACGGGGACTTCATTATCGAGATCGATGAGATGCAGTCCAAGGAGTTCGATCATCCAGTGCCAGAAGCTCCATTGGGACCGGTCATGGCGCCAGGTAGACACCATGGAGTCTGCGGGATTTCGCTTGGTGGTCATTGTCTGAGTAGACATTTTGATCATAAGTCAAGGTTCATCTGAGTGCTATACATTATCTTACGTGCAGAAATAGAAGTTCTTATACACCGTATGCTAGCAAAAGTTTTATACCCGACTCTTACATGTGAAGTCATGATCGCCAGCGCACAAAAGCCTAGGCAGACGACAATTTAAAACTCTATCACTGTAGACAAATCAACAAAGCCTGATCGGGCTTTAGAATCTCGCCTAGAGAATGTTGGGGATGCTGGTCTCATCTGATGTGGAGGATCGTCTGGACTTGTGATAAAGCCGTCTGCCTCGGTTGCCGGATATCTACTTCATCTATGCGGGGAAGATTCCTACTTATTGGATAAGCATGACTTTCACGGAACTTATTCATTATCCGCGGGGTAATAATGCTGCTGTGTGGCAATCAAGGAAATTGAAAGGCTGAATACTTGATGGATAATATAATTTACATTTCCTGGACAAGAGACAGAAAATATAATGACAACGCTTTCAATACACTGCAATAGGAACGCATATTTCCAACAAATATATACCGCGTATGCAGGTCTGAGTATATACAAAATGCCAGTGGGGGGTATCCAGGACGCCGGCGTCCTATAATGGCAGACGATTATGTTCATCTTCATCCTCCTTATATGCAACCAACTGATAAGGACCAATAGAGCGAGATATACCGCGAAGACGACGATGGACAGCGAAATAAACACCACAAACAAGACATCCAAAAGCCACAATCACAATAGTCCACGTGGCCCACGAATAACCAGAAGACCTCGAAGAACTTCCAGCTGCCGAAGCAGGCAACCTTTGAAGCAATCCCGTCACACCAAGGCTATCACCATTTGCATGGATAGCTCGCAAGCGGAAGAAAGAAACCACCTCAGGAACAAGTGGAATCTCAGTCTCAAACCCAGACCGAGAAACTTCGTCGACGGCGCTGAATGTCATATTGGATAAGCTTACGCCATCCCATGCCTCCACACGCCACGCAGCTACCTCCGTCGCACCATTCCAGCTAACGAAGACACTGTCGGGGGTGAGCGTAGCGTCAGGCGTTGATGTAGGATGACCGATCCAGTCGAATTTGAACACGCGGTAGGAGACGACCCGGCCGAAGGTGAAGAAAGCCGAGGCGCCGAAGTGCACATTGCATACTACCTCACCCTCAGGTGAGAACTCGGTGTATGCAGCCGAGTGACCCCAGCCCACGAGGACGTTGCCGGTATCGAGCAGTTGCAGGTTTCCCTGAGAAACGGCCATCATGTCCTGCGGGTGATCGTAGGATTGTACGAGTGTCGCCTGCTGCGCGTTCATATCCAGGTCGATGATCATTCCGCGGCTTACTGCGGAGGGGTCGTCATTGGTATAGGCGGCATTATCGAAAAGACTGAGACGGTTAGGGCCTCGCCAGCGGGCATCGTGCTGCCAAGCGAAATCGGTGGCGGCTCCGTCGGAAGCATCGGTGAAGTCGTTCTTCTTTCCTCCCAAGGACCAGGAAACTTCGCCGGTGGTTCCGTCTATGCAGGCGATGGTATGGAGGTGTCGCATCGATACCAGGTACCGGCCCTGGTCGTCCTTGTCCACGCTGTTGATATGGCAGTAGTCGTATCCTGAGGTGCGTCCAGTACCGGTGTCTCCAATTGGGTCGTAACTATCGCTTGGGGAGTAATAGTCGGATGCGCGCCACTGGAACAGAAGTTCACCTGTTTCAAGGTCGACTTCCTGGAACACTCCGTCGTATATCCATCCCAGCTCGGGGCCACCAACAGATCTCAGGTCCACCACTATAGGGTCGTAAATCATCAGAAGTGCGGTGTCGTTGGCGGTGATGTGGAACTCGTGTAGATCGCCGTCATACATGCCGACGGGTGATACGACATGTCTTTGGTTATAGGTAGAATCAAGCTACATACCAAGAGCAGGTTAGTATATTGAGCTTCTGGCGAGCCAATTCCAATGTCTGTCCTACCATGTACCACAATCCCCGGCCATAGTTGTCATCTGTATCACCTTGCCAGTAGGTAAGGAAATCCTCGCCCTTGTACCGCTGTACTTTGAAGTCCTGTGTCGTACCCCCATTCCATTTTGTCCACACAAGTTCACCAGCAGAATCCAGAATCATAGGACCCGGATGGGCGACTGAATCGCCACGAGGCGCAAGGAAGGTATATCTCGGATCGCATTGCGCACCAGGTGGGGAAATTTCAACAATTGGCGATTCCTGGTCGAAAGAAACATAGTCCTTGGTCGGACCTAGCCCTTGAGCACCTAGGTCATACCAACTCAACCCGGCGCGGAAGCGCAATCTAAGAAGTTGTGGGACGGCAAATATATAGAAGACAATTGCGCCTCCCAGGGCAGCAACAAGCAGGGCGATCCATCGGATAGGAAGATAATTCAGGCGATTACCGCGGAGCCAGGAGCTCATGCGACGCAGGCCAGAAGAATTCCACAAGAACATTGGCGCATCGCGGACGAAACAAGAGATATCGAGGGGAGAAACGGGCAAGGGGGATATAAAGCGGACATCATTATTACTCCCGCTTGAACGGGTCAACGTTCAATTTCGGCGCAGAGACTCCCTGCTGGATACTCTTGGCTGCACGGACAGTGGAAACTCGGGAGTGGACGCGTATGTTGATTCGGTAGGTGACGGCATTCTCATAGTAGAATATTGGTCCGCCAAGCTTCTAGTGGATCGATTTTCCTTCGAGAATCGTGGCTGCGCCAACCAGAGACTAGAGTCTCTGCCGGTTGGATAGTCCGCTAAATCACCTCGTGGCTAAACCAAACTCCACAAGTCGACCAGTAAGGAGAAACGCTCGAGGATCATCTCTGTCGTGCCCCTCAAGGCCGAGGAACTGCAACGCCACTAGCCCACGCGTCCTCGTCCTTGGGGCGGGATGTGGCGTTGATGTGCCATTTAAGATTGTTCCAATCAGATAAGGAGGAATTGTTGGATCCAGGCTAAAAGGGCAGGGATTTCATCGAGTACCCTGTACCAGACTCAGAATATGCTATACACTGTACACTGTATGTAGTTCAAATCCTACAGAACTAAGAATACGAACACGACGCTCCGCTCGGCAATCGGACTTAATATCTCCGTTCGGTTAGTCGTCTCCAATGGGCAAGACATCGACGAAGAAAAGCCGAGTACTTCGGATCCAATAATTGATCGAGGTAGGTGGCTGCCACGCAATACACTAATGATAAGATGTTGACTGTTCTTCACTGATAGCACTATTTTTAGCCTGTGCACGGGGACGTGGCTTTGCGGACGTGGCTTTGCGAACGCGGCTTTGCGAACGCGTTTATACATGGCGCGGCGCGTCATCTCTTTTGGGTTATGCTAAATCCCGTTCTTTTTGTTTTCTTTATCCTCCTAAATCCTTTTCTAATTCAGACATAAGGCTGTGTATCCCAGACAGATCATTGAAGTTTGAATCCGCATTGTGGTTGATGTCTCATTCTAAGAAATTAGTCGCTTGGCTTGCCGAGCTGTGAGACATCGGCATCTCTCGGTAGCTCTGACCGATCGTGCCGACCGTAGAGACTTCAGAGATTTAGGCACGGCTATTTCATGCCATCGGTTTCCAACATCGTGCGCCCTGACTGTGATCACGTCTTTTCTGCGACCGAGCCCGCTGTGAGTCGGATGTCGGTCCGGAGATGCGGGAAAAGAGAATGTTCTTCGATTATTGATACAATCAGATTGATTTTGTAACATCCATGTGTTTGTAATAAGGGCGACGGCGTATACACACAAATAGTTGGATGTAGAGGTCGAACCAGTTGCGATAATTCTTGACTGCCAGCGGAGAAAGCAACTATTACAATAATACAGTCATAGGCCATAAGTTAGACCCTTTCTCACTCCCACACAATGATTAACCCATATTTTTGAACAAGTACAACCCGAGACACTCAAGAATGGGCAAAAACATTATATCAAACGGCATCCTCGCTTCTTTCGTGTAGAGACTGTTCAATGCTTCATGGCACTGTATACATATTCATGAACCCTATCGAAACTTATCTCCGCAGGAATGTCGTCTGCTCTGCGTATACATCAGACGCGTTGGAGATTCGAACCAAAGAGCCCAATTCGCCGACGGGACCAAAACCACGAGGGAACAGGGAACAGGGGTAAATGCAACACGCGGTAAGTGGCTGGGAATATCACAGGTGCCTCGTTGCCTAGACACAGCACATCAGACAGGGGTATGCAGCTGCCAAGTCACTTGGCTGCCATTGTCTCCGACGCATCCCGACTATTGATTGTACACCCCACGACTCTTCCAATATTTGCTTGATCTATCAACATTCGCGAGTCCGTGCCAAGTTGTGATCCCACCAGTATTTATGCATCCCTTTTCTACGAGCTTGTTTCGGCCACAACTCCATCTGTGACGGGTCATCCCGAATCATGAACCTGAAACATCGACTTGATTGGTCCTATTCAGGAGTCTTTGACCCCGAGCGGTTTGTGAGTGGGACTGTGTGCTGGCTGCATGATGAGACATTTATCATTTGCGGGAAAGTTAACTCCTGACCCCACGGGCAATCTAATTCAGTTCGAGCTATGCGGTCTGAACTTTGTGAAGAGTGTGGCGGTGGAGTCGGCATTTTGCCTTCCCGACCGAATGGAATGTGTGATTTGAGGCCAAACCCGGGAAAAGGTTCTTATGAACAGCGATACAGCGATACAGCCCCATAGAGAACATAGAACATCTCTGCACATGGTAGATCCCAGACTGCAGGAAGAGGTAATAACGTTAACGTTACATGTACATGTACATGTATGCCTGAATGCACGCAAAATCTAGATAAACTTCAAGCTCCACTCATCCCCTTTGATTGGTAATTTTCCCCCTTCCCAGTTCAGCTCTTGCGATCTTCACTTTCTCTCTTTCCCCTCTCCTAACACCCTACGCAATGAGAGACAAGGAGTTGATGTCCCAGGAGGTCGGCCTCGACGCGACCACCCAAGATGACTGGGACATGCAGCGTCTGGGCAAGACCCAGCAGTTCAAGGTGCGAACATGTTGGAATGGAAGTGTGGGACGAGGGCTGATCAGCGGCAGAGAAATTTCCGATTTTATTCGATTTTGGGATTCACGACGACGTTGATGGCCACATGGGAGTCCATTTTACTGTGAGTTTGGCCCACGCGACCGCGACTGGTATGCGACATGGAACAGCCATAATAATGGAGGACGCGCAGCACGAGTACCTATGGTCTTGTCGATGGTGGAAAAGCGGGCATGGTCTATGTATACATTGCTTCGTTCGTGGGATTTTTCGCCGCGGTCGTGTCCATGGCCGAAATCGCGTCGATGTAAGTACAAATACGCACCTTGCGCGCATGGAAATTAACATTGGTTTAGCTCGCCAACATCCGGTGGACAGTACCACTGGGTCAGTGAATTTGCTTGGCCCAGGTACCAGCGATTCTTGAGTTATCTCACCGGTTCGACCACACTTCCGATCTATAAACTGGAGTCGCGCTAATATCGCACTAGGATGGCTTTCGGTTCTGGGATGGCAGGCCGCTTTTGCGAGCATTTGTTTCCTTTGCGGTACCTTGATCCAAGGATTACTGGTCTTCAACTACTCAGATCCCTCCGGCTGGGTGTATGGATATGAGCGCTGGCACGGTACCCTGCTGACCATCGCTATCGCTGCTGTCGGAACTGTGGTCAACACTTGGGGTTACAAGATCCTCCCTCCCATGGAGGGTCTCATCCTCGCCATTCATCTCGGTGGATTTGTCGCTGTCCTCGTTCTGATGTGGGTTATGTCCCCCGGAAAGGCTTCTGATGAAACCGTCTGGAAGGAATTCACCAACTCCGGCGGATGGTCAAGTGTGGGACTGGCATGTTTGGTAGGCCAGCTTACCCCCATTTTCTCCTGGACAGGCCCGGATGCCGCGACGCATATGGGTAAGTCAACAATGTCGCTTGGCAAATTTAGGATAATCGCTAATAGTGAACAGCCGAGGAAGTCCAGAACGCTGCCTTGGTTGTGCCGTGGTGCATGGTTTCAACCGCCCTGATCAACGGTGCCCTCGGCTTCGTCATGCTGGTTACTCTACTATATAACATGGGCCCCTTGACAGATGCCATCCTCGCGCCTGCCAGTGGATTCTCTTTCCTCCCCGCAGTTCAACGCGCCACTGGCTCTATTCCCGCTACCAACGGCGTAGCCGCCATCATCCTCGTCCTAGAAGTCTGTAGTGCAATCGGCATTCTCGCAACAGTCTCCCGTCAGACCTTCGCCTTCGCCCGCGACGAGGCCCTGCCCTTCTCTAAGCAGCTCGCGCATGTGAACCGACGAACCCAGATCCCCGTCTGCTCCGTGCTGGTCTCGACCATCATCACCGTGCTACTGAGCTTGATCAACATCGGATCTACTGCCGCCTTCAACGCCGTCGCATCCGTTATGATTGCCGCTCTCTTCACGACATACATTCTACCAATTGCCGCGGTCATCCGTGTTCGTTTCCAACCGGGTGGTATCCCCCCAGCGCGCTTCTCGCTTGGCTCATTCGGTTTGGCCATTAATGTTTTCTCCCTGGCATGGCTCTGCTTCGCCATTATTTTCACCTTCTTCCCGACTGCCAACAACCCAACTCTCGTGAGTATGAATTGGTCTATCCTTGTCTTTGGCGCTGTGGTCATTTTCGCCATTGCTTTATACATTCTTCACGGCCGCCGTGTTTACAAGGCACCCGTGACACAGGTTCGGAAGGTTGACTAAACCCGCACTCTCCATTTTTTTTTTTTTTTTGGAGATTTTGGATCGCTTTTTCTTTTTTGGCCTGCTTGCATATATCCAACGTTTGGGACCGCGCTAATCGCGCGTACGTATTGTCTGGGCAAGCCCTTCGCATTTTGCGTATTTATGATATTTAATTGGCATTTGGATATACTTGTTAGGAATGAACATAATTGTAGAGCCATGAGACGAAAATTTACCGCAGTGCCATTGTTACAACAAGGGGCCACAATATCAAGATCCACTAACCTCCCATGATAACAAGGCGTTGCAACTGATTCAATTCATATAGTCCGCTGCCATATTGAGTATTTCATCCAATCCCCCGACACAGTCCAACCCAAGAGATGCCAATAATTCAACGCTAGGCGTAGTCACAGATTCATCCCTTATCAGCTCAGGCCAACGTCCAACTTCAGATATCTCCGAGGAACGCCGTGATTTCCCAATCAGCGAAGCATGATCTTGCTGATAAAAAGTCCGAATGATAGCCGGAATATTCAAATAATTGCACCGTTGCGTGCCAGACATGTCGTGGCAGGCATCTCTTCGTCCATGCACTCCCACAATAAGACTTCGCTCAGATGTCTTGCACTGCTCATCAGCAAGCATCGCTTTTAACAAAGAAACACCCCGTTTCGCAATCATATCCGACTGACACTGAGACAATATCTCAATTCCGCCATCAATAAGCCGTCTATGTTCCGAAGACTCGCGCTCCGGTCCAGTCTGATGAAAAAGATCTAGACATAAGATGATCTGTACTCATTCATTAGCATCGAAAACACCATCCAACAACCCGGAATCATGCACTTACACTAGCCGTAACACTAAAAGCCTGATGAATCCAAAGTACTGGCCCCCCATCCCTAACAGCCTCCATCTGCTCCTTAATAATAGTCCTCGAAGCCGCGACGCACGTCTTCCGCGTAAACACAAACAAGGGATTCGAAAAGCTAGCACTGAGGAATTTCCGATGGATCATGATAACCTTGTGTGCAGAACTAATAGCCAGACTGCGCCGCGCCCACGGGGCATAACATGGCCAATTCGGGTCCAGGGGAACATTCTGGAGAAAATAGGGTAAATGTTTCGTCGCGAGGGTCCGCAACTTGCGATCGTATTTGAGGACTTGTTCGTATTTTGTGTAGGGGGTATTAGAGGCCGAGATGGCGTCTTGGAGGTTTGGCATTAGGGCGGCGATATCGTAGAAGAGACGGGAATAGCTGGTTACTGTTGGAGTGTGGTCTGGAAGGGGGTTCATGTTATCATCGCTGTTTTGGGGTTTGGGTGTTGTGAACCCTTGATGGTGGAGGAGGTAGCTTTCTGTGAAGGGGATTGAGAACCAGTCTTGGATGCAGAGTTGGCACCAGACTCGTCGGCCGATTTCGCGGTTTATTAGATTGTTTGTGCCTGTGTTGTTGTTGTTTCTTTCTTTTTCTTCTCCTAGTTGGTGGAGGCCGAGTCCTTGGGCGATGCGGACGGCTGAGGCGAGTAGGACGGATAATCCGTTTGAGTATCCGAGCATATGTGCGGAGATTGTGAGAGTTGCAATGGCCTGCACGGAATAGATGGAGTGATATGCCATGTATTCTGCTTGTTGGAGGCATGTTGTGCTGGCTTTCAGCCAGCGCTTTGATAGAGTATCTTGTTCCTCGCTGTGGAATCCCCAGGATTGAGCGACGCTACGGGGCGCGCAGGTCATTGACCCTGTGAGGATGGTGAAGAGAAGAGCTACCCATTGTAAATCTACACCTGGCGCATCGATCTGTCCGTTATGCTCGTTGTAGAACTCGCTGAGTTCTTGCATGAATGTTGTGGCGTGCAATGCGCCGTGGTACCAGAGTAGACAGTCCACATGATATTTGACTAATTGGTAGACTTTTGGCTGGGTCGGTAGAAGCATTTGGCATATTGATGAAGGCATGTATCCAGGGGAACGTGTGTAGTCAATTTCATCTTCGACCGTCACATCTCCTGGCGAGTGATCCGGCTTACTGTTTTGGATGATTGCGTCCTGGTACGTTGGGTCTTTGCGACGTCCCCATGCTAGAAACTCGAGGATTGTTGCTGCGTCTTCCACCTCCCCTGATGAATCTCCCGGATCAAGAGTAGAGGTTTGCACTGCTCTGGGTGAAGGTGTCGTTGGTAATCTGGGTGTAGAAGCTGACCTGACCGTCGGCGTTGGTTGCTGAATTTCCCTGGCCCTGGTTTCTTCCAGTTCCGTTTCAAGTTGCTTGATTCGAGATTCGAGCCGTTGAATAATATCCAGTGCTTCAGCAGTAGGGCTGGTGAAGGATCCCTCATCCTGTCTGCCAGTATGCTCGATACTTGAGACCGGAGAACTCCGGTCTCGCGGTCGAGTACACGAAATACCTTTTCTGGCACAGTTTCGACATGGCAGGATCTTGTCACATTTGACCTTGCGACGTGTACATTCAACACAAGCTAGACGCTTCCGATATATCCCCGAGCTCATGATTAGTGTCGAGGCACAAAAGATGGGGGAAGGGATATCTGGGGTTTATCGTTATCGGGTAATTATTAGTTTTGCCTATCGGAAAGCGCACAATGTCATTAGGTAGGATCGAGTCAAATGGGATGTTATCATTGGCTTATTTCTCCTATGGCATATCGCTCAGCCCCGATGGTTTTGCAGGGTTGAATATCCAACTACTGTGGCAATGGCCATCTAAACATAACTATGACAGAATAATGGATGTTAATTAAGTTATTTATTAAGAAATACCATAATCTACATATATTAAAACACAGCTAAGAATAAAAAGTCCCTCGTCGCTAGTATTCTGCTCCATATCCAGTCCCTCCTTATCAGCTCGGCCGAGGGCGGCCGAGGATGCAGATCAGCCCAACTATGGCCCCTTCGGACGAGCTTGTATGACAGTAACTTGCCTATAAAGTTCCTCACATGCTCCTCGATGCACCTTAAACACGCACACATCATTACTCGCAAATTGATCCTGTGGCTGTCAGCAAACAAACAAAATGTCTTCCCAAACTCGCTACGTCGAGCGCGCTATTCCACGCATCTCCATGCACGACTTCGAAGACCGGATAGAAGAAATAACTACCCAACTAATCGACGCCGCAGAAAATGTGGGATTCTTCACGGTGATCAACCACGGCATCTCCAAAGAAGACATTGAAGCAATGTTCGCAACATCCAAGAGCATGTTCGACCTACCAGACAACGTGAAAGCAACCGTACCTTGGAACGCGAACAACGTCGGCTGGGAGAAGAACTCACAAATCCGCCCATCAACCGGCAAACCCGATAGTAAAGAATCCTACCAGCTGCAATTCGGCGAGAACATGAAAGATCTGTGGATCAAGGACTCTGACCTACCCGGCTTCCAAACGACCAGCCTCACCTTCATGCACCGCGTCCAGGAAATATCCGAACGCCTAATGCGCTGCTTCGCGCGCGGGCTAGGCTTTCCCGAAACATTCTTCATCGAATGCCACGGCATCTCACGGCCAAATTCCCAGACAACCATGCGTCTACTTCATTACTTCTCGCAGCCGGAGGAATCCGACGGGCAAGAATATCATCGCGCAGGGGCACATGCCGATTGGGACTTTCTGACTTTACTCTTTCAAAAGGAAGGGCAGAGTGGGCTGGAGATCTGTCCTGGGCGCGAGGTGGTCACTGAATTCGGGATAGGGGACGAATGGACCAAAGTCGAAGCGAGCACGGAGGCGATTGTCTGTAATATTGGGGACTTGCTTATGTCGTGGTCGGACGACAGGTTCAAGTCGACTTTCCATCGGGTTAAGGCGCCGTGTGAGCCCGGGGACTATTTTGGTGATCGGTACAGCATTGCCTATTTCAACCAGCCTTGTAAGGATACTTTGATCCAGGGGCCGCTGAAGAAGTATCCGATGGTCACTGGGGCTGAGTTTACCGAGAATGCAATGAAGAGGAATTTTGCTGCTTTGCAGGAGAAGCTGAAGACGGTCGCGGCGGCTTGATCTTGATCTTTTGGGGAAGCGCATGGGCATCAAGTCTTTATCTGACGTTTGTTAGGGGGCTTTTTTTTCGCAAAGGGGCATCTCGCAAGGGGCTTTGGATAGGAGTGTCGGATGTTGAGACGGGAGTTACGGCTTGAGGACACAGTGAAGCCGTAGTAGATATCAATGAACCTATCAGTTCTATAAGTTTCCAAAGTCCCACCATGTGGAAAATCCTTCAATGTTGCCGAAGGCCGATTCTGAATCTGTGTATCCCACACTGTTTTCCAGGTCAACAAATTGTGAGGGGTCAGCCCATAGCCAGGGAGTGTTGGTCATTAGACTGTCAGCTGGTGCAAGTAGCTTTTCGCCGACGCCCAAGTCTGGTGAATAATTTGCGGTCGAAGTGCGTGCTAGATTCGGAGGCATATGGGCAGCTTGACCGCCATCCGCAGTGTTCACGGTGACATTCGGAGACATGGCGACAATGACCTCTAGAGTGGAGGTGGGACTGTCATCCGCCTCTTCTGTTGAAACGGTCGGAGTTAATGATGGATGTAACAAGCCGCCTGTAGACACTTCATGTGGCTTGGGTTTACAGTTGACCTGAAGGACATCCCACATCAACGGAATACTGAGATGAATTTTCTCAGGCTCCCAGTCATAATCGACATCTTCCGAGCCAGAAGCAATCCGCGTCATCTTGTCCAAAGTTTGATCCTGTTGATCTCAGCGCTTGCCCGTTAAGTACTCCGGAAAAAGAACCTACCAAGACTGCACAGGCAGACGAGAAGCTCACAAACGTTTTGAGGAACTTTCTGCATTTTGTAAAGTCCACCTTGGATTTGTATTTGAGTCGGGGATCCGCAGCACAGCAATAGTACAGATGCACTGTAGCTGCAATGGCAGCGGCGTATCCAAAGAATGGATCGATCAATCGCATTTTCTTCTCCGAAACCATGTCTATCATGCGGACGAGCCAGGTGGCATGTAAGAGAACCAGCTCAGAGGAGCGTCTCCAAAAGGCGTTAGGAATTGCAAGGTTGTCGTTGTACTGTGATGCGATGATGTAAAGGAAGGGGTGGTTGAGAACGGTAAGAATGCAATGATAGGTGAATTGCAACTTGAGCCAAGGAGCCCAGTAATCTCGATTCATTGCCAGTTCCTCTGCCGTACGCTCGTAGAATTTAACCGAATCGTAACGGTGACACTGGGAAAGTTTGTTCTCGATTTCTGTAAGGTCGGAGAGCACCATGGCATACATCGAGTCATTTCTCCAGGGCTCCTTCAATCTGTTCCGCGCACAATCGGAAACATATGTGCGTACTCTGCTCCAGACCCAGCCGAAGTGAGCTGCCAAGCTCCAAATCCCTATATCGGATGAGGTCAAGCAACCCAGATCGTCGGTCGGGAGTGGTGGAGGTTTTGCCTCGCTCTCACTTTGTCCCATCCGGTCGCTGCTCGATGACACATAGAATGCACGCAAAATCTCAGATGGAACACAAAGGAACCCGTTTTGCTGCCCGTAGGACTGCTCGAGACACTGGAGACTCCAAAACAAACGCTTCTTGCGCTCAGTAATAGGACCTTCGCCGACATATGACGATTCCAGATCCAGCGTTGCTGACCGGCAGAGATGTAATGCAAGGCCGAGATGGAAGCGACCGAGATGAATATTTCCATCTAGAATAATGTCAATGGCTGCGACATACTTCACAAGTAGTTTGTATCCATACCTAAGAACGAAGAATAGGCGAGCAGACAAAGACTCTCGATGGTCTCCAGTTCCACCGTGCCATTGGCCATGCGAAGCATAACCAAGCTTCTTGCACTGTCGCCATAATGTTCTAAATGATCCCTGTCTCTTGAAAACCGCGAAGTCAGCGCCAGAAGGCAACAGACAAGCTCTTCCGAAAGACAGCTTGGATCGGAGACCTCTTCACGATTAAAACACCAAATTGGCTGGCGATGGCAATATTCAAAGTAAAGATCGATCGCTTTGGCGATCGCAGATGATGATGGTTGGGAAGTCGAGTCCTCATAGCCAAATCCGAGGAAGAAAGGATCGTGCACAACGCTAATAGGTTCATTCGAAGGCGCTCGCGTTGAATAAGTTGTGTCGGAAATTCCATTCCCTCCATCGCGCGGTTTTTCTGGTTGAATGTCTTGTGTTGGCCTAGAGCCGCTGAGAATGAGGTTGACTTTCTCTTCAAGGAAAGCGAGCCTATCGTCCTGCGGAGAGAGTTAGCTCTCAATCAATTACTAAATTCTTCGTACATACAGATGGTCCACCCCTGGAGCTTCGCGATATCGATGTATAAAGGCATGGTTGATTCAGGCGCACACAGCTCGAGCAGGATGGTTTCTCGGCCGGACATCGGGTTTTCTTTCTCCTGTATGACATCAGGCCCACTCCAATAGATAAGCTGTTCGCTCTTCTTACCTGCAGTTGAGGCAGGCCTCATGGGACCGTAATCTTCCACGAGCATTGTCTCGCGGCATCACCATAGTTGAAATATGAAATATGATATATGTTGAGGAGAAGTATCTAACCAAAAAAAAAGGGTCGGGGGATTGAGCTGCGGGGTTATGACCGAAGCAGGCGATTAAAGATAGCCATAGTAGCGCGTTACGGGCGGGAAATACAGCCGGGGAAACAGGTAACGTTGCTTGTCAGATAACAAGAAAACAAGGAGATCGTAATCTCCCGAGGTCGGAGGGGGTGTAAAAATAAGTAAAAATACGTCCAAGAGGAGAGGGGTCCATGGCCTCTGTTTCCCCGGGAGCCCATCCGATCTAGAACGTATGTAACCTATACTGGAAATGGTTAAAATGTCCAGTGGCAAGCCCTGGAAGCTATTTTCCTTACATGGTCACATGCCGGTTCGAACGTTAAATTCCCCCCAAGGGAACTGCTATCTTTCAACCTAGTTGGGTTTGAAAGGAGATAGTGCCTAGGTGTTCAGGCTATAATAAGGTTGCTTGCATTTGCTAGTCTCTGATTAGTGGAAAGGTCGAGGTATAGATAGTCATCTGACCCGGTGTGACGAAAACTATCAACGCCAGCAAGCAATAGGGTCGTGTGACCTGGAAACAAACTAATATTGTGGAAAACAGAGTGTCATCATATGCAATGTGTCATTATCATAAAATTAAAACATGCGCAAGAGTAGAACACGAGGATCTATGCATATGATTAGTAGACCGCTGTCTCTGTTGCAGTCGCTGGTCCTGGTGCAGGGCCCGCTCCGCAAGCCTTTCCTCCGCAGCACCCAATGGGGGGACTCGTGAGCTTTGAGCAGAAATCCATATCCTCCTTACTGGTCTCTTCCTCAACGGGGAGCTTTTGCTGGGCGGGCCAGATCTGCTTCTGTGCCTCCTCTTCCCGTTTTTGGTGCTCCGTAATAAGGTCATGGACAGTAGTCTGGAAGTTGAGGGGGCCTTTCTCCAGCTGAGAAGAGAGCTGTCCATCATTAAGGCTCTTTTGTGCTTCAATGCAGAGATCGTTATCTTCGGACGTGATGCTCTTGTACACTTCGTTGATCTTTTCAAATTCCTCCTCGCTGGAGCTCTTGTTTCGGAAAACCTCGTATCGCACTGAGCAGGAAGTGGGGCCGGTGGGCACAAAGCGCTGCATGAAGAAAGAATGGGGTCTGTATGCACGGTCAGCGACGGATATTAACTCAAACAGATCAATATACTTACGAAACGGTCATGGTAGCATTGGGAAAGTAGTAGGTACTAGCAGCCCTCAGACTCTCGGCAATCTGCTCGGACTTGCTATCGGGGGAAGAAGTTTGGCCCTCGTAGCGCTCATTGTAGATGTGTGCAAGAGGCTTCCAGTTGTACTCTCCAGTTGTCTCCCATGCGTTATCGAATTCGTAGTCTTCGTAGTTGAAACCCTTGAGACGGGCCTGCAGATCGATATCTTTAAAGTCATCGGCGAACGAAACCTCCGGAGTCTCGTCGGCATCCAAGTTCAGCCAAATGAACCCGTTGTCATCAATGTGGGAGTGGATCGGTAGGAGACCGTTCTTGCTCTTATCAAAGCCCTCCAGCTCCTGGTAGCCAGGCGCCTTCGCGAGCTTGCCATTGAGTCCGTAGGACCATCCGTGGTATTGGCAGGAGAAAATTCGGGAAGTACCACCATCCCCCGTCACTACTGGGAATGCGCGGTGTCGACAGATGTTATGGAATGCATTGACATTCCCCTCGCGATCCTTGACAAGGATGAAGGCGTATCCAGCGATATTATATTTGATCCAGTCACCAGTCTTGGCGAAACGCATTGTGTGTGTAGTGAGAAGCCATTTCCGACAGAAGATAGCACGTCGTTCAAGTTCGTACATCTCTGGGGAGGAATACCATGACGCAGGCAAAGTGGACATTGTGAAGTGAGAATTGATTCGTGCGGTTGATACAGGCGCTTTAGTCAATTGAAGAATGAAACTCAAATTTGGCTGTCTTGAATTTTTGCATAGAATGGCAGGCGGGACACCTAATATAACGTTACCTTATCTAGACCTAAACGACGCCTATCATGAGCATGAGCTCATGATTCCCCATGGGGATGCCCTAAATGGACGTATTCGCCGATCACAGGACCGGGACGGAGGCTCAGCCGTTCATCGCCGGACGATTGTGAAGATTAGTTTTCCAGCTTGGACCTGTCGATCAGAGGGGGCGCGTACGGTAGACGGATCGAACTACCGCGCTTGTAATACGCCACTCGGGTGACCGGCTTTACTACCGTGTGCTTATGCTTTGATAAGATCACCTACGTGCTGCAATGCGTTGGCTAAGGTCATATGAACTTTTCTACTGTGCAGAGGGTCTGGACAATGCTTTTTGGTTTGCGGCCACGCAGGGCCGACGAAGAACTAAGTAAGATATATGATCAAAATGCTATTACTCCTGCGGTCCGTGGTACAACCTCATCATCCCTCAAACTTTGTATATTTTTGGGATATTCAACTGCTCTGGTGGGCTTTTTTTGGGGTATAGTTATGCAGCAGACCACTCAGGTATACTGCGTATATTGTCATTGGGGTGATTATTTTATCTGTACTCCAACCGTTCTGGCACACCTATCTCGTTCATACCAAACCCTCCATCAACTCCTCATCTATGCTCCGAGTCCCTCTATCATTCCTTTTTCTGTGATAATTGGAAAGCTCACTCACTGAGTCAGGCCCTGCTCTTCTCCTCTAATATTTCTACACATAATATCATTGTCGCTGTGAAACTACTCCAACTAGCTCTGAGCCGATCACATGACCGGCTCGAAGTGGAACGTGGGGGATACGAAACTTGGAGATGCTAGCCACCCGATCGTTATCTATCAAGGGGCCAAGATCTCTTGCTTGATTGAAACAAGTGGCGATGATCTCATGTGACGTTTAGAGTGACCTGGCAAGATCGACATCTATCGGCGAAAGTCTGTTGTCAAACGTGTCATTTCCCTACTTCAATTGACGTGCCTGATTGGCGAATGATTACTGATCTGATAACAATGTCAAACTGAACGTCAAAGAACTGAGTCTTCTGAGAAACGACATTTTGATTTAGTCTGCCATTTTGATTGTACGAAAGCCAAGTTAGACAGCACATCAAATGTATTTTAATATCTCGATTACAGCAAGCCCATATGTGCTACATACCACGCAGCGAGTCGGTTCTAGAGCAATTATCCCGCGTCTCTCGTGTGACGCCTTTGTTTGCTATTCTTTCCATCCAAACTAAGAGATGCACCTGACAGCGCCATGTTCTATCTTGAGCTCTTTACGTCGGGACAGGCCCGGTCAAGCCATACTCTTAGACCATTAAATGGCCACGACCAGTCAGCTCGCATGGTGGCGCTGCGGATGGACGAAAACTGGCAACACGTAAAATAGGCTGAAGTGCATGGCTGGATTATGCCTTATGCGAAGAGGGAGGAGCAGATTTCTCTATCGGGAATTGCATTCCAGGTAGGGATATCCAGGGTCGCAGCAGATCTGCCAAGCTATACAGCCTATAGAGTTTGATTAGAAGCCGTAAGCATGTAGATCCCAAAAACGAAGAAAGAGTACATCACCAGTTGGGCCAACGTGGATATCGGGCTTGTGTGACTGGCGGAAAGATTTGGGGGGGACTCCACACAGCGAGGAATCCCCAGCTCCAACCAACCACATTCCCGAAGGTCCATCCTGCTAATGCACTCGTCCAATTACCATGAGTTCAATAGGTGATAACTATACCATACACAAGGTCTCAACAAAGCGCACTCGGCAAGCCTGTGGTCCCTGCCGGTAGGTGGCAATTCCGAGAAAAATTACCCGCGATACCGCCTCAGCCTGATCAGTTTCGATATCTGACTAAATTTGATAGTCGAAAAAAGGCGCGCTGCCCAGGCGAGAAACCAACATGCTCGCTCTGCCATCGGCTAGGGCAGCTTTGTTCATACGAACCGCAGACACCCAGTCATGCGAGGAGCAGGAGTAAACCGGCTCCGGCTTCGGCTCCGGCGCAGGGCCAGGATCAGCAGAATGGGCCTAATGAGGTATGTTCTTACCGATTACTGCCTGCTCGGATCTTTCGGATACCTTGTGGAGACGATGCTAAGTTTAGCAGATCCAGAAATATTCTCCAAGCGCTGATAGGCTCCAGCGTATCGAAGAGAGATTAGAAACGATGGCGCGTTTGCTTCAGTAAGTTAGCTCCTCTCAAATTTGCGACTGATTCTGACCGACGCATTGTTGCTTTGGTTCAGAGAGGGTCTACCCAGAGCAACTTCCTTGCATGGAACAATAGAGGACAATCAACATGTGGACCATGACTATGAACTACGGGACGCTCATGATGACCCCCAAGAACTCAACCGCCCAAATGACTCCTTGAGCCCGGGTCAAGAGTATGTTCTCAATCCCGTATCACTAACAATTCAAACGTTCTGATGAAGTCAATATAGAACGTGGTTCCCTGCTGGGTTCATAGAGCGGGAGGTAGACATTTATCTAACGCACTTCCATGACCAGCCATATTGTGTGTTTTCGAAAGGATGGCTATTGGAAAATGCAAACTCGTTACCGCCAGAGATCTCGCTTCCATTGGTGGCTCTTACATATCATCTTCCTCGACGTTCAAGGAAGACTCTACTCGGGGGTCCACTGGACGCAAAGTCCTTTTCAGAGAAAGCCTGGAATATTGTATCAAACCAATATAAAGACGGCAAGATGAGTCTTTCGGCCCTCCAGGGCACTTTTCTCATGGCCCAAGCAGACTTTGCCGATGGACGGGCGCACAGAGGGTATGCTTCTGTTGCCTTTGGTCTGCGAACTATTCAGTCAGTGGGCCTGAACAAAGACCGATATTCACATTCCTCAAATTCGCAAGAGAACGAACTGAGAAAGCGCACTACGTGGGCCTTTTTCATGCTCGATCGCACATACAGTGCCTCACGAAACTATTCACTCTCGCTAACGGATAAGCACTTTACTCTTCCATTCCCCTCTCGGGAAACAGTCGCCGCATTCAATGAGTCAATTCCAGTTGTTCATGGTACATTGCATGATGGGCCCGGGAAACAAGGACAGAAGGTCGACCATGGCATCCTAGCTTGTCTTCTTCGATTATACGCACTCTGGGGAAAGGCCACAGAATACGTCTTCGAACCATTCGCGGAGAACACGCTGCCACCGTGGCAAACAGGGTCCGCTCTCGCGATCCTCGAGTCGGAATGGCTACAATTCGAAACACATTTTGCAGATGCCCATCGATACATCAATGTCGACTTCAAGAGACGCACGCGAGAAGTTCCGCAGTCACACACATATCTTTCCACTTGGGTGTGTGTCCAGTTTCTGTTCCATTCGATTCAATGTCTGCTCCACCACCCGTTCGTTATCATGACGAAACTCCGCGATTTCAATGGCAATATATCCACAACATTTTTACAAAAGTCATTTGAGACTTCGCTTCTCCACTCCAGATGGATAGTGCGGTTTATAAGGGAGATGGGTGAGGTCAATTTCGAAACTTGTGATCCGTTCCTGGGATATCTGGCTGCAATCGCTGCTACGATTCAACTTGAGCATACTGGTAGTAAGAATCCGCAAATTGCTTTGCTGCTCAATAAGGAGTTTCGGGTTCTTGTCGATTTTATGACAGAACTGTCGGTGTATTGGGAAAATATGAGTGTCCTGGTAAGTAATGGAAGGCTTTTATAACACTTGATCTAAGTGCTGATTGGAATTGTCTAGGTTCACAAAGTAAATGAGCTAGCTGCTCGTCATCAAAATTATGGATCTCTTTATTACAATCAAGAAGGATTCTCAGGGGCATTATCCAAAATGCCTACCCCTTCAAATATGCCGAGAATGTCTGCGGACGACGAGGCTCTGATGTGGGAAATTCTCGATTTTGGTGCTTCATCTGGGGGAGCTGTGGAGGCTCAATTTGGTGATCTAGCTATTCCTCGGGGTCGCAGCATTGAATTAGAGGCAGGGCAGAGGGTTGAAAACAACACTAGTCCTGCGAGAATATCCCAGCGAAATGGGAATGGCCAGAGCGATTTAATGGCCAGTAATCTGCCAGGTCAAGGTATCTCGCTTCCTGATCAACTATCGGGGTCCATTAACGAAGGTCCCTTACCAGAATGGCCTTTTTCGGGGAGTGGCAATGATGTTGTGGGGGTAGGGATCCCGGACATTCCAGAGTGGATGATCTTGGGTGATTACATGGCAGAGCATCTGTAAATCTTTTGAGAATGAAAAATTGTGAATGATCACAAAGCGTGGGCGCACTCTTTATTGGGACTGGTTGTCAGCGAATACTGGACTGGATATCAAGTAGAATTATGTTATTCCTTAGCACCGTTAAACCTCGCCTTGTAATAACCATCGCTGTTATTGAGGACATATATCTCTACTTGCATCTCTTTCATTTAGCCGGTCCACTCTATGTACTCCTTTTTTGTTGTACGCGATACCTTGGTACGAAGGGTTGAGGTGGCCATGTATGCCTCGCTGCAGGCCCGCGTTGATCGGATACCGCGGAGGTGTAAAAGTTCTCTATTACAGTAGTAGCCTCCTTCTAATCGTTACGCAGGGTCCCTCTCATGCGATAGTACGTACATTGTCAAATCTTCCTCTCCTAACTGTGCCAGTCTCCAATATTAAGATTTTTCGACGCTCTTCTTGCGATTGCAAATCTTTCAAGTCAGATATTAACTTCTGTTCAGTACATAACTACTTCTGGGAAATTTCTTGTTGTTCCGCTCGGCTAGCCCGCAAAATCATAGCTTTTTCTCATCCTGGTGATAGATAAACCGTTAGTGTAATCCGTGGAATAGGATCTCTTCCTTACTTACCTCCCATTGTGGACACGTATGGTCCTCTGGCTCAAGGTGTCTGGCGCAAAGACAACGATTGCAAAGTATGCATTCTCCATTTACGCGAACAGATGTCTTGTTGCAATTCTTGATTCACAGTGCCGCATACCCATAGTGATCTGAGTTGCTCAGCGGCTTTGAAGAACAATTATGGACATCAAGCGGTCATTAAGTCCTAAGTATCTTATCATGTGATTCGATTATTATTGGTCCGGTGTACACCTGGGCATCTAGCACTGCTCAATTGATAGTCATTCATCGTGAAAGATTCCTGGCAAGCTAACCAAAGGATATGAACACAAAATATAAGAAAGCTTCTATGTTTGCGATATACGAATGCATTTCCTTAAATCTTGCTCTGTCGAGACCCAGAAGCCTTCAAAGCCGTGTCAAACATGTCCAGTTCTTGAGCTGTCAATTCTCTTCGCTCTGGTCCTCCACGGCTTCCATCTCCCGTGAATACCTCACCCTGGAAGCGCTCACGGAACTGGGTAGGGAACTTCCACTTCTCAAGCAACTTATCTGAGAGCTTTCGTTGCCAGCTTCCCACAATGTATTTTCCGATCACTGGTAGGAACTTGAAAGCACTAAATAAGAAGATGATGGTTAGCCTTACCCCACTTTGCAGGATTAGTGTATTCACTCACTGTCCGCTACCACCAGTAGCAATGAACAAGTTCTTGTGCTCTGGGTGGTAATCAAAGATGAAGTCGCCTGTTGGGGTATCATTATACCAGCAGATTCCAACCTTTTCAAAGCCTCGCGGTGCAAGCTGGGGGAAGAGATCCATCAGGCCAGCTGTGAGACGCTTGAGTCCATCGGCAGGAATATAGTTGGCTCGCGAAGCGACTGCTACGCTAGGCGGTGCAGACACTACTGAGGGCTCAGAGCGAGTATAGCCAAAACCGTGACAAGCGACCTTAAGGTAGCCAGTGGGCTCGTGTGGAGGGAAAGCAAAGAAGCCAGTAGAGAAGTTGAAGTAAATGGGAAGGTCTCTCAGTTCAGCGACTTCCTCGGGTGTCAGGCGCAGGTAGCCAACAACCTGGCCAGCAGCAAGCATCGAGTTCCAAGCAGGAACAAGACTTGAAGTCCAGGCGCCAGTGGCAACAATGAAATGATCACCTTCAACACGTCCATTCTTGGTACGAACTGATTTGATGGTTCCATCCGGATTCTTCTCAAATTCCTCGACCTGACCATTAGGCCCAGTAATGAAGTTAACACCGGATGAAGCACAGCGAGACATGAGACGAGCGCAGGCAAGGCCAGCATCTGCCCACCCAGCGGAAGTATTATAGAAACCATCAAAGCCAGGTGTAGCAAGCCGTCCGGTCAGTTTGGGGAAGTGCTGCTTGGCCTCTTCCACGCTTCCGACAGGGACCCATTCCTGGCCCATTTCAGTCAAGACACGCTTTGTCTTGCGGCTGTATTCCTGGGCACGAGATTGCACTGGTTGCTCCGGGGTTCCATCTTGACACACCCATAAGCAGGGTGTTTGGTGGAATGCTTCCTTATAATCGGGGGTCTTCCAAAGGTCGAAGGCTTCCTTGGCGATTTCGGCGTAGATGGGATCTCCGTAGTCGAAGCGAATGACACGGGAGATATCGTTGCTTGATCCATCTGGGACTGGGGGTACCGATCGGTCCAGGATTGTGACTGACTTGTAGCCTTCTTCCTTTAGTCTCAGCGCAGTGCCGAGACCAAAGGCGCCGGCTCCGATAATGATGACATGTTGATCTTTTTCCATTGTCTTATTTAAAGTGTGTGATGATGCTGTTCTATGTAGCTAAAACGAAAACTACAGGCTTGTTATATACTTGTGAGGCGGAAGCCGCGATCCGGTTTTCACGGACCGTGAGGACATACTGTGTCGTGGAACCTCTACTGTTGGAGTAAATAGGCAATGAGTACCAGGCCAATCCCATACAGGCTACATTCTTATTGTGGGTGGCTAAACTATTGTGGGCCGTGATGAAGGGAAAGACGGGCCGTGGACAGTCTCAAAACACGGTCCGTACACGGTCCGTCTCATCTCTATCACTTTCCAACAAAGAGCATTAGGATACAATAGATGCGAATTATTGTATGTAGACTCAGAAAATGTTTTGTATTTAAATGGGACTTGGTAGGCGTACATTGGACCAATTTCACAGCCAGGGTGCATCCTTTCACGCCACCACTTTCATACAATCTACATGATCAACCCACCATTTTAATGGTCTACAATCCTGGAAACTCGAAAACAGGCAAAAACAAAGGTAGAAAAAGGGAGACCAATGTAGGTTGAAAACAACTATGAAACCGGTGTACTCGCTTCGAGGCTTTCGTGTAGAGACTGTCCAATGCTTCACCCGTGGTAATGTATACAGATTTATGACCCCATGTTGTGGTGCAGCTCAACATTCCGACTGCTAACAGGCTTAGAATGTAAAGCCTCTAACATTTGTCTCGTTCTCCAAGTTCCAAGCTCTTTTGATCAAATAATCAATTTTGTTCGAATCTTTGATTCCCCCATATCTAGCAAGAGCATGAGCTTTTGCCTCAATTTCAGGCCTAGCAACAAGACATTAGAAAAAAGGATATAAGCTTTAGGAGTATAGCAATAGGCATACCTTGTCAAGGGAAGTTCCGGGTCTCCCTTTGCAAATTTCGTTGATTCTGTGAAAGTCTTCCCAGACTTGCACTCAACGATTACAGCCCCCTGCCATCTCTCCGGGAACTCAGCATCAATATCCGCGTCATATTTCATCGTTACACGGTTTTGGAATTCTCGCAGAGACGTGTCTTTCAAATCATCCTCGGTGAAGTCGGTGATCATAGCCTGACCCTTCTTCGCCGCAATAGCAAGTACAAAGCCCATGGAGAATTTGCTCTGATGGACCGTCTCGCCATTACCGCTGAGGCTTAGTACATTGATAGCCGCCTGATATGTAGGAACGAGCACGGATTCAATATCATCAAAGGCAACCTGATTCTTCTCCATCAAATTCAACAGTGCATCCACACTGGGGTGGGTATGTCGACAAGATGCGTGCCATTTAAAGCTTGACCGAAGAACAGCAAACTCTTTACCCAGATTCTGATCGATAGCTTCTGGGTTTGTCTCGCCGGGGACTAACGCAATCCCCATAGCACGGGGTCCTTCGAGGATATCTCGCGGTCCTAGAAGGCCGTCACGAGAGGAATATGCCGCAAATATACCATCAAAACAGGCCTTCGCAGTGTGTACTTGTTTTGAATGCGTAGCATCTAACAAGAACTGCCACAATCCTGCTGCTTGTGTTCCAGCTGTTCCAACAGCAGATAGTGTCTGGCTCACATCGAGCTTTAGAAGATGAGCTACAGCTGCTGCAACTCCGATAACTCCACCAGTAGCTGTGCTATGAAATCTCTATATCAAATTTTGTCAGCTTGAAGATAGTCGTGGGCCAGCATTCCTAATATGTATCTGGGGTAACGAACTTCATAATGGCTTTTTCCTAGATACTCTCCGACACGGCAACCGACTTCATACCCAACTACGCAGGCGACAATAAAGTCTTTTCCACTAGCTCCAATATCTTGTGATACAGCCAGGGCAGCGGGGAATATCACAGTCGCCTAATGCCAAATCAACACCATGTTTATAAATAGTGAGCAAACACGAGACTCACCGGGTGCATAATACTTCGATTGTGGAGGTCATCCTGCTCCACCACATGCGACGCAGCAGCGTTAATCAGACTAGCAAATGCTGGGCTGGTAGTGACATTTTGGGAGCCATCAATCAGCTCGCTCTTTCCACTAGAAGGACCCATTTGCGCCGCAAATCGCACCAGTGCAGTAACTGCAGGATGGCTTCGACCGGCTATAGCACAGCCCAGTGTATCCAAGAAGAAATCCTTAGTGCGTTGGACCACTTCATCGGGGATGTCTGCATACTTCAGATCGACGGCCCATTTGACCAAACGGTCGGTTCGGGTTTCTTGGTTGGATGTAGGCATTGCAGATATGAGTAAAGAATATCAAATGATCTAGTTTGATGTGATTATTTGGTACAACTTCAAGTCTCCGTTCAAATATATGCGGGGAAATAGCGGGCAATTCGGTCTTTAGTCGCCTTTTCCGAGGGAGGAAACATCCGAGCCATATAACCGAGTTCTAGTTAAGTTTGCGAGTATAATGGCGATTCACTTTGCTTCAGATCACTGTGATCCGACTGCACTTATGCCAAGGATATTTATCAATCTTGCTTCCCTTCAGACTAATGAGCAGTATATAGTTCATAGAGCAGCATGTGATTGTCAGCCTTGCCGCTTTATAACCTGAATAATTAGGCAGCAATATTGGCTCGGCGCGGGCACACTTTTTTCCTCATAAATTCTTGACCAGAATAAGGGAAAGCAAGGGATAAATGTTTTTCTTTGATATCACCAATCCCTATACCACTTCTAGAGCACTTTACTCTTACAATTTACTTCGTACTGCTACAACTGTGGCGTTCATAAAAAAGCGATGATTTCATGCAAGCGGCCATATTAATGCCGAAGGCGGAAGGGGAATTGATCTGCAACGGATCAGCCGGAACAGCGCCCCTGGGCCATCTGCGGTCCCATACTTTCCCAGCCTTTTTCCTCTCCTTGCTTTGCCCGTATATATACCCAACTTTCTATCTCTTCATCCCAGATAACGAACATTCTTGGAGTGCGTCGTCTTCATGGGGTTCACGTCCCGATTTCTCCGCATTCCGCGGCCAGAGGTAAGCCTCTACGATCTGTGCGCCCCGAACCAGCTAACCTGTCCCGTGACCTCAGACCTTTCTCTATGTGATGAGCTTAGAGACTGGTGCTTCTCTGATCACCCTATCTCTGCTATTGAATAAGATTAGTGGCCTCTATGGCCTACTGGCCCTTTTGACTGGGTACCACCTGTCGCCCGTCCAACTGTCGATGTACCTGTACTCCCTTGTCGCCCTCGGACTCGCCGCACTCCTATTCCCTCACATTCGGAAACAATCACCTCTACAATGTCTCTCCCTCGCCTATCTTTACGTCTTCGACAGTATGATTAATGCCGCCTATACCGCCGCCTTTGGTGTGACTTGGTTCCTGGTGGTGTCGCAGCATTACGACAGTGGCAAGGGAGCCGGCCCAGGCGGCGACACCATCGCTCAGACCGCTGGCTTCACCAGCCCGAAGTACGATGCCGCCTACGTCGAAATCCAAAACACCAAAAACGGTAACAACTTCGTCGCCCACCCACCTCGCAGCGCCGAAAACCTGAGCAATGTCGTTCTCCAGCCCGAGAGCCTCCAGAGCATCATTTTCATCTCCCTGCTATGGGCCGTGCGTGTATACTTCGTCCTGGTTATGCTCGCGTTCGCGCGCCAAACTCTTCGCCTTTGGGTTGCTATTCCCCGTCACACCCAGCTCCCGACCCACAGCCGCAATGTGTCAGTCGCCAGCGTAGCTGATATCGACCGCGAACCCTTCTCTGTCTATAGCCCCGACGGCCAGGGTTGGAAAGGAAAGTTGGGCCGCATTATGATTGGTATTGGTCACAACTACTGGCTTGGCGAAGAGGAGGACGGAAACTGGCTCAGTGGAATTAACCACAAATTCCGCAACCGTTCGAGCCCTACCGAGCTGCCTGGTGCTCTGGAGAGAGAGAGAAGACGTCGTTCCGGCACTGGCCCCCCACAACCATCGCGGTCTGTCGTTCAGTCTGCTACCATCCAACAGCCAATTCCCGAGCATGTGCCAGGAATGAATGTCAAAATGCAAGATTGGAATGCGCCTCGATAAATGATTCTTTCGGACATGCCAGCGTCTTTCAACGATTAAGGCCATCTTCTTGTACATCGCCCCTTTTGAACTCGCTTTTCGGTGTCTTCAACTGCCCCCAATCTTTCATCTGGCTGTCTTCGGCCAGGGACACAATCCACCCCGGCTCTTGTGTCCGTCCCATCGTTTTGCTAGACGGCTGAATTCGACTGCCGATAGCTCTGCTTACTCGAGACTCCGCTATCATGACAAAGCCCGAGTCCTCTTGCTCAATAATAACGACAACCTCTGCATATATCAGTTTGGAACGGGTCCAGGAATCTGTGGTGTTGATTGATTACCCTGCCATCATTCGATATCTGGGAAAGGCGTTTTAAATTTGTCATCTTGGGCTCATCACCTCGCCCAGGCGGGAGTTGGGGCGCTTTATTGGAGTCTTGACTGCCACGCTCGTGTGCATCTAACATAAAACCTATGTATTTGGCGTCGGGATATGTGTACATTGCTTATTGGATATGGGTTTGGTACAGTTGGGAGATGACTACTCTCTTACGGCTGCATATTTGACAAGGATTTTATGTCTTATTGTACACACTACCTTTTGGATAAACACCACATGCATATTATCTGTTTCTAGTTCAAACAGTCTGGTGGAGTGATAACAGTAGACATCAAATGAAGAGTAATCCTCTTGGTGGCATGGCCTGAGTTCTTTATAGTAAACAACTCGAAAAAATAAAGCTTTAGTTGCACACCACTCGGCCGAATCATAGTGATAAGTGTGGATATAAGTTAAATATTGCAGTCATACTCAAGCGAAATCGGGGAAGTGTCCCCCTCATTTCCTTTCGGCATCTGACCGGTAATTTAGTTTGGAGATTCCCTCCAAGCCTTAAGAAGCGTAAGAACGGTATTGACCGGAATGCCGGCGTATCTCCGAATTGAAAAGGTTTGGCATCGGTAATTGCCGTGGTGCTATTGGTGCCGCGCTAGCAGAAGATGAAGGAAAAAAAATATATCTGCGCGATAGTGCATATGGTGCAATCTCTACCAAACACCACCAGGTCGTCATTTTAGTTTGACATCGTTAGATGAAGCAAATCCTTTAGGACCTCAAGATTCGAGTGTATCTGAACCATTGAAGTATAGATATCGAACTGTAGCTGGGTGGGCAAACACCGCAAACACAAACCCCGACGCTGACGTGCTCGACCGAGTCACGGGATCCCCCGCACGTGGGCCCAATCGGGCTTGTTTGCATATTTGCTGCTGCGTGTTTGCACTGATGTCGTGATCGAACACCAATCAGCGGACTGCTGATCTAACCCCGACGACGGAGAAATCAATGATCGTGGGAAAGAAAACCCGTGGAACATCTTTTTTCTTCCTGAAGAGAGATCACAGGTATCAAGAGACACATTAATTGTCTCCGTTCATACATTTGGCGGATCTGTGCTGCGAGTGGGAGATCGCTGCAACTGATAAGCCATATCGCCGATTTTAATATCCCACCTGCGCTGTGACTCGAACAGCTAGCAATTATAATGGCATCTGTCTCAAGTGCCGCCGAGGCCGGTAAGTGATGCTGTGTTCTTGGGATGTTTGCAAATAAGGCGCAATTGCTAATATTGCAATTGGTTTATAGTGGCGAGAATCGCCTACCTCACTAGTGATGTCGTTCTTTCTGTGCAGCCCTCTCTGCAGAACGACTCATTGTTCTCCAAGTCTCTCAAGGCCTTGAAGGCTAACAAGACGAGCAATGTCTCATCAAAAAGCACACATGTGAGTCAATATGGTATGACCTGCGAGGTCGGAACCGAATTAACAATATGGCCAGGTCCAAGCTGTGCGCTACAACGAGGACCCTCTCCTGTCCGCTTTCACCCCTCTGCGAAACGGTGATCTTACCTCAGTGGTCACTAGCTCCTCTGTCCTGATCACCGCCGTTCCTCACCTCTACCGTCTTGCCAACAACCCTGTCGTCATCCACGTTGCCCTGGAGCCCTCTCCCTTCCCCGATTACTCAGTGATCAGCTCCATCCGGCAATCCGGCTTCACATTCCTGCACTCTGAGACTGTGCAGGAGGCTCAGGATATCGCTATCACAGCCCACGCCCTTGCTCAGAAGTCTGGAAAGGGTGTGATCCACTTCTTCGACCCCGCCAACTCGGCCAAGGACCCCTCCATTGCCACCGAGGATATCGAGGTCATCAAGAAAGTTCTCAACATCAGCACCAATGTTGCGACTCCCGCTGGAGCTGATACCCTCTACGCCGACTCCGGCCGTGTGGCCACTGTCAATGCCGAAACCCTGGAGGCCCCCACTGGCCAAGAGTCCACAACCTTGGCCCCTCCCTCTCAACCTCAGACTCCTTTCAACGCTAGCGTTGACAACTCATCAGTGGGTTCTTCGCGGAGGGACAGCAGTGCTGGCAGCGAAGCCCCAAGCTCGACTGCCACTACCGTGGACAATGCCAGCAGCACCCGACCTGTCAACGCCGCCGACATCTTCGACTGGACGGCTCAGATCTGGAACACTTTGTTCGAGGAGGTGGGCCGCAGATACAACGCCATTGAGTACACTGGAACCGCCAATGCCAAGTCTGCCATCTTTGTCTTCGGTTCAACTGGTGTCTTCGTTGATGCCCTGGCCAACGCTAGCGCTCAACCTGAGCTTGAGAACATTGGTTTGATCACTGCTCGTCTCTACCGCCCTTGGGTTGGCGGCCAGATCTCCGGCTCGATCCCAAGCTCCGTTGAGAGGATCGCTGTTCTCGAGCAGGTTCGCAAGACTACCAAGTGGGGTCCTTCTTTCATGGATCTCCTCTCCAGTCTTACCCCCGCCGGTGTGCGCGGCCAGACCCCCCAGATCGTTGGATACCGTCTTGGCTATATTGAGCCCTCTACCGCTGTCCAGGCCCTCCGCGGTGTCTTGCAGAACTTGACCTCTGAATCTCCTATCCAAAACCTCGAAATTGGAAGCTCTCAGGTCCCCACTATCCAGAATGCCCTCGAGCAGCCTCGCATTGAGAACGCTTACTTGAAAATTCTCAACCAGCTCTTCGGTGAGCGTCTTCACATTGCCAACGAGCTTGGCTCACAGAACGCTGGTGTCTCGAGCACCATTGCTGCAAGCCCCGAGTACGGTTTCGGATCTCTGCTGGCTCGCCAGGAGCACCGCCAGCGCTTCATCCGCGAAGTTGAGGAGGCTTCCAAGTCCACCACCTTTGCCACCGACGTTCCCAAGACTTGGTTGTCTCGCTGGGCTCTGAATGTCAAGGATGCCGCTAAGGCCAACAAGATCGCCCCCGAGGTCATTGCCCGTCTTTCTAACGATGGCTCTTCTCTTTCCCGCCAGCTTTTGCAGTCCAAGAAGCTCTTCTACGACGAGTCTGATTGGCTCATTGGTTCCGATGCCTGGGCTTATGATTTCGGCAACTCCGGTGTTCACCACGTTCTAGCCTCTGGTGCCAACGTGAACATGCTGATAATCGACTCTCAGCCCTACTCCGAGCGCTCTGCCGCTGACTCCACTCGCCGCAAGAAGGACATTGGTCTTTACGCCATGAACAGGGGCAACGCCTACGTCGCGTCCGTTGCTGTCTACAGCTCCTACACCCAGGTCCTCCAGGCCATGTCCGAGGCCCAGCAGTTCAAGGGTCCCTCCGTCGTTGTTGCCTACCTTCCTTACAACCAAGAGAATGACTCCGCTCTCACTGTGCTGCAGGAGACCAAGAAGGCTATTGATCTGGGCTACTGGCCTCTGTACCGCTGGAACCCCGACAACGAGGACAAGGGCGAGCCTAAGTTCGCTCTCGACTCTGAGCGTATCAGGCGTGAGCTTGAGGAGTTCCTGCGCCGTGATAACCAGCTCACTCAGCTGATGAACCGCCACCCTAAGTACGCACCTGTGCTTTCTGAGTCCTACGGTACTGAGGTACGAGCTCTCCAGAAGAGAAACGCCAAGGATTCCTACGAGAAGCTCTTGGACGGCCTCTTCGGTGCTCCTCTGACTATTCTCTTCGCCTCCGACAACGGTAACGCTGAGAGCCTTGCTAAGCGTCTTGGAAACCGTGGACGCGCTAGAGGTCTGAAGACCATGGTCATGGCCATGGATGACTTCCCCATCGAAGACCTCCCCACCGAGGAGAACGTTGTGTTCATCAGCAGTACTGCTGGCCAGGGTGAATTCCCTGTCAATGGACGTGGTCTCTGGGAGCACGTCAAGAACGCTGGTGACCTCGACTTGTCTTCCATCAACTACTCCGTTTTCGGTCTTGGTGACAGCCACTATTGGCCCCGCAAGGAGGACAAGGCTTACTATAATAAGCCCGGAAAGGACCTTGATGCTCGCGTTGCGTTCCTGGGTGGTCGCAAGCTGACCGACATCGGTCTTGGTGACGACCAGGACCCTGATGCCTACCAGACTGGTTATTCCGAGTGGGAGCCTCGTCTCTGGAAGGCCCTGGGTGTCGACAACGTTGAGGGTCTACCCGAGGAGCCTGCTCCTATCACCAATGAGGACATCAAGATCGGTTCCAACTTCCTTCGTGGTACCATCGCTGAGGCTCTTCTGGATGAGAGCACTGGTTCTATCCCCGCCAGTGATCAGCAGCTGACCAAGTTCCACGGTACCTACATGCAGGATGACCGTGACCTTCGCGATGAGCGCAAGGCCCAGGGTCTTGAGCCTGCCTACAGCTTCATGATTCGCTGCCGTCTCGCCGGTGGTGTTGCCACTCCCAAGCAGTGGCTGCAGATGGATGCTATTGCCAGCTCGCACGGTAACGAGACCATGAAGCTCACCACCCGACAGACCTTCCAGTTCCACGGTGTGATCAAGCGCAACCTTAAGGGTGCCATGCGTGCCATCAACAACTCCATGATGGACACTCTCGCTGCCTGCGGTGACGTGAACCGTAACGTCATGTGCAGTTCTCTTCCCGAGCTCTCTTCCTTCCACCGCGAGACCTGGGAGTGGTCCAAGAAGATCAGTAACCACCTCCTTCCCTCTACCACCGCCTATCACGAGATCTGGCTGGAGGATGAGGATAAGAAGAAGGTTCAGGTTGCCGGCGATGCCATCGTTGACCACGAGCCCCTCTACGGTGCTACCTACCTTCCCCGCAAGTTCAAGATCACCATTGCCATTCCTCCTCACAACGACACTGATGTCTACGCTCACGACATTGGTCTCATTGCCATCAAGGGCGCTGACGGCCATCTGGAGGGCTTCAACGTGCTGGCTGGTGGTGGTATGGGATCCACCCACAACAACACCAAGACCTACCCCCAGACTGGTCGCATGTTCGGATACATCCCCGCCGACAAGATCCACATCGTTTGCGAGAAGATCATGCTCGTGCAGCGTGACAACGGTGACCGCAAGAACCGCAAGCACGCCCGTATGAAGTACACCATCGACGATCTCACCGTCCCTGTCTTCCGCAGCATGGTCGAGGAGCTTCTCCCCGAGGGCCTCAAGTTCGGCGAGCCCCGTGCCTTCGAGTTCAAGTCCAATGTCGACACCTTCGGCTGGATCAAGGACGACACAGGCCTCAATCACTTCACCATGTTCATTGAGAACGGTCGTATTGAGGATACTTCCGACTTCAAGATGCGCACTGGTCTGCGCGAGCTTGCCGGTCTTGGCAAGGGAGAGTTCCGTCTCACTGGTAACCAGCACTTGATGATCTCTCGTGTTACCGACGAAGATCTCCCTCTCATTAAGGAAACCTTGGCTAAGTACAAGCTTGACAACACCGCTTTCTCTGGTCTGCGTCTGTCTTCCTCTGCTTGTGTTGCCTTCCCTACTTGCGGTCTTGCCATGGCTGAGTCCGAGCGTTATCTCCCCGTCCTGATCTCCAAGCTCGAGTCTACCCTCGAGGAGGTTGGTCTTGCCCGTGACAGCATTGTGATGCGTATGACTGGTTGCCCCAACGGTTGTGCTCGTCCCTGGCTCGCCGAAGTGGCCTTCGTCGGAAAGGCCTACGGTGCTTACAACATGTACCTGGGCGGTGGCTACCACGGCCAGCGTCTGAACAAGCGCTTCCGCTCGTCCATCAAGGAGGACGAGATCCTCGAGATCATGAGAGACCTTCTCAAGCGCTACTCTCTCGAGCGTAACACCGACGGCGAGACTCCTGAGCGCTTCGGTGACTGGTGTATCCGCGCTGGTGTCATCAAGGCCACCACTGACGGACAGAACTTCCACGCTGGCATCGCCGAAGACGAGGAAGAAGAAGAGAAGTAATCGCTATATAAAGCATTCTCACTATATCCGACTTGTTATGACCACGGGGGAACCAATCCCTGCTTTTCTTTTTGATTTGTTTGATATCTCACGTCGCAATGCATTAATGTCTTGGCGATTATGATTTCGCTTTGAAAAAAAATTGTTCCTAGATTTGTTTTTTATATGGCCCTATTCCTCATTTCTTCCTGTATGTCTATCTCATGATAACCCAAGCCTTCTGCTTGTGCATACATACTGAAACATTACTCTCAATTGATGTCCTTTTCCGTTGTGAATCTTCTACCTTGACATCAAATATTCTAGCCGCTTACTTATTTAACCTTTGCCCCAGGCCTGCCATGGTGTAACCAGGCACGGGACTCTGGTGGCTACCCAATCGGGCAATATCGCACCCCATCAAGGTTAAATACCTCGTGGCGATAACAAGTCTCAACCACGGATTTGGAAAAAGAAGCGCGGGCAAAGCTGATGCATTATTGACATCACGGCCACAGCAGGCAACCTCTTCATCTTGATCCGTCTCAGCCCTATGCTCGACTGTGAAGTATTCGAAAAGACCACGAAAACAAACATATCCCAAATCGTTGCAATGGCCTCAATGCTAAAGGCGCCATTCGCTCCCCTCCTCTACCTAAGCCGCCGATTCCGTCAAGACCAAGACTGGACCTACCGACAAGCCCTATCAAACACACTCATAAAAGTCTTCCTCCAAGTCTTCGTAGCCTTCCGCACAAAACCACCCCTGTCCCTAAAGCCAGGCCTAGAAGGCGACCGCTTCGTCCAAATCGTACCAGGCCCCGAAGATCTATACTCAGGAATAACCGTCGACGACGAAATCCACCCAGAAACCATAGGCGGAACCTGGTTCCCAACAGCCTACTCCTACACCACAACAACCTCCACAGACAAACACATCATCCTCCACTTCCACGGTGGCTCCTACATCATCGGCGACGGCCGCACAGTATCCTGCAAATTCCTCGTAGACAACCTCCTCGCCCACTCTCCCTCCAGCCACGTCTTCAGCCTCCAATACCGCTTAGCCTGCAACCCAAACAGCCGCTTTCCCGCCCAACTCCAAGACGCCATAACCGCCTACTGCTACCTAACCCACAGCCTGCACATCCCCGCCTCGCGCATCGTCCTCAGCGGCGATTCCGCAGGCGGTCACCTCGTCCTAGCCCTCCTCCGCTACATTGCAGACTATGACGACGAGAAGATCCTTCCACCACCATCATGCAGCTGGCTCTTCTCGCCGTGGTGCGATATCCCCGGCTCAAGGAATACAGCATTATGGAAGAACCTGCCGAACGCAGCGGTGGATTATGTCCCGCCCTCTTTCCCGGCGTGGGGGGCGAAGCACTTAATCGGCAATCTGGAGCTGAATAGGGCTGTTGAGCCTTACCTAGCGCCGATTTGGCATCCGTTTGCGCTGCCTTCGCCTATGCTGGTTGTTAGTGGTGGCCGGGAGGTTATGTGTCAGGAGCATGAGCAGTTGGCGAGGCATTTGCGGAAACTGCCGCAGAATGAGGGCCGCGTGGAGTATTTCGTGCAGGATATTTCGCCCCATGATGTTTTGATGGTGGCTTGGATTATGAATTTTAGGAAGGAGGCTGCGCAGTGTGCTGAGTCTGCTGGTTGCTTTTTGACAAAGTTACAGGCTATGTCGGATGAGAGTGAGGTTCCGGTTTTGGCTTTTGAGGCTTGATGTTGGGGGATTTGGGTTGCTATATTTTCGGATTTAGTGTTTGCTATTTGGGTTTCGGTAGGGTTATGCAGCGGTTTGAGATGTTGGTATGGGTTTATCAGATTGAGCTTTGGGAATGGTTGCTTGTAGTCTTTCTCTTGGTACTCGAGGTGATGTAGATTCCTTGCGGGTGATCTCAATTGTCATTCAACTCGACCCTTGGCGTACAATACCAGTAGGCACGCCAAACAAAAGGATACTTACATTCATCGAAAGGGATCTTTACACTGCTTACATAGGGGTCGACAAGGCCGACATGGAGAGATTTAGCCGAACTACTCTTGTATTGACGTGCAGATCCCTGGCAGAGGACCTGAGAGAAGTCTAGCTATTTTGAAAAAAAAAAACCCCTGCTCAAACCCAACCATCATCGCCAACAATTGAAACCGCACCAATCGTCCACCCCAACACCAAGACCTGCCTCCATGAGAATATCTCCCCGCTTGGAGATTTTCCTTGACGGCATCCATCGTATTGCCCGCGTTTCCTGATTCACGCAATGCTGCAAGCAAAGCACCGTGTACCGTGCATCATCAAAATGACGGGATGATTCTGTGGGGAGTAGGGACCGACTTGGTCCCGGTGGCACGACTTCGCCTACCCACCTCATGTGAGTAGACCCTGGCGGCCGAAAATTGCGACTCTGTTGTCGACTGTTGCATTGATTGGGCGCCTTAGCTAAGGCCCCGATGGTTCCGAATTCGATATATTTGAGCTCATAATCATGTCTCCTGGGCAAACAGTGGCTTTCCTTGGCGCTGGCGCGGACTCCTTATCGGCTCTGGCCTGTAGCATGTCTTTCCTGCCAGGTCTAGAGCATGGGCCTCTGGCTCTATCGATTCAATGTTAGTAACTCAAACCGTTACAAAGGTTCTGTGGGCGCAATCGATTCAAATGCCCTCAAGCCATGGTAGATGGGTGGTGTGGCAATGGACGACTGGATTGATCACAATGTGGTGGGAGATGGAAGGTCTTAAGCAGGGGTGCGTCTCTCACGCCAGGAAAGCATCGAGGTGGGATTGGCAAGCTCAATGGTGACGGAGAAGATCCTGACGTCTAAGAGAGCGTGATTTGTGAGAGGGAGGACAGCGTTGTAGCTCTCTTGTCACGGCTCCGGGTCCTCCAAATGAAGAAAAGCGGACTGGGGAAAAAGGAGTAAATAAAGGTTTGTGGGGCGGTGAAATCGATAGCTTCTCTTTCTGCCACCTCCCCGCCGACGAAATTCGATAAGCAAAAAAAAGTTCCACGAACACTCTCGATTCCTGCACTTTTACTTTTAGTCTATTCCCTCGCCTCTATTTATTCTCATATCAACATGGGTTCCTCCGATGATGATCCCGTCGTTGCCTCCTACGATGTCTTCCTCACCGACTCCGAGATCTCTCGCTTTGTCTTCCAATACCTCGACCGAGATGAGGAGTTTCCCTACAACGATAGAAATAACCAACGCCCTACTCAGCTCCGAATGAAGGCGCGCACAGGCATTGTTGAGGTCGACGTGCCTATCAACACCCGCGGAAACTACGATGTCAACAAGGGACTGCGCTATGGGGAAGCCATGAAAAAGAGCCGCTCATCTCGTGACGGAGGCGCTTATGGAATGTCTGGTGGCTTTACTGCTGGAGGTGCCGCTGCCAATTCGGGAGGCAGAGTCAAGATGGAGGGTAACGGGGACGTGGAGATCCTAGATAATAAGCGGGCAGTTGATTCGGCCTCATTGATGCGAACACAATCACTTGGAGGCCGGGTGAAGCCCGCCGAAGAAGGTGATCCAGTTTACATGCTGGCTACATTCAAAAATAGTACGTTGGATGCCGAAACAAGCACCAAAATATTGCTTCACAGGGCTCGATACTAACAGCTCGTTCTAGAAAATTTGCACCTTTCGCCGGTCTCGTCGGTTGTTCAATTCCACCCACAACTCCACCATCTAGATGCTTTAGATGAGATGCCCAAAGCAAAGGGCCGGAAAAGAGACGACGATGATCGACCCGCTGAGAGCGAGGCACGCGCAATCGATATCAAGGTCAAGGGAGCCGAAGACGGAGAAACGAACATGGTCGGCGGGAATCTGGATCTTTTGAAGAAAATGCAGGAAGAAAAGTGGAAGTCATATGGATGGATTGATGCTGAGGTATGTCTTCACAGGTTTATATTTGGTATATTTGGTGATGCCCTCCTGCTAACTCCCCCTATCCCAGACCGAAGATGCGTGGTACACTTATGAAAGCTTCATGATGCACCAGGAGCCCGAGACACTCCCATCTATGGAGACGAATATAAACTCGGAAGATTACCTCGATAAAATGAGTGCCCCAAGGATCGATCCAGCACGACCTGACCTCACCGGCTGGGCTATGAAAGAAAATCGCCGGAGACAACGAGATGGGGCCTCTCAAAATGAGAACGAGCAGTGACGAATTCTTTTGTAGCATCAAACAATCCATTGTTAGCGGGTTTTTGGCATTTATTTCTATTTCAAGCTTCATCTCTTCCTAGCTTTTTTTATCTGATGGCAGATTAGTGCTTTCTACGTAGCGTCTAGCTTCTACAACATGAGTGTCTTTCTGCTTTCCTCCTAGCACACGCCAATGGGTCTTGTAAACACCAAACTACATACATAACCAGTAAATATGCGTGCTCTTCAGCCCTTGCCACCTGTATGGAGCTGTCCGCCAATCAGGGCGATAAGGTACGTGGTCACGTGAAAGCCGGTTTTTCTCCCGAGTCTCCGCTGCGACAGATCGAGAATCCCCTTTTTCTAACTGATTCATTCCTTTCCCTCTTTTTCTGCTTTAGTCGAGGGTTGCAGGTCAGCGTATAATCGCGGTGGGAAATCGCCTTGGTTTCACCTCTGCTATCATTGCGGTGTCTGTTTACTTGATCTGCACTCTGAAAGTTTGCATCTCTTATCCATATAATTTTATCCTTAATATTTTCTTCATTTCGCGCCCTATCCTACCCTCGACGAAACCGCGAAATCCTCGTATCCACGCACGATGTTATCACGCGTGGCTCGTCAGAAAAATGCCCTCTTCCACTCGCGGAGGGCCCATGCCTTTCGAGCATCGGTCACCTTACCGACAACACGACTCCATTCCTATACAAGCAACCGGACCTCGCTCGTGAACCCTCCAGTTAATGCGACCCAAAGTCATCCCCGGAGGTCGTCTCTTCAATCAAAACGCCATCTCGCTACGGCTGCTGATCCCCCCGGTTTTGATACGCATTCCTCCCGTCCTTCCGATTCTTTCATGCACATGCCCTACGATGCCTTCGATACATCCTCCTTGGTCATTCTTGACTCGACCCCTTCGACGCAAGCCAAAATTTTTCGCAGGAGGCACGGTGTTGGCGGTGATGAGACAGAAATGAGGGCAAACCTAGAAGTCTCGTTGAAAGTTGGTCAATTTGAACGAGCTGCCTCATTAATCAACCGTCTTGGCCACTACCATCCGGTCGGTTCGCAGGAGTACCTGAACCTACACAACCGCTATCTGAAGGAAATGGTGTCGTACATGATCCTCAATCGGGCACAGGAAATGGTCCTCCCTCTACAGAAATGGTTTGAGGTGGATATGCCGGCCGGTGGTGTGACACCCAATGAAGAGACGTTTGCAATCATGCTCCACATGGCTATACGCATGCTTCACGGAACGAAGCGGGAGAGAACAGTCCGTCGTTATTGGGAGCTTGCCCAAAAGGCGGGGCTAGAGGAGGAAATCGTTGGTTTGGAGGTACTGGAGGACTCAGACGTTGGGGAGCTATCGAGGGTGAGTTGATATTTTATGCAGGATCATTGAAGCCATACTAATACTTCACAATCAGATTTGTTCCTCCGACATGCTGGACTTGGTGTCTCAATACATGAGAATGGATGGGTCCTTAAATGCCCTAGATGAATCCCAGTTTGAGCGCGTACCTGCTGCCATGGACGATGCCCCAGTGATTCAGTCCGTCGATCAAAAGGGACTCGGAATGTCATCCCTCAAAGAGTCTCTCTCCCTCTTTGCAGACCATTCTGAAATCCAGTTGCCGTCAAATTTCGAAGGCACCGAAGAAGAGGCCCGGACGCTACGCAACGAAATAAGACAAAAAAGACTGGAAGCCGATGGTATCGAGTCAGCACTTGCTCGTTGGCGTACAGAGAACGCGAAGAGGCAAAAAGCAGGCTTGAACGCCTCTTCGGATGAAAAGAAATTAAACTCTGTCTTGAGTCAATGGCACACGGATCTCGTGGCAAGAATCAAAAGAGAGTTGGAGCTTGTGGAGGAGGCGCTTGCGAACCCCATCACGAGCATCGAGCAGCGGGATCGTTGTGATTATGGCGTATATCTCCAGTCTCTCGATGCTGATAGATTAGCTGCACTCACCATCATCACGGTCATGTCCGTGTTCAGTCGCACGGGAATGGACAAGGGAATCAAACTTTCTGCTATCGCTACAACTCTTGGAAAAGAATTCCAAGATGAATTGATTGCCAAAAGCGTCATCACGAAAAACAAGGGTGTAAACCCTAGCCGTCTCAAGGCCCTGAAGGAGACTCTTGCAAACCGCAAGACCAAGGATGGCCGTATGCGATGGAAGTCGCTTGTCGACAAAGCCAATGAGGAAGATTCACATGTTCACTGGGGCTCCCGTGTACAAGTCAGAGTCGGTGCGAGTCTTATGAGCATGCTATTCGATGTCGGTAAAATCTCTGTTTGGGTTGAGGACCCCGTTACCAAGAAGAAGGTCTGTACCATGCCACCGGCCTTCCAACATGCTTATCAAATTCACTACGGAAAACGCTCGGGTCTTATCCATGTGCACCCTGAAATTGTCAGAATTGTTACAAAAGAGCCTCCTTCCGAATTGTTGGCCCGCCACCTCCCAATGGTCACCAAACCGAAGCCTTGGACTGGACCAAGGAATGGCGGATACAAAGTTTATGAAAGCAGCCTGGTGCGCAGTACTGCCGGCGAAATTCTGCAACCGGCTTACATCAAAGCCGCTATGAAGGATGATGGCATGAAAGAGATTCGAGCTGGCCTTGATGTTCTTGGAGCTACTGGCTGGAGGATCAATCGGTCCGTTTTCGACGTAATGGTTCAAGCTTGGAATACTGGAGAAGCCGTGGGGAAAATCGCCCCCCTGGACCCAGACCTGCCGATTCCTCCGCAGCCAAGTTCAGATGCCGACCTTGCGGAGCAGCACCAATGGAGTCGAAAGTTGCGAGAAATTGAGAACCTTCGCTCTGGATACCACTCTATTCGCTGTTTCCAGAACTTCCAGCTCGAGATCGCGAGAGCCTACCGCAACGAGGTTTTCTTCCTACCCCATAACATGGATTTCCGCGGCAGAGCGTACCCTCTTCCTCCCTATTTGAACCAGATGGGAGCTGACAATTGCAGAGGGTTGCTGCTTTTCGACACAGGAAAAGAACTTGGTGTAAGTGGCTTGCGCTGGTTGAAGATTCAGATTGCAAACTTGAGTGGCTTTGATAAGGCAAGTATGTCTGAACGGGAGCAATACACCATGGACAAATTGGACGATATCCTCGACTCGGCCAACAACGGTCTGAATGGACGCAAGTGGTGGCTTAAGGCTGAGGATCCATGGCAATGTTTGGCCGCTTGTATGGAATTGCGCAATGCCTTACAACTGCCCGATCCCACTACATATGTGTCTCATCTTCCCATCCACCAAGATGGCTCGTGCAATGGTCTTCAGCACTACGCTGCCCTGGGTGGCGATAAGGCCGGTGCCCAACAGGTCAACCTTGAGCCCTCTGATCGCCCATCAGATGTTTATTCCGGTGTGTGTGACTTTGTCAACGAAAGCATTACGCAGGACGCAGCCAATGGCAATGGCCTAGCCAAGGTTCTCGATGGAAGAGTGACCAGAAAGATTGTGAAGCAGACGGTCATGACCAATGTCTATGGTGTGACCTTCATGGGAGCGACAAGACAAGTCAAAAAGCAGCTTGTCGACTATCTACCAGACCTCTCCAGCATAGAGAGGGTGTCGGCGTCTGTCTACATCGCCCAGAAAATTTTCGGCGCTCTTGGCACCATGTTCAACGGAGCTCACGATATTCAGTATTGGCTTGGTGACTCTGCACTCCGCATTACACAGTCCTTAACACCGGAGCAAATCGAGCAACTCACCGAACAAGCGTTGACACACCAGGCCACTCACCGCTCCGCTCTTCCGAGATCCCTCGATCCCGAAAAATCATTCCAGTCGACTGTCATCTGGACCACTCCGCTGGGTCTTCCAGTCGTTCAACCATACCGGACTCGCAAGGCTCGCCGCGTGCAAACTACTTTGCAAGAAATCAGTATCATGGATCCTAGTGCCGATGACATTGTGTCGAAGCGCAAGCAGCTCCAGGCTTTCCCACCTAACTTCATTCATTCCCTGGACGCCACGCACATGATCTTGTCCGCCAACGCATGCCACGAAGCAGGCCTGACATTCTCCGCTGTCCATGATTCCTTCTGGACCCATGCCGGTGATGTCGACCAGATGAATGAAATCCTCCGAGATGCCTTTGTTCGCATGCATAGCGACGATATTATCGGGCGCCTCGCAGCTGAGTTCAAGGTGCGATATGGTAAGAATTTGTTCCTTGCCCGAATCCCCCTGGCCAGCAAGCATGGCAAGGCAGTCCGCGCTCTGCGCAAGGGGGGAAAGAGCTCAAAGCTCGCCGAGCTGATTCAAGAGCAACGACGACAGAATCTTCTCAACTCGGAAGATCCCGAAGACCAAGCGGAGGGTCGTGCTATGGTCACAGCCGCCAGTGTCTTTGAAGGAATGGGTGGCACAGATGCAGACCTGTCCATGACCAAATCTTTGGGTGCGACCGCAATGGGCCACGTGCCAGAGAATCTTGAATCCGCGGAACGTGCGCCCATGGCAGATGGAATCGATACCTCCGATCCGGCCATCCAGGGCCTGCTGGGAAACATGGATTTGCCCGACGGGAAGCTACTTGACGATGAACCAGAACCTGTGGATGAAACCGAGAAGGCTCCCACCAAGAGAGGATCGCGCTCGGCGACCACTTGGATGTGGGTTCCGCTGAAGTTCCGCCCAGTCCCTGCCAAGGGAGACTGGGATCTGACTCGCATTCGCAAGAGTGAATACTTCTTCTCTTGATGCTCCCATCTTTGGCTCCGTGGGGAGCTTCAATCTTATCCCTCTGGCGTTGCATATCTTTTTTTTTTTCTCGTTTCATCTCCTGAGTACCGTGGAAAAGCGATCTCCGGATGCATATTAGGTGCCTTTTAATTTTCTTGTACATTTCCTCATTCCCCATTTGTTTCCCTGGGCTTCATTGTTTACATTTTGTATATTTTATACTGTTGGAGGGAGGGCACCGGGGACGAAAAAACAACCATGCATATAGCGATGTAACTTATGAATATGATCTTAGACTTTATTTCAATCGAAACTTAGCCAACTCCACATCGTTTTTAATGAATTTAACCTAAAAAAATAGCCATAGTATGAACAACTTTAAAGCTAAATAGCCGGCCAGGGGCATCGATGGATTTAGGCAAAATAGAACAGCCGGTAGGGCAATCTGGGGGAAGCCTGGCTTTAGCTCAGACGCTACCTAGTCCTCATTTGCTGGGATTTGAGTCTCTGAACTGCATATGCCAATCAGTTTGAATAGTTCTCAAGGGTACAAGTATCCTGTTGGAGCTGCGCTCAGCAATTGAAAATTGGGCTTGGTCTGCCGACAATAGGCCTGTTATGTACCTTTGTACCTTTGTTTCGCCTGGCCAAGACCGGGTATGTTACCGAGGTGGTCAGACATTTGAGGGGTCCAAGTCCCGTCTGGTGCTTCTCCGAGCCCTCTTGAACACGGGACGCAAGCCTGCTAGGTATAGATGACCGGGGTCACACTGGATAAAGTGGCAGCCAATAAGCGAAGGGAGCAAGGGATGCAGATTCGAAACGGGTCTGCACAGGGAGTCTCCCAGTCAGAAGAGCGTTAAAAGAAAACGTATGGAATCAACAGGGATTATAGAAGTAGAAGTAGAAATGAAGGGAGTAGTTGAGGTAGTATACCCCGTGCAACACGTGCCCGTTCCCCCGCCTTTCAGTCTCGAACTGGCTTCCCCAGATCGTCAGGTTCCTTAACATCTTTGCTTTTATTCACTTTGCTTTTGTTGCACCCTTAAACCCTTAGACTCTTCCTGATTATCTTCTCTTGCCGAAAATCAAGCTTTGGGTCCTCCGCTCCGCCGAGAAAAAAAAGTCGCCTCCGGGATCTGGGGTTCCGCCACGGCCTCTCATGCCGTTCCACTGACTCTTATGCCCCCGTGTTCTCGATCATCATCACCTTCCCCCGTCAGTCTCACCTTGGACGTGAAAGATTAGGTCACGTCAATTCGTCCTGTCCCTCTATGTCGACATAGAGCGTCTCCCCGCCTCCTCGGAGAAGAATGTCAACGACCTCCCTCCAATCCTTGCCCAATTCCTACTCGCCCTTCTCCACCCAGCCACAATCTAAACGAATGCCCCAATCCCAAACCCCCGGGCTGGACACGCTTGCGGAGGGGTCGCAGTATGCGCTGGAACAACTCCAGCTAGCACGGGAAGCTGGCACAGCCAACACCCCATCCGATCTCGCCCAATCGCTCCCTGATTCCAAATTGCCACACACCCAACATCTTCTATATAGCGAACAAGACGCCTCCTCCAGTCTGAAAGGGCCACAATCGCGTGACAGCCTTGCCGAGGCTCGCTCCGCAATCCGCAAGAACTCGTCTGCAACTCCGGTCCGGCGGAGAATTAGCCGGGCTTGCGACCAGTGCAATCAACTGCGAACTAAGTGCGACGGTCAAAACCCGTGCGCACATTGTGTTGGTATGGCCAGTTCACAGGTGTTTTTTGGCTTGCGAAAATAGGCTAATTAACGAATTCCAGAGTTCGGACTCAGTTGCGAATACGCTCGCGAGCGCAAGAAGCGCGGGAAAGCGTCGAAAAAGGATATAGCTGCAGCCACTACCACCACCGACAGCGATCTGGGTGGTAAAGACAGTGCGACACATGCTCAAAGCCAGCCGTCGAATGGCCAGTCTGTACCAGAATCTAACGAACGCTACGATCCGGCCTTTGATGCTGCGCGCACTTTAACCGAAAGCGCACAATCACGACCACATAACACAGAGATGCCAGGTTTATCTGGGATGCGCCAAAATCAAGCACCTATTCAAACTTCTCAACAGCAGATTAGCTCCAGCATGGCAGGCATGCCATTCAACCACTATGAAGCATTACAAGAATCGCATCGACCGCCAATGTCCGTACCCGATCTGCGCTCTATACATATGATGCAAACCGCGAATGCAAATCCTCGGTCGCCCAGCTCGATGCTTAATTCTCAAGGCTTTGGCTCTGGTTATAATGATGGCGCATACCCTCTAATGAATTCGCAAGAGGCGAATTCGACGTCTATGAACCAGTTCCGCCTTGGAAACTCGGCGGAACATCCTACAGCTTCATTTTTAGGATTCTCTCCGCCAGGTCAATCACCCAGTTGGTTGCCACTACCTTCTCCGTCTCCCGCCAATTTTCCGTCCTTCAGCATGCCACCTTTCTCTAGTTCGTTGAGATACCCCGTCTTGCAACCAGTTCTTCCACACATCGTGTCTATAATCCCTCAATCTCTCGCCTGTGATCTTCTCGATGTCTACTTCACCAGTTCATCTTCCTCGCATCTTTCTCCGTCGTCTCCATACGTGGTTGGTTATGTTTTCCGCAAGCAATCCTTCCTACACCCCACGAAACCACGGGCGTGCAGCCCCGGGCTCCTCGCCAGTATGTTGTGGGTAGCCGCACAAACGAGCGAAGCTGCATTTTTGACGTCACCTCCCTCAGCCCGCGGGCGAGTCTGCCAAAAGCTTCTGGAATTAACTATTGGATTACTTCGACCACTTATCCATGGACCTGCAACTGGGGAGGCATCTCCCAATTATCCCGCGAATATGGTAATCAATGGGGTCGCTTTAGGTGGATTTGGCGTGTCGATGGACCAATTAGGCGCCCAGAGCAGTGCAACTGGCGCTGTGGATGACGTCGCTACGTACGTTCACTTGGCGACTGTCGTTTCCGCTAGTGAATATAAGGCTGCAAGTATGCGATGGTGGACAGCGGCCTGGTCTCTTGCACGAGAGCTCAAGTTAGGTCGCGAACTACCGCCTAATGCAACAACTCGCCAGGACGGCGAACTAGAGGGTGAGGGAGAGCTCGACGTTAACGGCAAGAGGCAGCCGCCCCAGCTCATGGGTCATGGTCCTGGCAACTCAGCGGTCAACCTTACAGAAGAGGAACGCGAAGAGCGCCGTCGGATATGGTGGTTGCTATATGCGACTGATCGCCATTTAGCACTCTGCTACAATCGTCCTTTGACACTTCTAGATAAGGAGTGTGAGGGTTTATTACAGCCTATGAACGACGACATCTGGCAAACAGGAGACTTCTCGTCGGTTAATTACCGTCGCGCTGGCCCATCCTTCGAGTGTACTGGCCACAGCATGTTCGGATACTTCTTACCACTGATGTCCATCCTCGGTGAAATTGTGGATCTGCAACATGCCCGAAACCATCCGCGTTTTGGTCTCCATTTCCGGAACAGTGGTGAATGGGAAAGTCAGGCAATGGAAATCAGTCGACAGCTCGATGTCTACGCCCAGAGTTTGAAAGAGTTCGAAGCCCGGTTCACGAGCTCTCTCGCACTCGGTCCGGAAAATGACACTGCTATGGAAGTCTCCAACCTCAACCATGTCAGCCCGTCAGGTCGGTCGAGTAGCACCGTGGGATCGCATGTTAGCGAGTCCATCGTCCACACGAGGATGGTGGTTGCCTACGGCACCCATATCATGCACGTTCTTCACATTCTGTTGGCTGGGAAGTGGGATCCGATCAACCTGCTCGATGATAACGACCTATGGATATCGTCCGAATCGTTCATCTCGGCCATGGGACATGCCGTCAGCTCTGCTGAAGCCGCCTCGGATATCCTAGAATACGACCCCGATCTAAGTTTCATGCCCTTCTTCTTCGGTATATACCTGCTGCAAGGTAGTTTCCTACTACTCCTGACTGCGGATAAGTTGCAAGGAGATGCTAGTCCAAGTGTGGTCAGGGCATGCGAAACTATCGTGCGAGCACATGAGGCTTGTGTCGTGACTTTGAACACTGAATATCAAGTAAGTGCCCGCGAGTTTGTCTGCACAGCTAAGAATGAATACTAACATCATCCAGCGAACATTCCGGAAAGTGATGCGCTCAGCTCTTGCCCAGGTTCGTGGCCGTCTTCCCGAAGACTTTGGTGAGCAGCAGCAGCGCAGGCGTGAAGTACTGGCCCTTTACCGCTGGAGCGGGGATGGCAGTGGACTTGCGCTGTAGTTACCTCACTTGCTGTTTATACTTTCATCATTGATCAAGTATATATCTTTTCTTGTTGGTTCTGATTTGCGTCCTGTATACTACTTTTTCTTGGATTTTGGACATACCCCAAGGAGCGAAAAGGCGCACACTTTGTCTATCTATTTACTCGGCACATACCATACCCTCTATTTACATATTAATTTTGGTGTTTGGACGGAAATCAGGTGTGAAATGCAAGTTCGCTGAGTGAGCTCCACAAGTAATATAGCATGGTAGAGCCATGACGACATCTCAGATAAGCATTTCTCCGCATTTCAGTTGCATCAATGAACATAGACGACTTTCACACTCCCAGGCATATTTGACGAACAAAAAAGTATTAAATGATCTGACATGGCTTAATCCATTCAACTATGACAGCTTTAATGAAATCACCTCGATTACTCTCTACATTCCGCAAGCCTCAACAGGGCCCGCTGGTCTTCAAACGTTTCCTGGGGATCCCGCCGGCTTTCCTCCTGGACGACTATACGCCACGATATCAGCTCCTGACTTCAGTTGAGTCAGCCAAGAAGCGTGCTGCTTCATACACACATCTCCGAGAATGCAACCTGTGCCCACGGAAATGCGGAGTGAACCGGTATGAGACGACGGGCATGTGTCTGATCGGGGCTATGACTGCGAAAGTCAATGTAATTGCGCCGCATCGTGGAGAGGAGCCATGTATACAGGGCTTCCATGGGAGTGGATCCGTATTCTTCTCCGGGTGTAATCTGCGCTGCGTGTTCTGCCAAAATCATGTATGCTTCTTTCTCTAACGTTATGCATCAATCTGTCGAATTGCAGTCTTAATGCTGATAATACCGCAGGACATTTCCCACCAGCGCAACGGGTTCGACCTTACACCAGAAGAACTTGCTGAATGGTATATCAAGCTTCAACAGATTGGAAATGTGCACAATATAAACCTCGTCACGCCGGAACATGTCGTTCCACAAGTCGCCCTCTCCATCCTGACAGCTCGTGAAATGGGACTTCGAATTCCAATTATCTACAACAGCTCTTCATTTGATTCTCTCGAATCTTTGAAACTACTCGACGGTCTAGTTGACATCTACCTCCCAGACTTCAAGGTATGGCACAACAGCACATCGAAACGTCTCCTCAAGGCAGACAATTACACCGCGACAGCAATGGAAAGTATCAAAGAGATGCACCGCCAAGTTGGCGACCTCTCATTTACATCAGACGGCATAGCCAAGAAGGGAGTCTTGCTACGTCACCTGGTAATGCCAGGTAAAGAGGACGAGGGGCGGGAGATTATGCGCTGGCTGGCTGAGAATGTCTCTCGGGATCTGTATGTGCATATTATGGAGCAGTACCATCCTGATGCACATGTTGGCAAGAAACGGCGTGTGACACGTAAAGTGCGCATTGGAGAGGCGGACGGCGCGTCAGAGGAAATTCGGTATGCGGAGATCAACCGTGCCGTGCGGGACGAGGAGCTTCTAAGTGTAAGGGATGCGGCTGTTAAGGCTGGGCTTTGGCGATTCTGTGAGGTGAATGAAAGTAACAGCGCGTTCCATCTGTGATACACATTGGAGATCACAGTTGTACTTGTCATTTTATTCTTAATTTCTTTTTTTTTTTGTAGTTGATAGACGTCATGTGATGGTGCTTGTTTGGCCCCACTTCAGCTTCAGCTCCAACTCCAACTCCAACTTCCTCTTCACTCACCAGAGACAATAGTCTTGGGGGTTATTGGTCGCTTACAATGAAACCATATATTGGTATCCCTCTTGTCTTCGGGCTCGTCTACCGAGCCTGGTCCCGCAAGTCCCTTACTCCGCTAGGCCTTGTCGTTGCGGGATGTTCAGCCTCCGCACACGCCCTCCACCCATGGTCAGCACCAGTCGCACTGCTGGCGGTATTCTACTTTGGTGGAACGAAGGTCACGAAGGTGAGCATTCCCGTCGCTTAGTGTTAGGGGCTGTACACCGCCAGCACTGTAGCCGGCGGGGCATATCCATCTCATTAACGTTACTGATCATGTTCCACGATGACAGGTAAAACATGAGATCAAGGCGCGCTTGACACTCTCTGCTACCGGTACGGAGGGCGGAGAAGGTCCCCGGAACCATATCCAAGTGCTCGCGAACTCCATCGTCGCTACTGTGCTATCTGTCGCCCACACAATTGTTCTGGCCAAATCAACAGGCACGGAATCATGCTTCTCGCTCGGTCAGAAGGCGGCTGATATCTTGATGGTTGGGATTGTCGCGTACGTGTTCCTATATCCCCTCTTTTTTTGCATGCACGCGTCTATCATCGATTGTATACTAACTACAATCTCTCATAGAAACTACGCCGCTGTCGCCGCAGACACATTCTCCTCCGAACTTGGCATCCTTTCCAAATCGAAGCCTCGCCTTATTACCTCCCTCAACCTTCGTGAAGTTCCCCCTGGCACAAACGGTGGTGTTACGGTAACTGGGCTTGGAGCTGGTCTTCTTGGTTCATTCATTGTCTCTTTGACATCTGCCGTTGTGCTTCCATTTTGCTCCAACGTGGGAATTAAAGAGCGAGCACTTTGGACTGTAGCCATGACTTTTTGGGGTGCGCTGGGAAGCGTCCTTGATAGTGTCCTTGGTGGACTTTTGCAAGCTAGTGTTGTTGATAAGAGGAGTGGAAAGGTTGTGGAGGGAAGCGGTGGCAGAAAGGTAAGTTGCGAATATCTCGTCCATGTTGAATGGGGCTAATCTCTTTATCTAGGTGCTTGTCCACCCTGCTTCATTAACGAAGGCCACAGGTGCCTCTCACCCCGTAACTACTGGCAAGGCTGCCAATGAAGCTACGTCCCGCGGCAGCCAAGGAAAGTCCAAATTACAAGAAGAAGCTCATGAAAGCCGCCGTGTTGAGACTGGTCATGACTGGCTTGATAATAACGGTGTGAACGTCCTTATGGCTGCTACGATGAGTGTTGGGGCTATGGGCATTGCACAGTATGTCTGGGGACTGAACGTGTTTGAGTTGCTTGTTTAAACTACTTGTGCAGAGCTGGTATATACTCTTTGTAAGTCTCATCAGGCTTTATACATCCTCGATCTGGTTTGAGTAGCCTACATATCTGGTGTGTGATTTGAGTATTAGCTATAATGAACCCATGTAAAATCAATATCAGCTAATCTTATGAACGAGAACCAACGTAATCATCTCAGGGTTCACCTGTCCTGCTCAGGCTCGTGGTGGTCATTCGTTCCTTCCTTTTTTGGCCATCCCATATCCCACCGGCCTAATAGGTTGAGTTCTTCGCTCCTTCTCAGCTCTCCCTCGTCGACGTGTCACGTGCCACTCTGGCCCTACTTTGTTGGTACGTCTCTTCGTTTACCTCGCTCACCGTCCCCAATACAGGCGGCAGCAAATGGAAATACTGATTATGTTAAGATAGAGCTGGTACCGCACACATGGAGCAACTCCAGATCACGATGAAGGCTGCAGGAGCAAACACCGTCGGCATCGCGGAGCCAAGAATTCGTCTCCTGCCAGACATTTTCCGTGATGAACAAGATGTTCCACTTCATGCCGAAGGTTACATTCGTCAGGAATACCTGATTGATGGATTTTCTGAAGGAGAAATTTATTGTACCCGCCTTGTTCTCCATTCCCCCAAGGATCCAATCAAGTTTTCTGGACTTGTTGTTGTAGAGCCTTCTGATTCAATGGGCGGAACAAAGGTATGGCTCAAGACCAAACGGTGGATCATGAGAAATGGTAATTTAATTCCTCGTTGACATTATTATTCTTCGGCTGACAGTTCCACAGGTCATGCATGGCTTCAAGTCGACTCCCAGGCTCCCTCTGCCATTGAAATTACAAAGAAAGTGGACAACAAACGCTACAAGGACATAAGCTTCATCGCAACCAGTACCTTGCAAGAAATCGAGAGTGTCATCCCATCAGCTTTGGATGCTCCCGAGGAGACAGTCTGGAATAACTACAAAGTCTTTAAGGAAATGTGGTGGGCATCAACTCTCCAGTCTCCCGAGATCCTGGTTGCCGCATCGCATGCAGCGAGATCTGGCTGTCTGTCAATCAAGGCAAACCGCGTAATCCTATGTGGTATGGCCCAGACAGGCGATGTGACCCGTCGATTTATCCTTCATGAATCTCATCTCCGACTGCCTGATGGATCGGTTTCCTTCGAAGGATATCTCCCATTCCAGAACGACGGTGGCCCTGCGCTGCCAGACACACACTCATCCAATGTCAAAGTCATCGAGACAATGGGCGATTATGAACTCTTCTCCCACCAAACCCTCTACGGAAACGAAAACGGACTGGAGACCTACCCCCACCGCCGTCATGATAGCGACTCCTACCGATTGTACGAGGTCCCCGGCTTGTCTAACCGCGCGGCTAGGTACGTGCCCATGGCTGACATGGCCGAAATGACCTATGCCACCTTTGGGTCTGCCCAGTGGAGCACTTTCTGCAGCTCCTTCATCTACCATGCCGTCTTCGAGGCTATGGACAAGTGGATCACAAAGGGCGCTGCGCCCCCGCATGGCGCTGTGATTTCCACTGGAGTGGGTGGGGACGTCATCCGTGATGAGCACGGAAATGCTGCTGGGGGAATCAGGACTGTTCATTCGGAGGCTCCCACCGCACAGCTGGTTGATATAACCCCCCGGGACCGACCTAACTGGTACAGTGGTAAGTGATGTTCCTATACCCGAATTGAGAGCGATGCGAGCTGTGACTGATAACATTCTGAAGGGTCCGAAAGCCCTTTCACGGCAGACAAATTGATGGGTCTCTACAAGAGTGTGGCCAACTACCGGAAGTTGGCAACTGACGCCATTCGCTGTCAGCTCCGAGCTGGATTTTTGCTGGGCGCGGACCTAAAGACTCTGCACCGCGATACTGTTGAGAAGGTCTCTTTTTGATTCTTCTTAGCGGGTTGGGTTTGAGATAGTACATGGCCATTAGCAATGCTTAGCATAAGCAGATTACTCCACTCCAATCAACTGTGATGTTGAAATTGTTTCTGTTTTATTGAGAAACTGTAAAAACGGTCTTCCATTTTTGATATCTTGGGTTTCTCGTCCCAATTGCATCCATCCTCTCACGTAATTCCTACCTCACTCGAGCAAAACTCACCAAAATACAAAAAAACATACAACTGTAAGGATTTGCTACTGGTCACTCACCTAACTACTAACCGGTGTTTGGCTTAATTTCGGCCGAGCGGATAGAAAACCCTGTCCTCCACAGCCTGTGGTTGTATGTATTAGCATTAGCATTGGAAAAGGGGGTATATAGGACTAGAACTACGCTAGTTATCACCGTCTAACTACTGATTTACCGGCGTGTGGCTGTGCGGCCAGTAGTCAGGTGGGTGCCACCTAGAATATAGCTAATACTGCATTCAATATGCCTCGATAAATTAGTAAGAAATTGGCGCACTTTTTGGTAGGGGGCTCGGTGAACGTAGAGTACTGATTGGGGAACCCAAGTTTTTCCAATGTTGCCTGGCAGAACTTGATAATCGCATAAATCCCCGGTAACAAGTAAACATTCAGGTGAAGACAGGTATTGCGCTAATGCAAGTAGCTTACTGAAGGACCCGGTATTTAGAAGAAAAGCAGCAGCTTGTTTTGATTTATCTGCTCAATCAATTCGTAATCCTGTTATGGAATTTCCAGTCTTGGGGTTTTACTTATATGTCCATACTTAAGGCTATCAAATATACAAAGGGAAAGCCTGCTAAAGCGGACTTTCGTCTAGGTTTTATTCCACTAGACTTCTCCTTACGTATGAAGCCGGTAGAAGTGTCATGACAAGCAGGATCAGACCGCGTTACACATCTATCTCTAGTGCTATTTAATCAAATAACTATTTAAAATTTCGGAATGGTGAGCCATATTCTGGAATTATCTTGCTTTTTTCAAAGCACTAGTGTAGCAGACATCCCGCCAGAAAATGGCAAAGCTTCACTCATGTGCATGTACGATCAATCACAGTCACATCACGGCATAGGACTGGTGGAGTCAAACCCGATTAGGAAAAGTGATGGGTTAAAAGTAATGCAATAGCAATTCGCCGGTATTGCCTACTTCTCATTTCAAAATTAGACACCAACCAAATACTTTCGTTAAGCGCTTCCCACGCTCTATATGTAGAATAAGTTCAGGTCTAGGTTAATGCGACATGGGCTCGTCACACAAAGACAGGGACCTTGCCAATCACTACGAAGGCACTGGACATGATCAGGGTATAAAGCGCTCATCGGTCACCCATCGAATGCAAAGTGGTTGTTTCAATAAATCCTACATTGCCTATCCTTAGGACCTTGAATCTCTGACATCGGTCTGCCAGTCTACACCGAAACAGCCTACATTTCTCCATTTTGCCACCATGGGTCTCGTAAAGCTCCTTCTCAAAGCGATCATCATCCCGATTGTTCTCCTCATCGTCGTCACCGTCGTTATTGTCATTTACATTAAGATGCGCCGCGAAAAGAAGCAGAAACAACAAGAGATTGCAGCCGGGTTCCAGCCACCTCCTATACAGCAATGGGTTCCTTACACTCCGGTCCAACAGCCTGCCCCGGTTTATGTCAAAACTCCGGGGATGACGGAACACGGTATTGTACAGCCTTGATTTGAATGAATTGTAGGTGTGATTTACCTCCTGGTGAATATCGAACGTGACTAATTCCCGAGGAGATGCAGATTTCTATCAATACAATTTTCTTTATGTTATGGGTTGGGTATTTTACTGTTCGTTGAACGATACTAGAATGGCATTTCGTTGGAAACTTTGTGTTTCAATTTGTTCCTCTTTCTCTTTATCTCAAGTTACAACATTGGCTCCTAATGGCATGTGTAAGGAGTTCGACCTTCCGTGTCTCAAAACTCTGTACTACAGAAAGAAATGAGCAGGATTGCCACTACTTGGTCACCAGAAACTAGGCAGGCCTTTTTTTTAGATGTGATCAAAGCTCTAGTCCAATAATATAGCCCGCAAACAAAGAATCCGTCATGCATTATCAATAACTTGCATATTCCAAAACGGAGCCCATAGGGCTGCATACAGCACGGTGTAAATCCCTGCAGCCGTATACCAATCACTTCCGGAATATGGGGACATAATGTCCTCTGCATGTGGGTCAAAGCCCCTGTCTCCTAGGGGAATTCTGTTGCCTGAAGCCCTCCCCTTGGGGTGATAAGTGTTTCTTTGGTTGGGGAGCCGATGGAAGGTGGGACTACGGTATGTTGGGACTATTTATCCGCCCCCTTTTTCTACAGTACGCGTAATTATCGGAAGGATATTGTGTAACGGTTATTCATGTGGGTGCCGTAATAATGAATTGTTGTCTAGATGCCGGGTCAAATTGCGGAACCATTTACTTGACATGCCATTTCCAACAGAGTCACGAGGCCCCCAATGTCTATGGGCGCACTAGTGTGAGGCCCCATCATTTTATCTAACCCTAAATGGAATGTGGGACTGTAACTAGAGAATGTATATTGCGTCACAATACTAATTTATGATGGTCCTCTGCTTCTATTTTAGCGCCAAGTCTCAGCCCTACGAGGCGACTCCACCGGGAATGGGCACCGCTGGTCCCTGCCTTTGCATTGTCAGTCTTGTGTTCTCGAACAGATGCTGTTTCTATTTCAGACGCCCCATTGTCGATCTATGTATTTTATGATATACTAGTTAAGTACGATAAAAACGTCTGTATCCTGCTATTCGACTTAAAACGGTACGCAACTGCAAGAGATGTAACTGTGAATGTAACTATTTTTGACAGCACATTAAATCAATGGCGAGTCGATTGCATCTGGATGCACGTAGAAAGCAATCGCAATGATGAAATACCTAGAGTTCATTAGCACTCGCCAAAACCAAGCACTCAGGTGGTCACTTACGTTCCAACCAATAAACACCCCTCGTAGTAGTTAGATCGACCGCCTCGGATTAAGCAGTCCATCACTATAACAGACAAGAAAAAGACCACTGTCTCAAATGGGCTATAGCGCAGCGACATGGGCTGTCCGATGATCATACCGCAAATTACCAGGAACGGACTCACGAACAGAGCGATCTGCAAAGTGCTCCCCACGACCACACCGATAGCGAGGTCCATATTGCCTTTCAGTGAAGAGTTGATGACCGTGTTGAACTCTCCCGCGTTGCCGACAATTGGAACGACAATCAGGCCAATAAAAGCCCTGCTCACATGCCATTTCTCCACGAAGCCATCCACACTCTCAACCAGACAATCAGAGCAGACGGTGACACCGAAAGTAGCAAGGATCAAGACAATACTCGCTACCCAGGGGCCCAGGACTTGCTCTTCTTTTCCTTCTGGTTCATCATCGACGAATAGCTCAGAGTGACTTTTCAGTTGGAAGTAAAGATAGACAAGGTAGAATGCGAGTAGAACAACCGAAGCGGCACGGGAGAGACTCAACACGCTCTGTACCACGTCTGGTGACTTGGATGATATGGTTGAATAGAGGACCGATGGGATGATCAGTGATGCAGAGGAGACGACCATCAAAGACGACAAGATCCCACTAACATCCACGTTGAATGTTACAGCCTCTTTTGAAATGCCGCCGCAGAATAGAGACGCGCCGAGAATCTAGATCGATCAGCAAACTACCCACGAAACCGGAATGTTTCAAGCTTACCAGAAGATTGCCCGAAAGAATACTGCCCACCATACTGGACTGGACAATATTGATTTCACCTTGTCTGACCGCAGTAATCCCCACCTGTGCAATGATGTTAGTTTCCCCACTCAAGACCAAATGTTCACAAGCACTCACGATCATTTCAACAGCATTTCCAAACGTCGCATTGATCAATCCTCCAACCGTCTGTCCAACGCTCTTAGCCAACTCCTCGGTAGCAAAAGAAAGTAATGCCGCCAGGGGAAGAATAGCCAAGAAATTGAAGACGAATCCAATGGAATCGTCCCACCCTTGATTCCCCGCTATGATCCCCAGAAAAACAAACGGCAGAAGCAGGTTGGAGTAGCTGCATCCCAGGACCGTCTTTACCACCCGTAGAGCAGAGTTGCCTGGAGACATATGGCGCGGCTCGGAGGGATCCGCTTCACACATTCCCGAGTCATTCTGCTCCTCAACTCTGTCGTTTTGGGCATGTTCTTCTCTTAACAATGCCTGCCGTTCTTCAGATGGCGAGTTTGTGTCGAAGATGCCATCCATGCTGTGGTTGATCTTGGTTGACTTTCGCAGTCGAAGAGTAGGGTCATCCATGTTTTGTCAAGAGTGAAAGTAAAATAGCACTCAGAGAGAGTCACTCACTGGGTTGGGGGGAGATGATGTACATATAATACGACGTAAACAGACACCTGTACTTGTACCTGTACCCGTACTTGTACCGGTAAAAGTCATGGAGATAAAATACACATAGTTCCATACAGTTACGGTATATTTCAATGACCCGTCAGTACGAAAGATAGCCGCATTTAATCTTCGCTGTGTTCTCAAGTTCATATATCAACCATGCCTGAAGGGTTGGCCAATTTGAATCCCTCGATTATGGCAGAACTCCGGCGCAACGCCCTCAAGTTCAGCTCGGTAATGCTGCCCCTCATCGGCATAGCAGCGGGAGCTATGCGGCTGAACGGCGCCACAGTATTCACACTCAACATCTTGGCTCTGATCCCACTGGGACCATGGATCAGCCGATCTGTCGATGCGCTATCCGTGGGTGGGCTACGGGCCGTGAACGAGCTACTCAAATCAACACTCGGCAACTCGGTCGAATTAATGGTGGCTGCCCCTCAACTTCCATGCGAAACATAACTAATGATGAACAACCAGATCGGAATCAATGCAATTGCACAGAAACGCCCACATATCTCCCAGTCCGTCATCCTCGGCAGTGTTCTCAGCAATCTACTACTGGTATACAATCAAAACATTAACTCCGAACCAAAACCCAAACCACAAACTAATCTCATACTCTGTATGACCAGGTCCTGGGCAGCACACTCTTCATATCAGGCTACGACAAAAAGCGCCTCCGCTTCGACCGAACCTTAACAACAGTCCTCTCCTCCCTAATGACAGTCGTCTTTATCCTCCTGGCCATCCCAACAATAATGGACGTCTTCCCTTCCGCAAAGAACACACCAACCAGCCAGATCCTCTTCACGCAACGCATAACAGCAGTCATATTAATCGCCCTGCTCATGACATTCCTCCTTTTCCGACTGGGAACACACGCGGCAATGTTCGCCAGCACGCCTTTCTCCCAAAATGATGCAAATACAAGACAGAGCAGACACCAACACCGACAAAGCCAAATCATCGAAGCACAACTCCCCCGTCCATATCTCGGAAAGAACGTCGCCGGTTTGGTCCTCGCTGCTGCGTCGGGGTGTACATTCGGATGTACATATTACATTGTGAACAGTCTGGCCGAAGTAGCCGGGATGACTGGATCAAACGAGTCGTTCCTGGCTGTGACAATTGTCCCGATTTTAGGGAATTTTGTTAAGTATCACTCCATCGTGACGGGGTCTAGGTCTTACAGCCAGATTGAGCTGGGAATCCGGGCGATTATCAATTCTGTTTTGAGGGTTACGATGCTTATTGTGCCGCTTTTGGTTCTTGTTGGGTGGGTTTGTAATCGGCCGCTTATTTTGCGGTTTGACGGGTTTGAGGCTACGACACTTTTGCTTAGTGTTGTTGTTATGACTTATCTTATTTCGGATGGGAGGAGTAATTATTTCGAGGGGATGATGTTAATTGGGACGTGAGTGTTATTCTTCCTAGATATTTTGGGGAATTGTGCTAATCCTTTTTGCTTTAGGTATGCTATTATTGCGTTTTCGTTTTATGTGAGACCAGGGGTACCGGCGAATGTTATCTTCTTGAGTTCTTAAATTGGTGAGCTTGTGAATTTATCTCCATTTTTACTATCTGTGCGATACGACCATGCTTGGAGTAGGACATCGGTTCAATCTAAAGCATAATAGGCTAAGCCATTGGAGGGTAAATTCGTACCATCGAAAGCCTAGCGTGTGTAAAAAGCAGCAACTAGACCGGAATACCTAAAATAAAAGATTAGTATCAGCTTTCACCCACCATCAATATGTCCAAAGAGAAACTTACAGAGCAATCAACATCGCGCCATGAATATAAGCATACTGCCCATCCCTCAGCAAATGATTAACCACTAGAATAGCCAAAAACATGGCAACAGTCTGAAAAGAATCAAAGAAAAGAGTCATCGGCTCCGCAATGCACCAGCCCATGATAACCAAAAAAGAAATCGCAAAAAGACCAATTTGCAAAAGACTATCGATAATCACCTGAATCGCAGAGTCAGTATTACCAGACCGCGACGAAGAAATAACAGTAACACCCTCGGTACTATTACTCGCCAACGGAATAAACACAAGCGCAATAAAGCTATGGGAAGTCCCAAGAGTCTCAGCCATATCACCAATGCTTTCCAGCAGAAGTTCCGTGCAGAAAATGGTAGCTGCGACAGCTGTCACCAATCTGATCACTGAAGAGGCCAGACTAGCTGTCGTTCGTGGCGTGGATAGTTCGACATCCTCATCTTCTTCATCGAAGTTATGTTCGCATGAGATGAAGAGGTGTTTGTGAGTCTCTAGGTAGAAGTAGAGATATCCAGCGTAGAGAATGAGTAGCACCAATGAAGTTCCACGTGAGAAGGATAGCACTCTGCTGTCGATTTCGGATACTGGGAACGTTGAGTAGAGTGCTGTTGGGAGGAGGAGTGCCACGGCTGTTATCATCATCAGTGATGAAAGTGTTTTTGCTAGGGCGCCATTGAATTCTAGGACGTCTTTATTGTAGGATGCTGTTACGAGACAGCAGCCGAATACCTGATTGAGTTGTTAGTTCGATGATACCTCTGTATGCTGACTGGGTCTTTTTGTTTTACCAGAAGAATATCAGAGAGGATACTGCCCACCATGACAGATTGCGCGAATGGAATTTCTCCATGGACCAAGGCCAGAGTTCCCGCCTGTATGCAGATTTAGTCAACGAGTTATCCAGTAAATGTAACTCCCGGAAATCATGTCACTCACTGTTAGCTCGACAGTATTCCCAAACGTTGCATTGAGAAGCGCACCCTGCAATTCACCCAAGTGTTCCTCAAGTTCCTCGGAAGAAATAGAAATCGCCTCAGACAAGAAAACAATAGCAACGATATTAACCACCAGCACAACCGTTGCATGCCAGTGGAATATCTTCGCTGCTGCTGCCAACGGTAACAGCACCATGACCGGGAGGCCATAGTTGATATTGAGACCTGCCTGGGCGGGCATCTGGATCAAGCCTCGGAAGCGAGTCCAAAGGTCTGCATCAGGGACATGACAGCGATCCACGTGTAGCCTGGAAGAAATTTGAGATGAACGCATTGGCAAGAGCACACCTACCTAGGTAAGCTGAAGTCCAGGGAAGGTGCGACCGGGGAAAGATAAACAGTTGCAAATACAGGAATGGTATGTGTATTGGCCAATTTACGGTAACAGTCAGCCCTATTACTAGCGCACACGGGACGGATAGGGCTGAACAGGCAACAACATTTCTCTGCCTTACGTGTTTGGTCAATATAAATAACCTTGACTGGGCAACTATTAATCACGACTGGGGAACTCCGACTAGTACTCTTGGCTGTACTGTAGACACGGCTTATGGAATCTTGTTTCCCCACCTGTGCACCTGTGCACCTTACCTTGAATCTGTTAGCCGCATACCGGTCGCAAAGTCCATCTTCATCTTCTAACCTCATCACCATCCCTCTGCCGATATCGCTTATCAGACCGACTTCTCCGTACATCTCACAGGACTGAATGGTCCGTCCTCCAATCTATGGACATACACCCGCCCTCGCTCGAATCGCTCCAGAGGGGGGTGACTGATCTAGCAACGACATATCATGACCGGGGATGGACGAGCGCAGCCACAGGCCTGGAAGGAGCCCTCAAAACCGCCGAAGAACGAGCCGCAACAGACGCGAATCTCGACGCAACGATAACAATACTGGAAGAGCTGGGTGCACTGGTGAAAGCCTGTCTACGCGGCAAGCTGTGGATCATCGCGGAAGACCTGGGTATCCTTGTGCTGGAGACCAGTGAAGCCCTGAAAGGTGAACGAGATCCGATGACAATGACTGCCATGAATAATCTGGCATCTGCGTACTGGGGCCGGGGACAACTGGATCAGGCGGCTGCTCTTGCGTCGCGGGTGACGAATCTTCGGAGAAGATTGCTTGGCGAGTCACATCCGCAGACGTTGACTTCGATGACGAATTTGGCGTCTACATATCGGAGCCAGGGGCATTGGTCTGAGGCTTTGAAGCTTGATTTGAAGACGTTTAAGATGAAGAAAGAGACGCTTGGTGCGACGCATGCATCGACGTTGGGATCGATGGCAAATTTGGCGATCTCCTATACAAACCTCGGTCAGTATGACGAAGCGGAATCGATTGCACGCGAGTTGGTTGATTTGGGAGAGAAAGCGCTGCCTCCGACTGATGCGTCGCTATTAAATTGGAAGTTGAGCCTGGCGTCGACGTATCGAGACCAGGGGAGGCTGGGCCCCGCTGAGAAACTCGAGCGCGAGGTCGTTGCTGCCAGTCGGGCTTCATTAGGGACGGAGAATCCCTTCACACTCACTTCCATGGCCAACCTTGCGTCCACTTATCGGGAGCAAGGTCGATGGCCGGACGCTGAGCGTCTTGAGAAGGAGGTCGTGTCGACTAGTGAGACAGTGCTTGGCGAGACACATCCGCAGACTCTCATGTCCATCAGTAACCTTGCCTCTACCTATCGAAGCCTGGGTCGGTTAGAAGAGGCCAAGCGCCTTGGTGAAAAGGCGACAACAGTTATGAAGGATGTTCTCGGCGAGCGTCATCCATACACGTTAGTCGCCATGGCCGACCTAGCCGTAACATATCAACTGAAGCAGCAGTCACCTGATGCTGAAATGCTTGCAGCCCGGTCACTGCGCTTGATGGAGGAGACTATCGGCAAAGACCATCCATATACCCTCAGCGCCATGGCCAACCTAGGCTCCATATACCAGTCGCAGAGCAAGTGGGATGTCGCAGGGGGTATGGCGGAGACGGTGTACGCGGGCAGAGAAAGAGTATTTGGAAAAGACCATCCAGACACTCTCGCGGCACTGGAAGATTTGAGAAGAGTAGCCTGGGTAGAAGCGGCGGATCAGAATGCACAGTCAACGTTAAATTAGACTCGTTAGGTTTTTTTGGAATATGGAGAGGCGGGGGCGTCTCGGACCGTTAGCATGCATCTATAGTCATCTGTTTTATGAGTTAAGGAACCAATTGACAAGCTTTGTTTGGCGCCCATGTCCCTTTTATAAATTTGTCGGGCTGATGGGGCCAGTCAGCCTTGTATGCGGCCGTCTTTTCGCCGAACACAGCCTCCTTGCCAAGACTTGTCACTCTATGAAGTAACTTATATTGCTTTTGAGGTTACAGCACAACTAGCACAGCCTTCTCGGTTGACTAAAGAATTAGGCTGCCAGTTTGGAGCAGGTGGGCGGGGGGGTCAATTGTACTATCGGCCTGTTAAGCTATGGGGAGGACTGGGGGATTGGCTCATCCTCTGCAACTACCTACAGTAGTTTAAAACTCAAGAATAAAGTGGGAATGAGAGTCTCGTGGGGGTGTGTTCCCATAATAAATCTTGAGTCTCGAATTGCTGGGTGATAGCTATTTACATGGTCAACCTGTGGTATAGACTTAGCTACGGGAGCTGCAGTATATACAAAATCCTGGCATTTGACTTGCTATTATAGTTACATGAGACTACAAATTATATAGCAGAGTTTTCACTGGATTCTCCATCAATCATTATGGAACCAGTAAAGATAGTGGTTGTCTAGTTTACGATATTTCTGAAGTGCTCTATTTCCCTGAAGCATCTGTATGCTTCTTAGACTCCAATTATAAAGACTCAATGGTGTCTCCAAACCAATCTTTCCCTATTCAACACACTCCATACTCCGACCATCTCCGCCCCACTTCCGCCCCACTTCCGCCCCGCGACGCGCAAGTCAGAGTATCGTATGTACAGTGTATGGTATTTACGTATCTGTATTTCATAGACATCTCTCACCTCCAGGGTCTTTTCCTTTCTCACCCGACCCAATGACGCCAACATCGGGGGCCGATGGGTCTCGCATTTCTGCTCTTTGGTCCGTAAGTGTGCAAATACCCTGAAAAAGCGCCTTTCACTCACGCACCACAGGCACAGCGACAGAAACATGTCCCTGAACTATCCTCCGATTCAACTTTCACTCCTTTCTCCCTCGACCCTGACACATTGGGCGATCTCGTGCAGTCCAGGGATGTGCAGAAATTGCGTGCCCTCGGTGGTGTAAGGGGTCTTGAGGAGGAACTACGAACCGATATACACTCCGGCTTGAGCTTGGATGAGACCTACCTTGATTTTTTCGCTGTGTCTACTAATACGGCGTCCGCGGATAAAGTGACCGTCCCCGAACGCCCTTTCACAGCGGAATTTCAGCATGATGCATTTGTTGATAGGAGGAGATATTATGGGGATAATTGCCTACCTGCGAAACCGCCCCCGAGCTTTCTAGGGTTGATGTGGGCAGCTTACAATGACCACGTTTTATTTCTCTTGACTGGTGCTGCTATCATCTCGCTTGCCTTGGGCTTGTACCAGACACTCGGCACCACACACTCGGCCAACAATCCTCCCGTCGAATGGGTTGAAGGAGTATCGATCCTCGTCGCTATCGTTGTCATTACCCTCGCCGGTGCCGCAAATGATTATCAAAAGGAGCACAAGTTTCGGAAACTCAATAAGAAGCAGCAAGATCGCAATGTCTGGGTCCTTCGCTCTGCGCGAACTCACGAGGTTCCTATCTCTGAGATTGTTGTCGGTGATATTGTCCATATCAGCCCAGGGGATATTGTGCCGGCGGATGGAGTGCTGCTTAGGGGCCACCAGGTCAAATGCGATGAGTCGTCCGCGACAGGAGAGTCTGAGCCCGTGGATAAGAATTCGCTTGAGACTACTTCGACCCATGGTGAAGGATCCGAAATCGATCCTTTTATTCTTTCTCATACAAAAATCGTGGAGGGTGTCGGTGTCTTCCTTGTCGTGGCAACTGGCACACGATCAAGCTATGGGCGCATCCTACTCTCTCTCAATACCGATCCAGGTTTCACTCCTCTCCAAGTCAGGCTGAGCAAGCTGGCAAAGAATATCGCCAACTTTGGTGGCATTGCTGCGCTCGTGCTGTTTGTGATTCTGTTTATCAAGTTTCTGGTTGGTCTACGCCACAGCACCGAAACTCCCTCTGAAAAGGGACAATCATTCTTGAATGTTTTCATCCTTGCATTGACGGTCGTTGTTATCGCTGTTCCGGAGGGTCTTCCATTGGCCGTCACCCTTGCACTGTCCTTTGCCACAACGCGGATGATGAGAGACAACAACCTAGTTCGTCAACTCCGAGCTTGCGAGACTATGGGGCAAGCCACGGATATTTGCTCCGACAAAACGGGTACTTTGACAGAGAACAAGATGACTGTTGTCTCGGGCTTTTTCGGTGTTACCTCGCAATTTACTGAAAGAACAGCCATCCCAGAAATCCCTGGCGGGGAAAATAAAACATCGAGAGCAGGGTGCATGGGCATTCTCTCCAAAGAGACAATAGTTCTGTTGAAGCAATCGATCGCGATCAACTCATCCGCGATCGAAAGCCAAGGTGGAGGCAGGGAATTCCTTGGCTCCCAGACAGAAGCAGCCTTGCTGCGGTTCTCTCAAGACTACCTTGGATTGGGTCAGCTTGACCACGATCGTTCCTGTGTTGAGATCGTGGACCTTCTTCCTTTCGATGCGTCGCGCAAATATATGGTTACAATTGTCAAGCTTCCCAGTGGCTCATATCGGGCATATGTCAAGGGTGCTCCTGAGATCCTTCTTGGGAAATGTGCAGCCATAATTGGAGAGCCAATGCAGGGAGCTCAAATTGCCCCTATAACAGAAACCGATAGTCAGCAATTTGGTCAAGTAATCGCACAGTACGCCTCGCGGTCTTTGCGCACTTTTGCAGTCTGCTTCCGTGATCTTGATCAGTTACCCTTCAAGGGAGACGAAGGAATCAACTTCGACGAAGTAATGAATGGCCTCGCACTCCAATGTATTCTCGGTCTTCAAGATCCCCTTCGAGCTGATGCATGGGATGCTGTACAGACTAGTCACAAAGCAGGTCTGACGGTTCGAATGGTTACCGGAGACAATCACCTCACAGCAAGAGCCATTGCCGAGGAATGTGGAATTATCACTGACCCAGATGACATCGTTATGGAAGGTGATGAGTTCAGAGCCTTGAATGAAGACCAGCAGAAGGAAATAGTCCCACGCTTGAAGGTTCTAGCACGATCTCGTCCAGATGATAAGCGGGTACTAGTTCAGCGGCTGAAGGACCTAGGCAGGGTTGTCGCTGTCACTGGAGATGGCACTAATGATGCGCCAGCTCTGGCAGCCGCTGATATCGGGTTCTCAATGGGGATTTCCGGTACCGAAATTGCCCGTGAAGCGTCTTCGATTGTTCTGTTAGATGATACGTTCTCTTCGATTGTGAAAGCCATCATGTGGGGAAGAGCAGTGAGCGACGCAGTGAAGAAATTCTTGCAGGTAATATTGGCTTTTTATTGCTCAACCCCGAAGCCCTCGACTAATAACCATACCCTTCTAGTTCCAAATCACTATCACATTCACCTCAGTCGGACTAGCATTTGTCTCTGCAGTAGCCGACTCATCACAGGAGTCCGTCCTAACCCCAGTACAATTGATGTGGGTGAACCTGTTCCAAGATACACTGGCAGCCCTGGCCCTAGCAACAGATCCACCTCCCCGCCGGATCCTGGACCGGAAACCAGAACCAACGTCTTCGCCACTAATCACACCCAACATGTGGAAGATGATCATCGGCCAAACTGTCTACCAGATACTCGTGACACTTGTTCTATACTTCGCCGGCGCTGCCATTTTCTCCTATCACGGCGAGCATCAAACATCGCAGCTGCAGACTGCTGTGTTCAATACCTATGTCTGGATGCAAATATTCAACATGTACAAGTACGTTGACACTACTGTTCTGGGTCTCTTTCTCGTGTTGCAAGAAGCCATGCTAATACCTATACAGCAACCGCCAAATCGAAAGATCATTCAACCTCATCGAAGGAATCCACCGCAACTGGCTCTTCATCGCCATCACGACTGTGATGATGGGTGCTCAAATCTTAATCATGTTTGTTGGTGGCCGGGCGTTCTCGATAACGAGATTGACTGGTGATCAATGGGCTTATTCCCTGATTCTTGGCTTCATCTCTATTCCTGTTGGCTTTGTTCTGCAAGCTGTTCCTACTGTCGTTGTTGAGAAGCCGATGGCTTGGATGGGGAGGTTATGGGATAAAATACGGCGTCGGTAGACTAGCCACTCTCTTCAATGGTGAAATATATTCGTAACAGATTAATGCTGTAGAGACAACAATACTCTTTGTTTCAACACCAGTGCACTATGTAAGCACGGGCAGCAATCTGTCATTGCTAGATGCATCCTATTAGGGTATCAGAAAAGTAGACGACAACTGAAGCAAGCCTATTATATATAGAGCAAAAGGCGTGTGCAAGAATTACTGTCTTTGTATAGCAAACATTTCAAAGGGAGGCATGACACCTTCACATACCTATGCCCCGCGCTTCTATTAAGAAGAGTGATCTGCCTCTCTATTCTGTCTCCCTTTTCTGCTTCTTCACTCTTCTTTAGAAATAACCAATACCTGCAAACAGAAGCTTACTACCCAGTTGTTGTTATCTTCTTCATCTAGTCAACATACATCTCGCGTATCCAATATCTCCCAAACACATGGTAATAATCCAAGCGCAGCATCGGGCTCCCTCTCTGGGATTCATCGATCTTCTCTTCGAGATCCGTCGGCACATATACACATATCCGATCCCTCAAAAGCGTCGTTTTGATTTGAAATGGCTGGCGGAAGGCTATGGTTTCCCATTCAACTTTTATGAGGATTTCTGGCGCGGCAAATCCGTTGGTTCGCGTGGGCTCAACTTTCCTTATCTATTGAAACAAAGCAGCCAAGAATGCTTGAATATTCTTTACGGTGAAAAGATTATGGAAGATTCTCGAGTCACTTGGGCGAGCAGACTCTCAAGGAGTTCATCGGCGATAGAACCGACGCCGTATGCGATATTCGACCGTAATGGCACAACCTTATGGCATGATGTTCGGGAAAAGCACACCAGATATCTCATGATAGGCATCGATTTTTCCAATTCCTTGCATTTCAACACCAAAAACAGCCCAAAGTTGGGTTCCCGAATGTTTGAAGGGGAGGTTGGAAAGCTGGATCAAATGGGTTGGGCCCTATTTCGAATGCTTTGGTCAGCTTTTGGTCGTTTCAACAAAGGTCTAGCTGCATGGTCGTGAACAGAAGGAGACTTGGAGCTTGCTGACAAGTATCTACCGGAAACTTGTGTGAGAATACGAACTAGCCGTGGCCATGATTGTGTGTATTGACCGGTGCACAATTCGGGGGGAAGACTGCCTAGACTAGGATGGTATGGGCATGAAGTCTAGTGACGTTTAGTTAGACCAAACCCACAAATAGGAACGACCTGTCTACCACGTTCTTTCCAAGAATCAAATGGGCTTATTTAGCCGTTAGCTTGTCCATGTGTCTTGATAACTTTTTTCTTACAATCGCCTCTAGCGCATTGCTGGTACGCCCGAAATAGGCTTCCACCATTTGCCCGGGCGTGGCAAAAGATTTCAGTCAGCTAGCGCAGCACTGGAGGGACGTCCCGGCCTATCATGGGTACTTAGAAGAGCGAACTCAGGAAAGACGAACTGCCACTGGGTGGACTCAGGCTGAAAGACCCTGCAGATGCTATTGACTGTGTCCAATTTGCCCTGGATCATGCGAACCAGGCGGCCAGATCGGACAATTCAAGAATGCGTCTATGCGAACGCCTCGAGCTGAGTGGGGTCGAATCATGCGAGGAATACAGTGAGAAAATAGAGTGGAATTCAAATTCAATCTGGATTTGGCTTTCTGTCGTAGGGTCATCGAATCTGTTCAGTTCCAGTTTGGTTTTGACATAGGTCGCATACTCCGTTACTCAGTACTCTGCATATCGTAACCCGGATCTCATCTTCGGTCGAAACAGTAACACGTGCTCGGAGTGCCCGTTTGCCAAGAACATATCGCGTGTAGCATCAGCGATGTCTTCTAGAACGTCAGGAGACAGAAATGACGAGAGATGAGGAAGTGATAAGTCTGGGGAAACAGGAGCCTCCCATCTCCTCCACGTGTGGGCTGCCCGCGCTCTTATAGGCCGGGGAAGGAGCGCCCCCATATGCGCCAAGAACACCATTGGCCAATCACACCACTTTGAAGTATGGAAATATCATGTCCGCTCCAGGCCTGCCAAGATCTTGTCCAAATTGCTTCGTGGACCCTAAGCTCGCTGAGCCGAGCTTCTTTTCTTGGCTCCGGCCTCTCATTGCATGGTTGCTTGTATCAAACGCCCTCTTCTGAGCCACTCCAATGCGAACCAACCCCAACCTAGCTCCCTCCGGCTGGCATTGGCTTTCTGCCAAGAGAACATGCGAGCCATGCTGTCCTCCCGTTGCGAGTCCGGTCCGCACGTGTGGTCAGGATTGCCTAAAGCGGAAATCGGACTGCGAGGACCATGCCTGCCACGGGGCGTACCGGGCATGCAATGCCAGATCAGCGAATTTTCCGTACATAAAAGACCCTGTCTACCTTGGTCTTTGCTTTCTTTTCTTGCAACCGATAGCCCTACAGTGTCTTGACTTGATCTCCAAGCCACCAAGATGTATCTCCATCAGTATGACTACATCTTTGCCATTGGCACATTGTTTGCTATGCTTGATGCATACAACAACGGTGCAAGTTAGTCTAACTTCTTCTCTTCTATTTGACTATCATACTAACATGACTATCGAACAGACGATGTCGCCAACTCATGGGCTACCAGTGTCTCCTCGCGGTCCATCTCCTATCGTCAGGCTATGATCCTCGGTACCATCTTCGAGTTCCTTGGAGCAGTCACTGTCGGCGCCCGTACTGCTGAGACCATCAAGAACGGTATCATCCCTACCTCCGCCTTCCAGAACAATGCCGGTGTCCAGATGTTGGCCTTCACCTGCGCCCTCGCTGCCGCCTCCTCATGGGTGATGTGGTGTACCCGTCACTCTGCTCACGTCTCCTCCACCTACTCTCTCATCTCTGCCGTCGCTGGTGTCGGTGTTGCAACTGTCGGTGCTTCCAAGGTCCAATGGGGCTGGAACAATGGCAAGGGTCTCGGTGCCATCTTCGCTGGTCTGGGCATGGCTCCCGTCATCTCTGCTGGATTCGCTGCTTCTATCTTTATGCTCATCAAGCTGATCGTCCACATGCGCCGCAACCCTATCCCCTGGGCCGTCTGGAGTGCTCCTTTCTTCTTCCTCGTTGCAGCCACCATCTGTACCCTTTCCATCGTTTACAAGGGTTCCCCTAACCTGGGCCTGAGCAAGAAAGCCCCCTGGTATATTGCCGCCGTCACCGTCGGCACCGGTGGTGGTGTCTGCATCCTCTCCGCCATCTTCTTCGTTCCCTGGCTGCACGCCCGTATCATCAAGAAGGACGCCTCCGTCAAGTGGTACCACGTCATCCAGGGCCCTCTCCTCTTCAACCGCCCTATCCCCACCGATTCCGAGGTCGCCAAGGTCCCTAACTACGCTGTGATCCAAGACGAGGAAGAAGACACCCACCTCCACATCCACGAGAAGCAAGCCGAAACCGGCGTAGCCTCCATCTCCGCCTCCACCGACGAGCGCTCCGTCGACAAGCTCGAGGCCAACCAGCTCACCTACAAGGAACTCATGGCTCAGTCCGACGCCCGCCACAACGCCAGGCTCCTCAACAGCCGCGGTCCTCTCGGCTGGGGTATGCGCCTCCTCCGCGACAATCCCATGGGCTCCGGTGAGCTCTACGAGCTGCGCAATATGATGATCATGGCCAAGCGTATCCCCGCCATCCTCACCGTCGGCCTCCTGTACGGTTTCCACTACGACATCCACAGCGCCCAGACCGGTGTCCATGGTACCCCCGAGGGTGAACGCATGAAGCGCGTCTACGCCCATGCCGTAAAGTATCCCAACGAGGTCGAGCACACCTATTCTTTCATCCAGATTATCACCGCCTGCACTGCCTCCTTCGCTCACGGCGCCAACGATATCGGTAACTCCGTCGGCCCCTGGGCTGCTATCTACTCCGCCTGGTCGACTGGTGATCCTTCCAAGTCTAAGAACCCGGTTCCTATCTGGCAGCTTGCCGTTCTGGCTCTCTGCATTTCTATCGGTCTCTGCACATACGGTTACAACATCATGAAGGGTAAGCATTCCATCCCAATTCCAATTCCAGTCCTTGTTCTTTTACTAACTTCCCCTTCTATAGTCATGGGTAACAAAATTACCTACCACTCTCCCTCCCGTGGTTCATCCATGGAAATGGGCGCCGCCATCACCGTCCTCGTCTTCTCGCAGTATTCCCTGCCTGTCTCTACCTCCATGTGTATCACCGGTGCTACTGTCGGTGTCGGTCTCTGCAATGGCTCGTTCAAGGCTGTTAACTGGCAGCGTGTTGGTCTCTTGTTGCTTGCTTGGATCATGACTATTCCTATTGCTGGCACCATTGGTGGGTGTCTCATGGGCTTGTTCATTAACGCCCCTCATTTCCTCCGTTAGATTTTGGTCCTCATTCTTTTTGGGCTCGGTCATTTGGAGAGAGTTATATGTGTAAAACTTAATCATTTTTCGATATCCAATCATTCAGAATCCAATCATTTTTAAAATTCAATCTTTAGATTTTGCATGTCAATTGTTTTTAGTGTGGGACGAAGTATATACTTAGGTGAGGCCTGGCACCCTTTGTACTTGTAAAATATGCCACATTACTTCCGAGTTATTATTTTGACATATATTTCTTTATTGAAGCAAGATAATGCGATCTTTAAGCCCTTGAGACAAGCCTGTCGAATTTAATTTAATAAGATACGGGGCCGTTAGGTCAGAACTTGTTTCAGCGCTCTAGAGATATCCGCCCCCCCTTCTGTATGTAGCCACGCGCTAGACGTAGGCAACCCCTACCCCTTTATGCTCTGTTCGCACACTAGCCTACATATTAGTTGACATCTAGCTTAGTACTTTCGTGATCGCGCTCGAACCGTACATGTGACGTTTTGGCCATTTTTCATTGCCCGCTTACTAATCAATCACTGGCTCTTTTCAATGGCAGAAAAACAACACGTGGGCTACAGTAGATCCAATCTGGACATCTGTGCCTTTTGTGAGGCTCACGGCCTGTTTGCCCCTATACGAGGAGTATATGAGAATATATATTTTTTTATACAGCCAAGAGTTAGATAGGTCCTCCACCCCTTCCCCTCTTCTATGGAAGGATTGCAAAAAAATGGTTTCCCTGGGAATCGAACCCAGAACCTTTCCGGAACACTTGCTTGAAGCAATTGTTAACGGAAAATCATAACCGCTAGACCAGGAAACCAGTTGATATAAGATATCACCAACTTTGACGTTATAAGCAAAAATCTCGCGTTCTCCAAAATACACTGCAAGTTTGTTAGTCCCCCGCGTGAAGGGAACGTATCAAAAAGGAAAGATCGGCAGGTTACAAGGATCACCTAATTAGCCTCTTAAAAGCACATTATTCAAATGTTTAAAATGAACGCAAAAATCACAACAATAGGTCAGAACAAAGATATCCTACACGTTCCGGTCCTGGATACATATCCTGCAAACTACCAACCCTATATAAATCCCAAAGTTACAACAATCTCACATCTCTTCAACAACCATAGCCAGCCCTTCCATCTCACGTCTCAAGTAATCCATAGTAACGATATCTGTGCGAGCCCGCTTCTCAATAGACGTCCAATCTCGCTCAGACATGACAATCTCACCAGGTTGACGAGGAAAAATCTTCATTGGACGGCTGCGTTTTGAAAGGCCTATGTGGACGCAGCCAAATTTGAATTTCTTGATTTGGGAGGGTTCAACTGGGGTGCCGAATTGGTAGGGCTTGCTGACTTCTACGTTATTGACGACGACAGACTCCATGGACGAGGTTGGGCTGGGCTTTTCTGGGACTGGATTCGGAGCGAGGGCAGGGGTAAGAGTAGGCGCCAAAGCAGAAACAGAAGGAGAATTAGTACATTGTGTGATCTTCTCTGTGGGACCTTGCGTGGGTTCTGCTCTCGAGTGTACATCCGTCGATTTTGGGGCCTGTGGCCGAAGCCCATCGTAAATTGGCGAGATTTTACCACGAAGTGGCTCACTGAGAATGACAGGAAGCTCAATGCCTCGCTCTGGGTCCTCGAGGATACTCTTCCAAGTCCTGATCGGTCGCTTACGCTTCCGGGATTTGAGAGAGACAGAGTTATTACTGGATGGCTCGTATCGAACCCCCGCATCAAAAGCCCTTTTGTAATCCTCCAATCTGCGAGCACGGCCTTCTTTACTGATTCCATGCCGCGTAATATCCATGTACAAGCGCACCTCCTCGCCTTCAATGCAGGTATCATCCATGACAGAGTTCTGTGCAGCGGCAAAGTGTGTATGGGCCTGCTTGAAGTTTTCACGGAAGAATTCGACGCGGCCAAGCCAGAATTGACACCTGGCGACGAGAATATCGTCCGGTATGGACTTTGCAATCTCGATGGCGTCTTTGGTGTGCTTCTCGGCTTCGTCGGGGTTCTTTTCTCGGATGCATACTTGCGCAGTGCGGAGGAGGAATTTGATTCCGAGATCTCGGAATCGTCTGGCGAGGTTCGGCGGTAGGGCTGGGTAATCGATGTTCAGGATGTGATAGAAACATTTAGCCTTGTCGTCGTTTGCTTTGCTGACTCGCGGCTTGAACCGTGATTGCTCGTGTGTTGAGAAGGGAGAGACGTGTTGGAAGACTGGGTCGGTGAGGATTTCGTACATGTTTACCATGAGAGAGGCTACTTTTTTATGCCTGGAATCGGCAGGGTTCTCCGGAGTCAGATTGGGGATTAGAGAGTCCATTTTGTTTGCTGTAGCGATGGGCTAGAGTTGTGCTTGCCAGAGAGACGTAAAGTGCACGAGGGAATAAGAGATCACTCAGAAGTAGGTTGTTGGCCAATAAAGCACTGTGGTCCTTATTTATTTGCTGGTCGTAGAGAGCTCACAGTATGAATGATGAAAGAGTCTCAGACATAAAGAATGGCTTTGTTTCGTCTTAGGGCTCCAATGATAATGATGTTTGTGCTTCTTTGTCGTCTCCTGAGTTTATTGTTCCAGACTAACAACGGTGAATGATAGGGAGTAAATCGGTAGATCAATTATGCTAGACCTTTCTATGTTTTCTCCTTTCTCTTAGTCGTTTTGGTTCGCTTTTGTTCTTGTTCCTCCGCACGAACTGTATATGCTAAAACAAACGAGCCCCTGATTAAGCCGCAAAGATTATGCAGTCTATTTTCTTACACTGAGACCTATCTGAACCCTTGTATCCTAAACGTCAATTTCATGAGTTATCAGACCTGATTCTTTAATACTAGTACTTATATGACCCTGAGCCGCAGAAAGCTGTGATAGAACATGCCCTAAGATGGTAACTTGGTCTTGAACCAACACTATTAACGAAGGACATAGCCAAGGAAGAGCTAATAACAATGAAATTTAGTTGATCTATGTACAAGGTTGTATAGCGTATTTTATAATCAAGGCAATGTTAGTCTCTATTCAAGGGCGTAGCCATACGTACATGTGAAATACTAAAATTACGATGTGGCGTGTATGGGATTCGCACTCGAATTGATACCAAGCAAACACTCCTCATGGTGCGTATCACTCTCTCATTATAACTGTGACTTACTGACTGCCATCTACTGAAGCTCTGCAGTGTGTGACTGATTAAGGTTTATATTAGATATATCGGATCAAGAAATCGAAGTAAAAGTGTTCAAAAAGAAGCCCAAATAACAAAAAGGAAGTATTCGCTTCCCCATGCTTTCCTGAATCTTTGCCACGATGATGGCAAGGCATGCTCTGATGCTATGGGGAGCGAAGAATTAGCTTGTTAGTTCATCAACTGAACAGCATAGGAGCTGCAATTCGCGAGCTTTTTCGCTGTACTGCGGGGCTCGCATTATTGACTCTTCGAAGCACAAGTTAGCATCCTCGTACCTTTCAACTGCCATGAGATTCTTCCCTTCGATAAAGTAGGCCACGCCAAGATTGACCTCAGTTTCGGGTCTATCATCAGTGGTGTCCATGTAATCATCGTTTATCTTATGAAATATGCGGCTGGAGAGGTCCCAGTCATCGTGGGAGTGAAAAATCGCACAAAGAAAGAGCTCACGTCGCATAAATTCATTATAGGACAGAGATTGATCCTCAGCAAGTTTATCGGCAATTTCGTATGCCCACTGTGAGTCACCATCGAGCCAAATTTGCTCTGCTTCTGCAAGTAAAGTGTCAGTGGTTGAACAGAGCCATATATCCTTGATCCATGTTCCTTCTGGCTGGGAGCAAACGGGGTTGAGAAGCCGGCAGTAGTCACGGGTAGACAAGAGGGGGGAATTGCTGTCAGTATCTAGGCAACGACTGCAGGTAAACCGAGGCTCATTTACTAGCAGGGAAAGGCTATGGGAATCCAGGGACAACGGATCATTTAACAGCAGGGAAAGGCCATGGGCATCTAGGCCACGATTGCTCGTAGACCAAGGCTCGACCAACTGTTGAGAAATGTGGTTAGCGTTCAGACCGCTGGAGGTGGCTTGTGTAAGCAGAACATCGTATTCTGTGAGTAGCTTGGTCATCTCAGAGATTGTATCATTTCTGCTGGATAGGGCTAATGCCAACTGTACATTCTCTCGTTTGAATTCGAGAATGACAGCCCAGTGGCCCGATTGAGGCTCTTCCTCCTGAGGCTCATCCAATAATAGCGAAACACTGTCAGGATCCAGGCCAATATTGCCGGTAGACAGAGGTTCATTCAACTGTGTAGGAATGTGATCAGCATACAGGTCAATGGAGGTGGCTTGTGTGAGCAGGACATCGTATTCTGCGAGCAGCTTGGTCAGCTCGGAGATTGTATCATTTCCGCTGGATACGGCTAGTGCCAACTGAACATTCTCTCGACTGACTTGGCGAAAGATATCCCAGTGGTTGAATTGAGGCTCTTCCCACTCAGGCTCTTCTTGCTGCTTAGAGAGAGAACGACGGGTTATATCAAACATTGTGGTGGGTGGATAAAACTTACTAAGATGGATGAAGGATGCCCAGATAGGTTGGAATGACTGTGAAGTTAACTCTGCATAGGGGCATGAGTGCGACCTTTTAAGCAATTTGGAGGCAGGGGCAAGGAAGAGCAGTGAAAGCAATGATGTATTGCTTTGTTACATTTGATCTCATAAAGTCCTTTATCTTCTACAAAGATCGTTACGGAAGAGGCCGCTCATTTGGTGGTAAATGGGCCTTCTCCCCGCTTGTCCAACCGTCATCTAAAACGTTAAGGACGGCGTTTTACTTGTATGGTTCTTGGAGATTGGAGCTGGCACGCACGTCACAAAGGCTAACTTCAATTATGTACTTTGTTTAACTTCAAAGAAAATAGCTTGAAACACATGTAAGAAGAGTTTGGAAACGGCGACACTGTGATAGTATGATGCTCTTCGGAAACTGTATATCGATGTTAGTGCTTCAAGACCTGGGCGTTGGAGCGTAAATTGCCACGATTCACCGCTCGGATGCAAACCAGCCAAACCAAACATACCTGCAAACAGACAAAGCAGACAAACAGCGCTATGACCTCATCAGCCCGGAAGCTCCCCACATCTTCAGCAACTTGACTGGCAATGCAAACAACAATGGAGAAACTCAGACGTCAGACGGCATAACTCGGGTGACTCAAGCGCTCTCTGATCCAATCTGATACTTGGAAATGTTCCGCCCTGAGCCGCTTATACGATCAGCCCACGAATCTAGACTTGCGGGGGGGTCGTGATGCAAACATGTTCACTAAGACAAAACCGGGTTGTAGAGCTGCTGAGGTCTTTATAAAGCCCACACAATGTAACATTAAGGAATTTTCCTCAACCCCTGTTCTCTTTTAAGCTTGAAATCCCCTCCGAGGCCCACGGGTCTTGTCTAATAATTTGTCATAGAGATTGGTGCCATTAGCTCCTTCTAGGTAAGAGTGTCATTTTAGACTTCATTGTGAAACTTCTTTTTTGTCTGTGGTCTCTACCTTCTACATAATTCAATGGCTTTTTATTCTGCATGCTCCTAGTTTTTGATCTGACCTCTATAGATTGCGCGAACATGTCTCCTACAGCTCTGAGAAATACCGACACGGTCGAGATCGTGGATATTCACCAGAATGACATGGAATTCTCACTCGTGGATGATATCTACAAGAATTTGGACCCGCCAGCAGATACACCACGCACATTCCCTACCCTCCTACTCTACGACGCCAAAGGACTGAAGCTCTTTGAGAAGATCACATACCTGGACGAATACTATCTTACCAACACGGAAATTGAGGTCTTGACAAACCATGCAAAGCGGATAGTCGAGCGCATTCCGGATAATGCACAGTTGGTGGAGCTTGGTAGTGGGTCAGTTATCCCTACAACCGGGTCTACAACGATTGCGTCTGACATTCAATAGAAACCTGCGCAAGGTCGAGATTCTACTCCGCGAGTGTGAACGAACGGAAAAGAAAGTGGACTATTACGCGTTGGACCTCTCCCTGGTGGAATTGCAGCGGACGTTCTCCGAGATCTCGCCCGAGAGCTTCGTGCATGTGGGATTCCATGGTCTCCATGGAACCTATGATGACGCCGTTGGGTGGCTGAATAGCCCAGAAAACAGACAGCGGCCGACGGTTGTCATGTCAATGGGATCTTCCATGGGTAACTTTGGTCGTACCAGCGCTGCCGAATTTTTGGGTCGTTTCTCAAAGTTGTTGAGCCCGTCTGATTTCATGCTGATCGGATTGGACGCCTGCAAGGACCCCGAGAAGGTGTTCAAAGCATACAACGATAGCGAAGGCATTACCCGCCAATTTTATGAGAATGGCCTACTGCATGCCAATGCGGTGCTTGGCTTCGAGGCCTTCAAGCCGGGTGAATGGGAGATCTTGACTGGGTACGATAGTCGCGAGGGACGGCATCAAGCCTGCTATGCTCCCAAGGTCGATGTGGTCATCAATGGCATCAAGATCCCTAGAGGGGAAAAGCTCGTCTTTGAGGAAGCGTGGAAATACGGCCGGGATGAACGGGATGAGTTGTGGCGAAAGGCAGACCTAATCTCCCAAGTGGAGTTTGGGAACCCTACTGATGATTATCGTGAGATTTGAGCCTTGCTTCACTCTTCCTGTACTTTTCCACTAACATGGTGATAGACATCCACCTACTATCACCCGCCGCGCTGGATATATCCACAGACCCTTTGCAATATGCAACTCAGCCAATCCCAACCATCGAGGATTTCCAATCACTATGGACTGCGTGGGATCTTGCGACCAAAACCATGATTCCCCGAGAAGAGCTTTTGTCAAAGCCAATCAAGCTCCGAAATGCGCTTATATTTTACCTCGGCCATATCCCAACATTTTTCGGTACGTTTACTTACGGTTTCATCATGTTCGTTGCTAATTGAGTGCTCCGTAGATATCCATTTGACCCGGGCATTACAGGAGGATCCTACTGAGCCTAGATATTATCCAAACATTTTCGAGCGTGGCATCGACCCAGACGTTGAAAACCCGGAGCAATGTCATAACCACAGTGAAATTCCCAACGAATGGCCACAGTTGGACGAAATCCTGGATTATTCAGAGAAAGTACGAAACCGCGCGAGATCAATTCTACAGGAAGGATCTGCATCACAAGACCGAACTCTCGGAGAGGCCCTTTGGATTGGTTTTGAACATGAGGCCATGCATCTGGAGACCTTCCTCTATATGCTACTTCAGAGCGACAAAACCTTGCCACCTACGGGAGTTGAGCGTCCAAATTTCGAGGAAATTAGCCGAAAGGCCAAGAAGGATGAGAAACCAAATAAATGGTTCACTATCCCGGCGCAGACAGTAAAGATTGGCTTGGATGACAGCAATGAAGAAGTCATGCCCAAGAGTTCTTTCGGTTGGGACAATGAGAAACCCCACAGAACGGTCTATGTCCGTGCCTTCGAAGCCCAAGCACGACCCATTACCAACGGTGAATATGCCAAATATCTACAAGCTCATGGCATTCAAACACTCCCTGCATCTTGGGTGTTGATTTCACGACAAGACAATCCGATCTCGAGAGGAATTGGCCAATCAAGTGCCCAAGCTGGATCGAGTTCCCATTCAACGGGCTTCTCCACAGACAGTATTGCTGTACGAACAGTCTTTGGGCCTGTCGCTTTCAAGCATGCCCAGGACTGGCCGTTGAGTGCTTCTTATGACGAACTAGCGAGCTATGCAAAGTGGATGAACTGCAGGATCCCGACCTTTGAAGAAACCAAGAGCATCTATCAGTACTCTGAACAGATTCAGGATCATCAAGTTACAAATGGTTATAGGTATGTTTGACAGCCCTATCTTTTGATACCAAAATCTAATGGCAGTTGCAGCAATGGGACAAATGGAACTTATTCCCACGATATGAAGCCTCGCTCTGCTGACCAGGGACTCTTCTGTGATCTCAAGGGCTGCAATGTGGGTTTCAAGAACTGGCACCCCGTCCCAGTTACTCCCAATGGCGACAAGCTAGCTGGTCAAGGTGGCATGGGAGGTGTCTGGGAATGGACCAGCACACCATTGACGCAACACGAGGGATTCAAGCCTATGGAAATTTACCCTGGATACACATGTGAGTGATAGTTTGACTACTTTGACCGGTCCTGGGCTAATCAATACTCTACAGCGGACTTTTTCGATGGCAAGCACAATGTTATCCTTGGAGGCTCTTGGGCTACGTTGCCCCGCATCGCCGGCCGGACTAGCTTGTGAGTATAGATTTTGATAATAAGCTAAGCAGACCAACTAACATCATACAGCGTCAATTGGTACCAACACAACTACCCATATGCCTGGGCTGGAGCGCGGCTGGTGAGAGATGTGTAGAATAGAGTGCAATGACTTCATCGATAAGATAGAGATAACGTGACTGCCCCTCATCCCTTGCTTCTCCAATTCCTTCAGTTTTTCTCTTCATATAAGATTGCTAGGTCCTCATTATGTCTCTGGAAACTATCAAGACTATCTCTCCGGCCACCAATGAGCCCGTTGTCACCCGCGCCGGGGTTTCATCGGAAGATCTGAGACAGATCCCCGAGACCGCCCAAGCTGCATTCCGGACATTCTCCCAGTCCACCACTCTGCAACAAAGACAGAAGATTGTCGAGAAGGCCCTGGATATTCTCGAAAAGAAGCAGGATGAGCTGGCCCGCGAAGTCACTGAGCAGATGGGCCGGCCCATTGCCTACACCGGTGTCGAAGTCGCGACCGCAATCAAGCGCAGCCGTTACTTGACACGCATCAGCACTTCGGTGCTTGGTGAGGAAGGTATTGTGCCTGGAGAAGAAGAAAAGGGCTTCAGACGGTATATCAAGCGTTCACCTGTTGGTGTTGTGCTGATTATCTTCCCTTGGAACGTGAGTTCAAACTGAAGCAGATGATGTGGACCAATGACAGCCCCCCACTGATCAATATATATCTACATAGTACCCCTACCTCACACTTGTGAACAGCTTGATCCCCGCCATCCTCGCTGGAAATGCCGTTATTCTCAAGCCCTCGCCCCAAACCCCTACAATTGTTGAGCAGTTCGCCTCGGCTTTTGCTGAAGCTGGTCTTCCCAATAATGTGCTCCAATTCTTCCACAGTGGATCCTTTACTCTCATTGAGACCCTGGTGCGCTCGCCATTAGTGAACCACATCTGCTTCACCGGCTCAGAGGCGGGTGGTCTGGCAGTGCAAAAGGCAGCTGCGGATCGTATTGTGAATGTTGGTCTTGAGCTGGGCGGTAAGGACCCGGCCTACGTGCGAGAGGACGTGGATCTTGCCTGGGCCGCCGAGGAAGTCGTTGATGGAGCTATCTTCAACAGCGGACAGAGCTGCTGCGCCATCGAGCGTGTCTATGTCCATGAGAAGGTCTACGACGGCTTCATTGCGGAATTAAAGAAGGTTCTGAGCAACTACCGTGTTGGCGAACCCTCCGATCCTAAGACCCAAATTGGTCCCGTTGTGTCTAAGCGTGCCAAGGAGGCTATCCTCGCCCAAGTTGAGGATGCTGTTAAGAAGGGCGCGAAGAACGAGACTCCTGCCAACGAGACCTTTGAAAACTTCCCTCCCAATGGAAACTACGTTAAGCCCACGCTTCTCACTGGTGCCAACCATGATATGGTCGTCATGAAGGAGGAGACCTTCGGGCCTGTGATTCCTGTGATGAAGGTCTCCGGTGATGACGAAGCTGTCAAACTCATGAATGACAGTGATTTCGGTCTCACCGCCAGTGTCTGGAGTAAGGATATTGCGGCTGCCGAGAAACTGGTTGAGCGTGTTGAAGCTGGCACCGTGTTTGTCAACCGATCTGACTTTCCCAGTCCTGTGAGTACAGTCTATTTTAGTGGCAATGAACTCTTTGCTAACCTATCTTCGCAGGACCTCGCGTGGACAGGCTGGAAGAACTCTGGCCGTGGCGTGACCCTTAGCAGATTCGGATTCGAGCAGTTCGTCAAGCTCAAGAGCCACCACATCAAGGACTACCCCAAATAAATGGATACATAACGAGATATGGATTTTCTTGTTCTGTCATTTAGAAACAAACATGGATATATAGACTGTGGGGCACTGGACATACTTCAGAATCAAGCAACTTCGTCAAATGCAAACTCAAGGGGGATATTCATGGCCCACTTCATTCCAATAAGATAACGAACGGAAACGGCAAAAGGTAACTTGGAGAGGGGATCACCATTAGCCCTCCCGCCAACTGACGGCCACTTTACATGTACCAAGTGCACCTATAACGCTACCCTAAATAGGCACAAGGGTATCCACCAAGGTAGGCGAAGCATGTCCCTGCCAAAAAGTCAACAACCAAAGAATGGGCTAATAGCGCAGGGGACAATATTTCCGCGTTATGGTCAGAAACAACTCCGGTATCCACCGGAGCAATTAGGCAGTTTCCGCAAGAATGTAAGCCAAGCTTCAGAACACGGGTAACCACCCCCGCTAGCACTGACTATGTTCCAATAATATGTCGTTTCCAGGTAGCTAGGTAGGTTCGAGGTTAATTTGGTAGGGAATTACATAGCTGGAAGCACCTTGCATAGCAAGGACCTCACCGGGTGGATGCCAGCGCGTCTTCGATACGCGATTTGTACACGCATCGTACGTACAGTATGTGCATACTGAACGTCAACGTTATACGTTTATATGTTTACCCGATATAATGGTAGGTTCAAATATCCAATATGGCGTTTCTACGGAAATTGAGGATCTATTCTGCTGGTAATTTCACTGGGAATGAGTTTCCGCATTGAATAGCTCATCCCTGCGGTTCAGTCGAGTTTAAGGGTTTCCCGTTTGCCCAGATGAAACACATAAACAATAACCCTCATTTCCGAAAACAACTTCAGTCTTTAGCTCTCATCTCGCATTTTGTCACATTAATGATGCTGGAATGCGTACCTGCGTGAAACTTGTGCCTAGGACCCCCTAAAAAGACCTTTGTGAGCTGTTCTTTGACTCGGCATAGCTCCGATGCAAGGGAGGCTGAAAAGAAAAATACACGGACCATCCCATTCCAGGCCTCGCAGGCACCCGCAAGGTTTCTGTGCGGTTGAATCTGTTCTGGCATCTCTGGAAGTGGTCGATCTATCGAGTAATAAAGGGAATAGCTCCGTACAGTAACAAAGGACGCCGAGGCGAGGAAGCCGTCTTTTCCTTTCGGGATTGTGATTGTGGCTGGAACATCCAATTTTAGAGTAGGAAATACGGCAGATGTGAAATTCCCTGTAGTATTATCATGGTAAATGACACGGATACGTAATTATTGAGGGTTGAAGATCAAAGCACTATACCACACATCACCATCATCAGATGCGGATCGGTTGCACTAGGCTTGACCACATAGCTAACCCTGAGAACAAGCCCAAGATCATCCCTGTCAGTGACGAATCTATGATAGATCGGCAATGCATCCAAGAAAGGTCTAAAATTACATTGCCGGACCCGTGTCCTTTGACGGCCGAGCATCCGGGGCAAAGACAAAGAAATAACAAGGCAAAGAGCTATTCAAAGCTGCCTCGCCTTGTCTTGAAAGAAAGCCGATTATTGTATAGACAATGTTGCCGAGCTTTGCAGGCCCTCGCATTCATGCACATATACGACCCAACAAACGGGGACCGGGAAATCGGCAACTGGTCATTATCGAAAGATTCCTGGGGAAACGGTAAAGAAGCTTAAAAAACCGACATGGGTATTTCGTCCTAAAAGGAACAGGAATGAAGTACGGAGTGGGACTCGAGGGCTCTCTTTGCTTCTCCCTTTTGCCCCTTTAGTCTGGCTCTCGCTCCACCGGCTCCACTGAGGGTCAAGCGCCCAGTGTAATCTGCATGGGTTTATGATGCATTTGATTCCCTACAGGCTGCAGGTCATAAGGATCTTGCTGCCTGTAATGCCCATCTGCCGTTGTTGCATTTGATGCTTTGCAGCAGATCGAGGCAGGGAACCGTTTATGCACAGATAGAGGTGTACAGATCCGATGGATAGGTAGTTGCATGTTCACGAATAGCCGGAATAGGCACACCGGCATTTGGATATTTCCTTCCACAGCTAATCCCTGACCCAATCTCCTAGGGGGGACCCGCCGCTGCCGCCAGGGGACTGCCAGGAATGTGTCACAGACTCAGCAAAGGGACGGAGTATGTCTTTTTTGACGGGCGACCCTGCCGAGCCTATCATCCTGTCCATGCCACAGGCCCGGCTGTCGCCTAGTTCAACCTGCATGGGCGAGACCGTGGATCAGCTTATCCTTGACACGCCGAGAATAGCATTGATGTGCATACTGCCGGTAACTTTACGGCATTAGTATATGTACTCTCCCTGTGCCTCATTTTTTGACTCTCTTCGTTCATTCACGCCTCGGTGCTGTAGAGCACATCCAACATCGTTTCTTTCTTGTTTTTCTTTGTTGCCGACAACAGTCCCTCGTTTCGCGTTGTCCCTTGTATAGCATTCGTTTCACCACAGCGTTGCCTTTGTTGCATTTCCTCGTCCCATTTCGAGGACATTTCCGCTGAAATTTGCATTGTTCCAAGCCCTCCACGACTTTCAACCCGACTCTTTATAAAGAGCCCGTATCCGCCTGCCGGATCAACCTAACAACATCAACCCAACATGGAATGCTTTCGGCAAGTCTTCCGGTGCATCAAGGCACCCTTCACACGCAACAAAGGAAGGATCATTGAAATTGTAAGTCTAGTTGAACACCGTAGGCACTTGAGAGTTTGGCTGTTTGTTGGAAGGACGGTCGCTAACCAGTACATCAAACAGGGTCCTCCCACCAACTTCCGCAAAGAAGAATTGCCTGCCTGCTTCTCTGATGCCGAGTCAGTCCTCTCGCCCAGCCAGCCCCCGACAGAGCGACCAGATCTGACCAATCAATCACAGCACGCTGACGTCGCAGGACAGTCGGACAGCGACCGTGGAGGAGAAAGATGGAGCCACGATCGAAATGGTGTCACTCCAACCATCGACATCGACGAAGAGCAAGGTCCAAAATCACGTCCGCAGAATGAGCCTGAGGCTGTCGCAGCCCGCTTCCGGGAGCGTATAAAGTTGCCTCGAATGTGGAAGTCGAGCTCAGCTATTGCTCAAGATTTCAAGGCCCCGGCCGAATCGATCACTATGAACGAGGTTTGAACTGTCTGATTGAAATTATGAGAGGAGGAATTAATTCGGGGCGAGATTGTTTGAAGATCACACTAGAAATGTCGGGACCTCATTATGCCGGGATTTGTCTTGCCTGGTAGAAGGCGATTTGGTGATGTTATTAGAGGTAGAGATTATTGACGGCGATGGCTCTGGAAGTTCATCAAGGTCATCGAAAAGTGATTGTACTCTTGACTTATATTCGGGCCGAGAATTCGCCGCCTTGACTTTTGATCTGGACGTTGTGCTGTTTCGTAGCTTTGCTCGCGGTGTATTTTGATCGTCAGATTGGAGCTTCCGTGGCATAGAATGTGCATTCCTCGGAGGCGGTAGCCTAACCGCCTCGTGTTGGATATCTAGATCGTCATCAGAGTCTGAAGCAGTCTCTTCGTCGAGCTCAACAACTTGAGCTGCTGCTGCTCTTGAGATTGGAGTCGCGCTCCTGGTGCTGTTCACTTGAGCTTGTCCATTACCCGGAGGAGGTGCCTGCCCCGCTTGCAAAAAGCCTGCTGCAGCTCTCGAGGACGACTTGAGCACATGTCTGCCTGCTAGGGACCGTGCTTTCCGCGGGCTGGTCATGAGATCGTGTAAGTGGGTTCCGGTCCACCTCTGGTCATCCTCTTCGTGGTCATCAATCTGCTCGTCGGGGTTCTGGCCATCTAGCCGTGCCAGTCCAGCTTTCTGTCGTTGCCTGAAGGCCTCACGTTCTCGTTGTCGTTCCGCTTCTTTGGAAACAGGAGTGCGGCCATCTGTTGGCCTCTCAATCACTCCAAGTGCGGCTGCATTTTCAGCCTTGACTTCCTTTCGCCGACGAAGGTACTCTGCGTAATGGAGATGTTGTGTGAACGTTTGCGCGACAGCATAGAATTCATCCTCCACCATTACCCAACCATCATCACGTTCGATTCCATCGAGCAAAAACCTGTTGTAAATCATTAGCGACTGTCTCTGTTTGGTGGAGTGTGGTCGCGATCATACTCTTCAGAGGGGCATCGTTTTATTGGAGATGACGGTGGTGTTTGAGCTGGCAAAGGGTCCGCGTATTAGAATATACCACATATAGATGACGAGATCAAAGCGTACATGACCTAAAGAAGTCGCGCTTTTCGGGGGAGATTGGGGGGTTCTTCGGTGTCACGTCGCGATCAGGAGCGGCCTCGGTTTTGACGCGCTTTCTCGGTGTAGACTCATTCTTCACTGGTGTGCCATCCTGGGCCCTAAGCCAGGGCAGGGTTCTCGGCATTATAGAAGCGCATTAAGAGATGAAACGGAAAAAGAGTGGAAAGATGACCATGGAGGAAATAAAGAAAGAGAAGTTGCCCGTTATCTCCGATAAGTGAGGTCACCCTACGCATCATGCGCCTACAATTCTGCTTCACTACATTATGAGAATCCTGTATGTATAGCTCCCGTTCTTTGGGTATCTAATGTCATGGACATTTGTAATGCAAGATATGAAGAACTAAACCGCCTGAGAACGCCTCGAGAATGTGTGCCCGAATCCCGAAATCAACGGCTCTGCCGGTAGAACGCCGATGCGACTGAAAGAGAAAGGAAAAGCAAACGCCATCTCTGTCCACCCATGTCCCACTTTATGCCTCGCCGGGACGCTTGCTGTTGCAGCTGACGATCTTGACCCTGTCCGCCGACACCGAGGTCTGGTTATCCAGCTTGAATGTGACATCCTTGATCAGGAACGTCCAGACTTCGTCGCAGAATCGGTAGGTATCCAGATGACCCTGTTGGTGAGAAGAAATGTCATGTTAGCCATGCTGAACTGAAATTAAGGTAGGATCATCTCCGCAAGGGTATATTGGCTGGAAGGACTTGCCTTGAAGGTCAGTCTGGCCCGGACTTTGTCGGCCAGGACTTCAGTGACCACACGGTCAAAGGTGGAGAGGATCTTCATAGCTAGCTGGGGCTCGATGCGGCCCTCGTTGATCAGATCGTCTAGAGTATCGGTTAGAGACAGACCGAGGCTAGAGATTCCTTGTCAGCTTTGGAGGTTCCGGTCTGCTTCATATGATGTAGTACCTGCTCCCACGGTAGAGCTCATAATAAGCCACAGACGCCATTTTGAGATATATGAATGGCAGACTTCTTAAATGAGTTCTGCGGAGTGAGATGTTGTGTCGAGAGCACAATTGACCAGTCCCGGTGGATCGCGGGGCGGTATGCAGCACGTGATCCATATCACGTGCGTGGCTTATCCGCTTATCGCGATGGCGTCAGTCGAGCGAAACTCCTACAACACAACACTGAACTAGATTGACCTATCGATCAGTATGGTCTTGAAGTGCTTCCAGGGCTCTGGGATTGGAATGTTCCATTCTAGAGCAACTTTCTGTCATTTACACGCCCGTGCTCAATGCTTATCTACAGCACCCAAGCTGTCAAAAGCCCAAGGTCAATTACATTGCCCCAGCCCAGAACTCAGCGTTGAAACTAATTTTCTCCTACAGATAAGATCACGTCCGAGCCTAAACAAGAGCAAAACAAGCGCACTCCCACGAATCCTCTTTCAAACGAAGACAACAAACGCCACCCAGTTCCACACAAGACCAAAACCGTCACCGAGGCGGACGCTGAGCTGCGCGAGCGATTGGAACAAATGTCTGGGGAAGGAGGGGCTTCTGGGATTGAATACGAAGATGGAAAGGCCAACGCCATGAAGCGCGGTGTGCGAAACAATATGTTCCGGTTGATTTGAATCGTTTCTAAAAATGAAGATTCACCAAAACAAACCGGGGCAAGATGAACGTTGGATATATATATATCCCAGGAGGCATTCGAAACCCTGCATCCTCAGTTTCTATTCGCCGATCCGCCAAGAACGCGGAGACAATACGGTCGACCAGGCGTGGAATCTGTCATACTCCGAGCCCTTCGACCTTCTTTCCTAGCTGAGCAGACTTCACTTCGGCCTCGGTCTCGGCTGAGTTTACCTTGCATGGTGTCGAACAGGCATATGACGTCTTATAGCCGCGCGAGGATAACGGCGTTGCATAATAGAAGGCATTCCACGCGTTGGGGGCTCCCGCATTCTTCGATTACGATTGCTTGGGCAGAGCCACGCAATCGGATATGGTGTCCTTGCTGAGAGCGTCATGGCTTGAATCTTCAGTATGCTTTTGGGTATGCTTTTGGGTATGCTTTCACAAAGGTTTGTCGTTGGGGGGACTTGTCGCAACATTTGCCAGGGAAGATCGCTCCCCCATCATCCTGCATCCGATTTACTTCTCAGAGAACCTATCACTACACCTCTCGATTGGTCCAAGACCACGGAGGACTACCTTTGCAAGGTAAAACTCTCCTCGACAACCTGCAATCCAAGCATGTTACATTGCTTCGGATTGATCATTTAGTGGATCCTTTGTGACCTTGAACACCTATGCCTCCATAGTATCGAATTGATTGAGAGTTGCAGAGAAGACTTCTTTCGGGTAGAAATTTGGTCGTAGACCCTGATCTATTGTAACCGTATCAATGCTGGGGGAAACAAAGTTGGCACAGACCTTTAGGTATAGTGCTGATCGGCACTACTTCCTCGTAGGAACTAGGCATGGGAATAAATAAGAAGACAGAATAGTCATGAAATGAAGTAACAAGGCTTTGTCTAAGCCGGCTAACCGAAATTGTGAAAAGAATATTATCCGCTCCTTTCAACATGAAATCACCATAACAATAGTCAAATACCCATCTCTATGCCATGAGCCCCGAATCACACAAAAAAGTAAAAACTATCCCATTGACACCCTAATCAAAATACACCATTTTCTCATTGCAAGATTACACCCCGAGAACAAAGATAGTATGTCCGTAAGCATCCGAATCAAAAGAAAACCTCACTTGCGAACAACCATGCCAGCCAAAACACCAGCCCCAATCACACCACCATCTGAAGCCTCCCGCAAGAAAACAGACTTGCCCCCTCTCTGCGGACCAGTCCGCATAATCAACCGATCAATATATTGCTGACACATCTCCTTGAACTGCGGATAATGCTGGATGATACCACCGGTATACGCAACAACCAGTTCCTCAGGCCCGGACTGCCAATCAGCTGGCGTCTCAAGGACCGGCACGACGTGTCTGTGGATGGCGTGGTTAGCCGCGACCGCAGAGTCAGGCGCAGCAGCAACAATATCTGGTGTAACGGCTTCACCATTGCTCTGCGGTGAAGCGGCGTTCTCGGGCGTGTTGCTGTTGCTATCCTCTTTCAACTCAATCTCGCGCGCACAGGCTAGTAGTCCGACCACCGCAGAGGCTATCAGGCCCGCTGAGCGTCTCTGCACTGTGCGTGCGATCTTGCGGAACGCGCCTGCGGTCCGGGAATCCCAGCGCCAGTCGCTGCTTTCTGGTGGGGGGAGGGATTGGTTCAGGGCTTTGGCGAGCTCGGGGTCGGAGCGTGCTTTAGCTACCGTGTCGGAGATGTAGCTTGTTGTCAGGGCGTATTCTTGAATGAGATTTGCGGGGAGGGAGCGTTTGGATAGGTTGGCGATTGTTGTGAGGTAGTCGAAGAGGATTAGACGGATGAGTTCGCCGATGTAGCGGCCGCCGGTCATGTATTCGAATGGTTGGAATCCTGGACGCGCACAGGCCCGGTCCAGTTCGATATCCCATTTCGTCGTGACGTTTAGCTCGGAGAGGGGTGGTGCGGCGCCGGAGATGGTCCATTCGGTGTTGACGATTGTCTCTACCGCGCTTGGTTCCATTGTGTTGACGCTCTTGGCTTTGGATTCGTGTAGTGCATCTAGCTTCATTGGGATGGTTGCGTTACAGCCGGTACCCACGATGATGCCCATGGCGACTCGGCTGTTTGGTAATGACTTGACCTTGTAGGCGAGAGAGGCTAGAGTGGCCACGGTGTCGTTGGTAATTGCCTGGATCTTCAGTTTGGGCAATGCAAAGAGCTTGCGGCGTTTGGATGATGGCTCATCGTCATCATCTGGTCGCTTTGTGTGCTTCTCATATCCATCGAGAAGAATGTTGCCCAAGTTCAGATTAGATGAGATAGCGAAGCCTTTGCCCATGGGCATCAATGTAGCTTCTGCCAATGATTCTTGCCTATGATATGGTTAGAAAACACCCGGAAACAGACGTATAGAACCCGGTGTCCTAAAACCCAAGAACTGGAATAAACTCACATGATGGGGAAACTGAATGTAATGCCCATATCAAGCTCAGCAGGAATATCCTTTTTCGTCGCATCAGATGATAGACTCTCAGCTACCACTTCAGCGATGCAATCACCAATCCACGAGAACAGATCCTCAGCCTTGTCCATCTTCAAATGCTCCTGAATAGGCCAGGCTCTCTCCAACGTCCGCTTCACGCGCTGACGCTGGGCTTTTCGGATGGTGTCCCGTGACCTTTCAGTGGCATCAGTGGGACGAACATCTGAGTCGACAGCTTCTCCAAGCAACTCGATGAATGCAACTCGAAGATTGCTGCCTCCCACATCGATCGCAAGATAGCGACCAGTTTCCTGGCCCGTAGGAAGCTGGGTCACAGGCGTCGGGAGAAATTGCTGGTCCGATGTCAGGGCCAGGTGTCGGTATGTAGTGGAGAAACGCCGTGCCAATTGATAGAGCACACCCTCATCCAGGGACATGGGCGACAAGAATTCTTCCAGTTGTTGATGATGGGCAAGATATTCTCGTTGGACGGCGTCGTACTCCGAGTTGACCTCGTCATGGTCCTCCTCAACCGGATCGTCGGGAATGTCGCGCTCCTCGTCATTGTCCTTTTCAGATATTGAATTGACAGATGCCATTATGCAAAGTTGATGGCCAATGTATCAGCGAATCCAAATTCCGTGCCCCGAGTTGAGTATACGGGTATTCGCAAATGATAACCTTTAGCAGATCCCGAGCCTGACAGCCGTTACGTTTTCAACAGTGACGTCGGGCTGGAATGTTAGGAGAGGACACGGTCATGTCCTTGATGATAAGCTACCACAGGGGCTGATATAGCCTGGTTTCACGCTGGGTTAGTGAGGTTGCAATAAGGAGTGAACATTTCGGTGACGCGGTCTGCAGGGCGATGGGGCGGCTGCGGGGGAAAACAGAAACACGACGATCATGCCGGGAAGGTAAAAAAAAAGAAGCACCTGTCATGTTTTACGTACCTTGGAATCTTCGGTATGCGCTGATCACAGATAAATAATAGGAATCTCAGGGATGGGGGGTGGAGAGACTATATACGAATCTTGCGATATCCCTAGATGCCTGAGGCAGGAGTTGGAGAATGAAGTATACTCCCTGCTTAAGATAGGAGAGGAATAAGAAAATAAGAAAGGAAAAGAGAAGGAAACCAAGTGAAATAGTCAGGTACCTTTTTTTCTAACTTAAAAAGTGAGATGGAAGGAGTGGGGAAGCTATAAAAGCATCAAGGTGTATATGGGTCAGCGAAATGATAAATTTAGTGAATTTAGTGTGGTCTCAAGCATTTCATGTATCATCGATGCGACGTTGCTGAGAAACTCAACACTTCTCTGCTCTATGAGGCAAACGACTCCGTCTACATCTACACTCTTCTCCGAACTATGTAACCCTACCCGGGACCATCTGACGCCCTTCCAGGGAGGTCAAAAGAAGGCTAAACCACCTCGGTTAGGGGCCCAGGCTTCCCTCCATACTTGTTCTGACGCCATTCTTGGCTCTCGGGATTAAAACACAACCTGCGAGGCGTTGGGAAACGGCCGCACGGCCGCGAGTGACGATCCAGAGAGGTATACAACAGGGATTGACAGTGGGGTTTAGACCCCAGAACACGTACCAAAATCGTTTCAAACTGCGATTCGCTCGATACGAGGTTCGCCCGCTCTGATATACTTGTGGCGCTCGCGTGGTGATGGGGCCGGACATGCCCGTATCCAGACGCAGCCCCATATTGCGGCACTTCTCTGCCCAAGCATCGTGTGCTGTCTCCGGTCTCGATCGTTCTCGCCCAGACTGTCAGACCTCATTGGGGGCGGCTGCAGCCTCGCTTTTGCTTACCCGGAGTTGGTCACCTGCTCCCCCGTGGGTTCAAGAAACAGCTCTTGTGTTCAGGCGTATCTTGATACACCTGTATGTCAAGGTTTGACCTGCGAGCCTCAAAGCGACCTTGCAGAGAGCCTAGCCACGCGATCCTTGGACATAGTGCATACCTTGTCCCATGCGAATAAATGCCCAGTTTCTTGAGCCTTGTACATTTGAAACTTGAGCTAGTCAACGCCCCATAATGGTCTCCGAAGTCGGAGCCAAGAATGATGAGAGTATTGTCTCGGTGAAGATGTGGTAATTTAGGCATTTAGGAAGAAATCGGGTCTTCGCCAACCAAACAAAAGCAATTACAAGTAGAAGCAGCTAAAAATCCTTGATGTCACTGGTGGCTCATAAGTTACTGGAAGATCTTATGTAATGGCCTGGGCAAGGAGAAGTTCCGCCTCTCCACATGATCTTATCAACACAACGTCACCCTCACCATGGAGAAACTCCCGATCCACTCAGATGGCGATCCTCAGGATCAAAACGAACGGACTCGTCCCAGCACAGCTACCTTCTTACGTCGCCTGTGTATTGTTGTGTTGTTCCTGGTCGGCTACTACCTGCTGATTAGGCCATCTTCCACATGCACTCAGCACCACACAAAGCTTCCCGAGAGCTATACCCTGGGTCTTGAAGATATCACAAATGAGGACAGCCACAACCCAGACGCGGGACACATTCCTGATGCACAGAGCACACCTGCGCAAACCAAGATCCCGCTGGAGGCTCACATCATGAGCAAATGCCCAGATGCTCAGGCCTGTTTGCAGAAGCTGATCTTACCGGCCATGGAAAAGATTTATGACAAGGTGGATTTCAGACTGTCCTTCATTGCTAAGTGAGCACCAGTCCCCGACACCAGGGGCTTGATTTTCGTCCTGATCTCATTTGAAGTCATCCATTAACATCATCCAGTGCATCCGAAAGCTCCGAAGAGATAGAATGTATGCATGGTCCAGGTGAATGCATCGGTAACATGCTTATGCTCTGCGCGGCCAACCTTCCTTTCCCTCCCCCTACGGACGAATCCCTTCTCCCACCAGCCTACCCTCGAACACCTATCATCAGGTCTCTGGGATTCGCAAACTGTCTAATCAATGACTATGCCAAGATCCCGGATCGTGAATTCATTCATCAGTGTGCAATGGAACACGGGATTGACTTTGACTCACTGAATAAGTGTGCCAGCCAGCAAAATGATGACCCTGGTGATGGTGACGACGGTGGACCACCGCTGAGTGGCATCGCTTTGCTGCGCGAAAGCGCTGTGCGCGGTGCTAAACTTGGCGTCAAGACAAGCTGCACTGTGCGCTTAGATGATGCTTTCTGGTGCATTCGTGACAACAATGAATGGAAGAACTGCGCCCAGAATGGCGAAGGCAGCAACCCTTCAGTTCTGGTTGATCAAGTCGAGAAGCTCTGGAAGGAGCGGAACTGAGACCCATTCATACAGACACGATAGGATATGATAGTCAATGCAACTCACGATACCTTGCAAATCTTCGAGTGCAAGCCCTAGGCTTTTTATACTCACAAAAAATTTCTTTGGAATATGCTCTCTCCCACATGAATTCTAACTATGCGAGTCAAGCAGTGATGATAATGTTTCCATGGGCTGCCCTGGCCCTTACCTGTAGTCAACGAACGATCTCTTAGTTCTACCGCCTGGCATCGAAGTCGGACGTCAGTTGATTGCCTACGCTCCTCTTTTGTTTTTTCCTTTTTTTTCCCTCTCTACCATTGACTCTACCACATCCTGGAGCTCGCCCGGTCTTCCTTCTTTTCCTCATCCTCCCCTTCTCACCGAGACTTGATCAGTCTCCCACAGACTATCGGTTTGTCTTACCCTTCAACATTGTAAGCTATTATCACAGCTTCCAACATGTATATTGAGCTTACACCCTCACCTTCCTTCAGACCCGAACCGGTGATGCCTCCTCCAGGCCCTAAGGGCGATGTGCTGGCGCGCCTTCGCTCCAAGGAGGAGCAGATGTTCCTCAAATGGAATGTGGTGATGAACCCCAGTGAGCTTCTGCGTGGCATTGCTGCAAACCGTGAGAATTCTCGTGCTCTCTTTCACGGTTTGAGACGCCAGATCAGGGCCATCCGTCGTCGCTCCCAGGCCTACCGTGATGGCCAGGTCACAATCTTCGACCTGGTTCTGGTTCGCCTCTTTGATGCTGGACACACCATGCAGGACTATGGACTCTTTGAGTTCTATCTCGCTGAATTCCTGGGAACCAGAGACTGTGTCTCAAACGCTGATGCCAATCGCGTCGTCGCAGCCCACCTTGCTGCCCAGCGTATCCTGGACGATGGTATGCCAAATCTCCTTCTTCAACCTCATCGTCACAGATTTTGATTACCCTAGGTCCCATCGACGAGCTTCCAACCGTGAAGACTGCCAATGTCCAAGACGAGGAGCTCACCAGCACCCAGAACAGCACTTCTACCCGCTATTCTGAGGACGTCAAGCCACCTCATCTCGACAATCTCATCAGGGTCTACGAGAAAGCCAAAGATGACAACCACAAGGTCGGCACCACTCACAGCCACAACGAACGCTCCAACAGTGTCCGGTTCCTCCGTGACACCGCCGAGAACCTCCTGCGCTATCTCAAGACAGTCGATGAAGATCACGAGCTGATTCCTGAGCTCAACGATGTCGTCAAGAGCAGCCAGGCCCGCGCCGAGGAGCTTGCTGGTGGCCGCAAGCGCAAGTTCGAGCATGAACGACGATCGCCCTCCATGAGCCCTTACCGTCCCACCGGATACACCTATGAGTACGACCACCGCACGGGCCGTGGCGGATACGTCAAGGATGGATGGGACCACAGCCGTGTCTCTGAGACCTGGAACCGTGCATCTGACTCTTATCGTCCGAGATATGCGCTGCGCCGTCACTAAGCTCTCATGTTCAATACAGCATAGTCCTCGTGGAAGCGATGCGTCGAGTTATGGGACGATGCCTGTTTTCCCCGTTACTGCTGAAGAAACTTAACAAATAAGCGTGCCCAATAGCATCAGACAGTTAAGTTCAGTAATCAATTCAAATTACTAGGAAGCCGGCAGAAAGTTCGTATAATGTCGACGGTGGTCGAAGTATACAACCTTAAAGTCCGATCCATGGTGAGCGCTAGTCCACTCTAATCGTAGCGCCAATAAACAACCCACGTGCCTGGATGACATAATCCGTAGATCAACAGCGGTCACCTGCAAGCTCTCAAGGGGGTTTTCTCTCTTTGTATTCACTTGAATTTAACAAATGAGGTAGTCCCCGCCCAAATGGAGAGACTGACCTACCGACCCGGTCCCTAGAATCCCAACCAAGCCCTGCATTCCCGTGAGAAATGGCAGACCTTCAGCCCTCCGCAGTGGGGACATCTTCCAACAGCTCAGGCACATCCTCGAACCCACGATTCACCCCGGTGTCCTATGACCAAGACAGCGATTCCCTAGCATCGGGACCGGCCAAATCACCCATTGGCCCATTGCGCGTGGAAACCAACTTCGACGACCACCCGGACGTCGGCGACCCTCTATCCGATTTGGAGAACGAGTACAATACCAGCGCGGAGCTCGAGGGCAAATTCCGGCAGGGTGGGTCGGCGCCGAGATATACATCCGAGGAGGAGAGTGAGGTAGTGAAGAGGTTTGATCGACGGCTGGTCCCGTTCCTGGCTCTTCTCTACCTGCTCGCCTTCCTGGATCGCTCGAGTATGTTTTATTATGCCGCGTTGCGAGAGCATTACTCTAAACATATTGTGCGATCGTGTGCTGATCTGTGACACAGATATTGGAAATGCAAAGATAGCTGGTCTTCAGGAAGATCTCCAGCTTTCACCTTCTCAGTATGAGTGGCTCCTTACTGCTTTTTACATCACTTACATTCTCTTTGAATGGATGACACTTATGTACCGCCTTGTGCCACCACATATCTACATCTCTCTGTGTGTATGCGGCTGGGGACTCATCGCCTCGTTTCAATGCCTAGCGACTTCTTTTTGGGGTTTGGTTGTTCTCCGAGCTTTGCTTGGGATCACTGAAGCGGCGTTTGGTCCCGGTGTACCGTTTTACCTATCATTGTTTTACCGTCGACATGAACTGGCCTTCCGGAATGGTTTGTTTATTTCGGCAGCACCGCTAGCAACGTCCTTTGCGAGTAGTCTAGCGTTCTTGATCGTCAAGTTCAGCAGTGATGGCCCCATCTCACCGTGGCGCACGCTGTTCCTCGTCGAGGGGTTCCCGAGTGTGGTTGTTGCTGTGTTTGCTTGGTTCTTGATTCCAGACTCTCCAGGACAAGCTCGGTTCTTAAATCGTCGGCAGAGAATGGTTGCTCAGCAGCGTCTTGAGGAAAATACGGTTGATTATCAGCAATCATATGGGAGCCGGTTCAACTGGCGAGAGATCTTGAAGACTGCATCGGATCCCAAAGCATATATGGCTGCTGTGAGTCCAATTCCCTTTGTGCTTTTCGAAGAGGATTCTAACTTCTGCATTTCAGTTTATGTTCTTTAGCTGTAATGTGGCTTTCAGCTCAATGCCCGTCTTTTTGCCCACGATCATTAAAGAGTCAGTCCACCATAACCTCCACTGCTCAATCCAATCACTTGCTGACACAGCGATCTATAGCATGGGATACTCCTCATTACAGGCCCAAGCCCTCTCGGCGCCCCCGTATCTAGTCGCCTTCGTCGTGGTCCTTCTCACCGCATACGCCTCAGACCACAGCCGCTCCCGAAGCACTTACCTCATAGCCCACGCACTCATCTCATCCATAGCCTACCTAGCGATCGCACTAACAGGCCATTTCCACTCACACCTATCACCAGCACTACACACCTTCATCCGCTATATTTGTGTCTACCCAGCGACCGCAGGATTCTTCTCAGCAATCACCCTTATCATAACCTGGTCAATGGACAACCGCGTCGAAAAAGAAGGCAAAGGCGCAAGCATAGCCATCCTGAATATCATCGGCCAGTGTGGTCCACTGCTCGGCACAAGACTATATCCCCAGTCTGACGGGCCGTGGTATGTTCGTGGCATGGCTACCTGCTCATTCTTTATGATCGTAGTCGCGGTATTGGCTCTGGCTATGCGGATTCTCCTGCAGAGGATGAATCGTGCTGTTGCGGACTCGACTTACACGATTGTTGAACAGGCTGGGCCTGTGGAGCGGGGTGAAGAGCGGGATGTGCTTATGGGCGGTGGCAGGAGGGATGATTTGGAACATTCTACTGGAGATAAGAGACTTGTGTACATCATATAATCCGGACCTATTACCATTTCGGGTCTTATGTGGCTGTTTTTCTTGACGTCTTAGTGTAGGCACTTTGGTCCCCAAACACTTGAGGCCGAATGGTCCACTCCACCAAGTCTTAGCAAACCATCGTACACTGAGCTATTGGTGATGTGGACATGCTTATGCCGACCAACCCGGTCAAAACTGTGGCTATAACGATCACTATAAACCTCCTTTTCACCTAAAATATTGAATCACCATCATATCACGTTCGAAGCGGACAACCACGAAAATGTCAGAGAAACCGCCCTTTAGGGTCATTACCATCGACGGCAGTGCCGCCGGCTTTTTTCACTAGCCAGCATTGCTTGAAAAATGTGAGAAATTGCAACTCAATTTGGAGTCAGCATCAGTCTTTTGCCTACAGACGAGCGCATTCTCGATCAACTTGGGCTGTAAGAGGCATTGGAGAGACTGAGCTCGCCTTTGAATATCTATTCGTTCTATGAAGAGAATGGGAATGCTAAGCATCACGATGGTTGGGAAACTAAATTGGAGGAGTGTGGGTGGTGCATAGCAAGGCTCTCTCTTGTTGAATAACATGCTGATGTATGGATAGATTCGGTTATAAAATTCAGTTTCTGCACCGGCGACAACTGGTCCGGGTTTTGTTTGACAATCTCCGCGACAAATGGAAGGTCCTTACTCCTCATGCTGTTGAAAGAATTGAACTTCTGCCAAACGGTGTGATGACCGAGACAATGTCCGGGATTGATGTATGGACCTAAGGGGCTTTATGTCCTTATTTGGTAGTAAAATTTGTGTGTTCGGGGTTTAAACTGCATGCATTTTATAACAAACTGGGATAGCGAAGGTTTGTGCTCCCAAAAATCCATGATTCATAAATCTTCAAATCAGATCAAGTTTCCAGCTCGGTGGGTCTTCGTCAAGTCTCATAAAGGCCATATTGGTGCCAAAGAGTTTGGTGGATTTAGCAGCCAAGCTCGCCGTGGTTGTTGGCGACACACTTGTCTTTACATTCACCATGTTAGCTGACTTTCCAACGCCCTTGGCTTTCTAGGGGTGATCATCACTTACTCAAATCAATTGTAGTAGAGACGTAGTTGTGGTCACGCTCGGCGTTGCGGCACTGGCAGGTGAACTCGGCGTGGCCACGCATGGTGCAGTTAATGCAAGAGCCGGAATAGTGACCACTGTTTCATGGTTAGTTTTCGTGCTATTGAATCCCGGTTCCATATCCAACTTACTTCTTTCCGCACTATAGAGAAATTAGTATTAATATATCAAGTAACTTAGGGTTGGTGCACTCGTACCTTGAGCTTGCCCTTGTCGTTCTTGAGGCAACGGTTCAGATCAATTGAGCTGGTTCGCAGCTCGCCATCATGTGAGACACGACACTCTGCGCGCAAAGTTGTGCCCTCGCCATCAACGTTCTGGCAGGTGTCCGCAAACTTCGATGAGCCGGCAAAGGCCATGGCCACGAATGGGAGGAGTCCAAGAGCCTTGAGGAAGAGCATGATGATGGTTTGTGATGCTTCGTATGAATTGATGCTAAGGTTAAATGGTATAGTGTTTATGATTATTGTGATGAGTGAAGATGTATACTTGGGGGTAAAGACTCCTTATATAGCCATGATGGTTGAACATAGCTTTGATGCTTCTCAGACATCCAGCACCTGAAAGTGTTCTCATGATCTGATCGCAGGGAACAGAACAGCTACAATAGCTCCTTGCTTTGCCCAAAAGCCTGCCACGGGACTCAATCCGAGTCATTATCAGGTCTGTCGAGGTCATAATGCATGAAATCTCAACAAGTGACGTCTGCTGCTGGCTCCGGGGCTGGGCTAAATCTTGGCCATGCGACATCAATACATGGAAAGTCTCTATGAATACCTTTTATGAAGAAAGCCTGGCCTGTATATATGTACCGAAAGACAAAGGACAGTATATCGTTTTCAAGGGTATAGAGAGCTAATTGCTGTTGGCAGGTGTTCCTGGACGTAGATCTCGGCGACAAACTCTAACACATAGCTTCGACATGGACATTCTTTTCCTTGCTATGCCAAACAATGGGATGGCGGTGTGTCTAAGACCAGCTTGAATCAGGCATAGATCATATGTCAGCATCGATCTACCACGTCGCTGCAAGGGACACATCTGCATGGTCTTTCCGCACGAGCCTGCCACTAACAAGCCCCGCGCATAGAGAATACTTTGTGATCAAAACACAGCCAATAGGTGTTTGACTGGGGATACTTTCAACGATGCGATGCATGTTCTGCGTCATTTCTCCATACCAATTGGATCGCCAACAGCAGCCTTGCGGTTCCCCAGCGTCCTCCGCGCTCGGCTAACACGTTTGCACGGAGCTCTACTTAGTATGTCTGTATGCCCCTTGTCAATGCTGACCCCTTGATTCAGCGTCTTCTTCGTCCTTCTTATCGTTTTGAATGCAGTTCAGCGGGCTTTTAGAAGCCGTCGCATCGAGGTCTTTCACAAAGGTTCAACACATTTGCCCATTCAAGTTACGTTGCTTAGAGCATGTTTGACTCAATAGTGGAATCAAAAGTTTTAGGTCAACTGTATACTCGCACTCCCCCCAGTGGAGCTACATTTGGCACCACTTCTTGAGAATCATATACAGAAAAATACCTGACTCCCATTTGTCAATCAAAGACGCAAATCAGAAATTAAAACTGATCGTGTACAGTTTGCTGTGAGCAAGTTCAGTTCTTATGCATTTGCTGCCTCCTTTATAGGAAGCTAGTTGGAACTTACACCCCAAGCTCACGATCAGCGTGACATTTGGAACAACGAAGTCCTGTAGAAAAGTAACACTGCGCTTGCTTTATGAAAAATTTACGACATTATTCCTGATGGTTTAGTAATTATAAATTCTCATCGCGCTGACATCACAACTCGTATTGGTGTTTGTCCCCGTAAATTAATTTTGGTTCATACTAGACAGACGGGATCATGTTTAGATGACTTCCGAAAAAGCTACGCATCCATGGATGACATTTTCCAGGTGATCAGCGCAGTTGCATAGGGGATATTCTGAGTCTGGCTGGCAGCCAAAGCTTCATTCAGATATACTCATGCTCAATATGCCATTAATCTAACGGACGGAAAAGTCGGGAAAGTACACCATTTGAAGAAAAAAGTACGCAAGCAGTTACGTATATAAAATTCGCTAACGCCATTATCCATCCTTCTTTGAACTTTTCGCCAAATATGTCCGTATACTTTCGTTGCGTCCAAGTTTTGTGCAAGTCTATTTCTAGGGTGTTTTCCATAAAAGCCACCACTCACCATGCAGTGTGGCCACCGTCAATGAGCAAAGTACTACCAGTCATGAAGCTGCTTGCATCAGAAAGACAGAAAAGTGCAGAGCCCCGGAATTCCTCGGGGAGCGCCAGACGACCAAGCATGTTCCCAGCTTCCCAGGTAGCACGGGCAGCAGGGTTCTGCTGGAAGACTTCATCAACCATAGGAGTGATAATGTGGCCAGGGCACAAGCTGTTGACTCGAATGCCATGACGGCCCCATTCCATAGCGAGAGAGCGAGACAGCTGGATGACCGCCGCCTTGGATGAGTTGTATACAGGTGAAGTCATACCCTTGTTGGCAATCAGACCACTCATGCTAGCTACTAATAGAATTGAGCCTTTTTGTTGGTAGTTGAACATCTGGCGAGCGGCCGCGGTAGCCGAGTTGAATACTCCATTGTAATTGATTGACATCACGTCATCTAGGGCATGCTGGGAGTACTCCAGTGCGCTTTGGAGGTGATTGATTCCGGCTGCGGCAATTAGACCGTCTAGGCGCTCGTGTTGGGCTGCAATTGTGGCCATTGTGTTGTTGACTTCGGTGTTGTTGCGGACATCGATGCGGACGTACTCCAGAGTACCGCCATATTCGTTCTCGGCCTTGTTCTTGGCGGCAATGAAGTCTTGGTGAGGAGTTTCGAGCCGGTCCAGGCAGTAAACTAGGTTTTGATTACCAGTCAGTATGTATCTCTTTCGGTCTGATACTGAATAAATGTAGTTACCTTTTGCGCCAGCCTCAATCAATGCTTCGGCCATCGACAGCCCCAATCCTCGTCCACCACCAGTGATGGCATATACTCGACCCTCCATATCAAACTCCCGGAATCGTTCGCTGTTGCGCAAGAGCTTCTTTGGCGGCAACTTTGATTGGATGTGATCCGGGTTTTGAGAGACATTGTGAATATCTTGAGGGTTGAATGCGCTTTTGGAGCTCGAGTACAGGCGGCTTGAAGATAAAGCAAGAACACGAGGAGCACGTACGGCAGCGCCAGCGAGCCGTGTGCGAACAGGAGCCATGACTCGGGGCAGAATGGAAGACATGCTGCAGGATGTAGAAGGGATGTGGATCGGACGGTTTGAGGGGAGAGAAGGAGTGAAATATATATGGATACGGTATAGTATTAAGTCGATAAATGCAAGAAGGAAGTATAGATGCAACGGCTCAAAAGAGTTCACGATACTCAAACATGGACTCCCTCGGGGACACAGATTTATATGTCTGAGAAACAGGGGCGGTACTTCCTTGGAGAGGTTGCCGAGAACAATAAGATCCTGCAAAGAAGATTGCCCCTCGTTTGAATGGAAAAATCAACTCAGGTGCGCGTGACACTGTGGATTCACCAGCTGCTTTCACCGTGACTCAAACGACCCAGACACTTCCATCGACCGGGAGCATCCACGACCACCAGGGCCCAAGCTTGCCACCGAGGCAATGATTAGCTGTGGAGGGTATGTTGGGGAAAGGGGGTCAAGCTGACTGGGCGCAACATTGGAGCATCGTGACCCTTGGTTGCTGCCGAAGACGGTATATTCCATCGGAGCTTCGAAATGGCCCAGTCGGGTCCCCGGGAGGTATGCATGATTGTCCATCACATTGAGCTCTATGCCGGCATGATTGGCTCACAATCAGCTTCTTTTTTTTCCATGCCGATCCCCGATCTTATTTTGCGAGGTTGA